TTGTGTTCTTCCAACACGCTTTCTCGGTGTGACAGGATGTTCCCCGAGTGTCGGAGAACAAGTTGGGAAACATGGTTTTCGGGCGACAGCAACATGTTTCCGGACTGTTGCTGTTTCCGCAATGTGACAGGGTCCCCGAAAACATGTTTTCCTCGTGTTGAAGGACAAAGTTCTCCGACTGTTTCCGCAGTGTGACAGGGCCTGGGGCTAGCCATGTCCGTATGTCCGTCCGCCGTCGGGTGCACGTGCTCCTGCTCGTGAAGTCACGCGCTCACGTGCTCTCGAGCTCGTCTGCACGTGCTCCGGTGCTCGTGTAGGGAAAACAAAAAACAACCGCATCTCCACGTGGTGAATGATTTTGATTGGGGCGAAGCTCTGGTGGTGCTTGTCTGCGTAGACGGAGCCGCAGCATGCCGAGCCTTTCGTTCGTTTTCATCCATGTCAGAAAGGGAATGTGTGGTATGGAACGTGGTTACATACGCATTTGAGGATTTGACCGCAGCGTGACATGGATGAAAACGAACGAAAGGCTCGGCATGTTGTGGCTCAGCGTCTACGCAGACAAGCACCACCAGAGCTTCGCCCCAATCAACATCATTCACCACGTGGAGATACGATTGTATTTTTTTTTTTTGTTTTTTGACCCTACACGAGCACAGGAGCACGTGCTCGTGAGCGCGTGAGCTCACGAGCAGGAGCACGTGCACCCGACGGCGGACGTGGCTAGACCCCCTAAAACGAGCAGCGTTCGCCCCCTCAACTCGCATCCGGAACAAGCGGCCACGTGATCTGGAGCCGATTATATGCCGCCAGTGTTGATCATAGCCACGCGCTGGGGTTGATCACAGGACACGCGCTGAGTTCCAGACATTGTTATGGCTCGGCTATAGGAAGCATTCACTGGCGGCCATATCTGTGTGCGCGAATGCTGAGCGCGTGCTGATGGCGAGCTTCCACAGTTCTTTTGCAACGTGCATTCCGCACCATCAAGAGTGCCGGTCTTTGCAGCTCGTTCTGAGCATGCGCTCTAAACAGCACCCACAAATATATGGCGTCTAGCGAATACTCCCTATTGTCGTCGTTGCAGCGATTGGACACGGGCCACTACCTGAATGCTTCTCGAGCTAGTAATTATGACGAGCCCAAATCGAGTGCCCGCGCAATGATCGGGTCCAATTTATGAACCGCATTCAAATATCGTCACTTGGGTGTACTGCGATCCCCACGTTACGTCATAAAATTTTGCAAAGGAGAGATTGAGTAAAAATGATCGCTTTTGTCCTTGAAATTACACCGCCACAAAGGAGTTTCTTGGCCAGTGGCGTTGCGTGCGAGTATCCTTGTTTCCCACTAGTGCTAGTAAGCTCGTGTAAGGTGGAAAACATTCCAATTGAATATCGTTGCACCGCTCCTTTAACGTCGGGTATTCGTTCTAAGCGGTACATAGATCGTTCCATCGCCCCTTTACTTAACATGTGTGGCATATGGCTCCATGCCGTGGTTCCAGTGCACGACGGCACTTGCGCAGCTCGCGTCAGCCTTCAGCGCCTCTCACCAGGGCGCGCGTGGAGCTTCACCGCTTGCACCGGAGTGCTAGGAGCAGCGGCTGACACTGGGAAACGCCTGGTTTGTCGTGATAGGCTCTGAACTTATAGAAATTACAGAGAAGATGCAAGCGAGCTGGTGAACTTTCAACATTGTAAAACCCGAGACGTAGGACAAAAGGAGAGTAAAAAAGGGCACAACACAGACGCAGGTCTCAATGTGTTGTCCCCTTTTTTCTTCTCCTTTTGTCCTACGTCTGGACTTATGTTCGGTATTATTACAGGTCTATCTTTTTGGTCTTAAATCTCGGTCTACCCCTCATTTTAAGAATTATTACCGATAAAAATTAAGAGACTCCGGTGCATATTTGAATAGATGCGGTAGTCTATGTAGTTCCCGTCTATCGAAAGAGCCAAAGAGCAGTGTCCCTTGTAAGCCCAAGTGCAGGTTTTCATAATATTTGTGTATGGTTGTTTCTTCAGTTTATGATATATTACAGATTAATTAGGCGAAAAGCTTGTGTGTCCCATCGTTTAGCCTCTTCAAAATCCTTGAGCGACAACACGTCGACAACACGAAGACGGCGAAAATACGCCGAAAGTGCTGTCAAAAGTGCGTCGTCAGAGAACGCGCTCTCTTCGGAGGTTCGCCATCATGTTTGCGTGACCACTCAGGCGAATTAGAGGCAATAAATTAAGAAGGATGACAAAGCAAATTAAGAGGAATCAAAGTGAATTAAGTAAATCATGTGCCTGTCTTTAATGCATTGGCGGTTGAGCCTTCGCCCTCAAGTCGTCTTAAGGATAATTTAAGAGACCCTGTAACTTCTATTGATGTTAGCAGATAAGCTAGTATTTGCCGGAAGTTTTCAGACATTATAGATACAGGCCGAGTAGACTACCGAATGTAAAAGAGAAAGGGGGGAGAGTCTTTATTCCGATAAAATGTTGCGCCATGAATCATTTTTAAACTATGTTTTTAATGCTCATAGTAATGACACTATACAGTGACCTCAGCCTTTTCCGAAAAAAGGGCCCTGTGAATTCGTTTTGTGCCCAACCTATTCTTATCACAAAAATGTTAGTAGTATGCTTCAGCATCAAAGAGGAACCTTCAATCATTATCAAAGATAAACGTACTTAACAATGCAGCCACGAGATTTTTCATTCCCAAGTGATGTGCTAACAGATGTTGGCATCTGCTTCAAATGCGTCAGTGGCTGCTACAAAACATCAACATTTTACCTGCTACAAAAGGCCGACTGCCGCTTTCACGCTGCCTAATGTATACCGCAACCCCCCCCCCCTTTTTTTTTCCCCCTTTATGTAGCAAAAATACGTTTTTTCCGTCCAAATTTACCGCTATAGCGGTCCTAATCAGATACCCAAGTTTCAGAAGCAATATCGTTATCTCGTTCAAACGTTCTAAGTGATTTTCCGATTGTTTAGATCGGAAAATGGCGCCCGTTTTCGGTACCTGACGCCATTCAGCTCCATGTGTTCGAGAGCTCCGCCGGGGGCCATTTTCCCGTTGTAAATTTTAGAAAATCGCTTATGATTTTTGAATAAGATAACGGGGAGAGTTCTGAAGCTTTGGCATCTCTGGCTGAGGCAGATTTTGCTATATTTGGGTGGGAAACGAGCGGTCGTCGATGCGTATTTTATTATCATCATTAAAAAATATATATATAAACTAATTTAGATTGTATACAATTTTGGGGGGCAGTGGGAAAAGGGAGGGGGCATTTTGTAGTGCCTATGTTATTTGGTTCTCTGGGTAAGAAACAATGCGGAGCGAAAGTTCGTCTGCTTCTTTTGCAGGGGATGTGGTGACGTCAGAACAACACCGAGCTCTGATTGGCTCTGAATGAAGGATACTGAGTGCATCTCGAAGCAAGCTGCCTTGAGGTCTACCCACTATCCTTCATTCAGAACCAATCAGAGCTCAGCGTTCTGACGTCACCAGAACCTTTTGCAAAAAAAAAAAAAAAAGCAGTCGAACTTTTGCTTTGTATACATTACACAATTTGTTTTTACATTACCCTTTTTTTTACATATAGCTGATCTAAAATGCACCCACATCATATGTCTTAATCAAATGCATAAAGGAGGAAATTAATAAGACTTCGCCAAAAAAGTGTTTTTTTTTTGTCTGTACTACGTTTGTTCAGGTAATCACCGGTACATTACTAACATAAAAAAAAAAAAAAAAATTTGATTATTTCAGAGGCGTCTCGATGGCTGCCTCGATGGCTGCGGCATTAGAGCACTGCATGGGCCCGTACCAGCCCGAAGGCCAGAGTTCGGCCCGGCCCACGGGCCGGGTGATCGGGCTTGAAAGAAAAATATTTCGGGCCGCGCCTGGGCAGTCGTGTACCGCAATTTTTTTAATAACAAAAAGCGGTGTTTATTGATGTTTTAGGTTCAATGAAAACAAACAAGCCAAGTGCAAAGTCACTACGGCGCCGTTCAAAATAAATAAAAAGGCGTCTCGCACTTGTGAAGCCTTCAAGTGGATAAAAGAAAATGTACCGATCTACTCCACCGGCATAGTGGGAGAGTGCGCGCTTTTTCCTTGAACAGTTTTTACGTTAAATCCTGCAAATGTTTTGTCGGGCTCAAGCCAAGCTCAAGCTCATATTTAAAAACAAAAACAACAACAAAAAAAAATTGGTCGGGATCGGGTCGCGCTTGGCCTTGTCTAAACATTCTGTCGGGCCCGGGCCATGTCTCTACCGGGCAGCGTCGGGCAAGGCCTAGAACTTCCGTCCCGTGCAGTGCTCTGTGCTGCACGGCTTAAGCGAGGCGAAATATTTATGTTGTAGTTCTCAAAAGGTTCGTGCAGTTGTTTAATCTTTTAATGGATTTTTTTTTGTACATGCATACAGATACGATTATTAGTAGTAGTAATATTATTGCTACTTTTGTTATCATTACACCATTGCACACAAACCAGATAATAAAAAAATAATAAATTCCTGCGAAGCGAAAGTTCGTCTGCTTCTAGCACAGGGGCTGCGATGATGCCAGAACGCCGAGCTCTTATTGGCTGATTGAAAGAAAATAGGGGGTAGACCTCAAGGCATCTAGTATTTACGTGTACCCCCTATCATATCAATCAAAGCCAATCAGCTAGGCGTCGTTCTGATGTTACCACAACTCCTGCGCAAGAAGCACACGACTTGCTCTCTGTATTGCTCTTGGTTGAAGTTGTAATCAAGGTTCAGTCTTTTGTGCACTATGCATTCCTAAAATTAACAAATTGCAGCAGTTGCTGCATTTATGATCCTTGCCTGCTTGAGAAGAAAATTTCCAGCTTGGCTCACAAGAAAACCATTGTTCAGTTCACTAGAGTCGCCAACAAGTGCCCAATCGGTGACGACATTTTTACTACCCATTTTTATAGCTTCATGTTATGACAGTTGGATGCCGTAAAATTTGGGCACAATTTCTGAAAACTTGACGGGTAGCACTGTAGAAAAGTCAGTCAGGTCGGCTCTGCCTCTTGATCAAGGGGAAGAGGACCTTCATTCCTTGGTGACTCTTTATTTGAAAGCATAAATATGTACATCCTAGATCTTTGTTTGTCCCTTGTCTTTGCATTGGTGACCAGATCATGATCCTTCTTGGCCCACTGAAAATGATGTAGCAGGTCAGGGAAGGAAAGTCGACATAACGTGACTCGGCGCAAAGTCAGTCACTTCGTGCAAATTACGTACCTTTGTAGGCATACTCCAGGGCGCTTGAGACAGTCCGCATGTCTGCCTCTATGCTCTTGGCCCAGTTCTCTATGTCCCCCAGCTCCTGAAAGCAGCACGTGCCGAAACATTGTCAAGCTCCCAACAAAAGCAAACCACCAAATTTTTACGCGAGTCTTACATTAATCTTTTAAGGGACAAGTATTACTAAGATAATAGTTCTTTTTAAATAGAGGCAAGATGGTGACTTTCTATCCTGTAGCCTAAAAAGTAAAGCACACACTGAAGACGGCAGACTACAAATTGTTATAGAAAACTATAAATGGCGACAATGAAAAATGAGAGAACCACAGTAAAGGTTTTAGTGCTTAGTCTGCCTTCCCATTATCTACTATCTCTGGGCTTTCCACAATATGACACAAATTTGGTTGCCTTCTAACTACATTTAAAATTCACACTAAATCCAAATAAAGACCACAGGGTCGCAAAGCCACACTACAGAGAAAATTAAAATTCAACCTACGCCGTCTACAAAATAGTTATTCGAAAACCCCGAGTGAATGTAGTATCAGGAAATGGCAAGGTGTAGATTATTTCGCTAAGCTGTTATCGGGTCTAATCCAGATTTGAGAACTTAAATAAAAAAATAGTGCACATGTAAATGTTGCACAACGGAGTGCCAAGTCACCCAACCTAATGTAACTCGGCGGTCCAAGGAATCTTTCTCTAAGTAACTGTTGATAAGTTTTTACTCTGTCAGATAGTTCCTCTGGGTTGCAAATGACACGCCCACAGAAATTAGCTTAATGAACCCTTTCCAAAATTCAGTTTGACCTTTGATCACTATCATCATCAGAAGAATGGAATATCTGCCATACAAATGGCATCGTTTTGGTTACTGATGGAGGAAGAACTCGAAGATGCTCCTAAGTGGGTGATGCAAAGCTTGTACGATGCGACTCAGAAATTGAATACAAGAACTGCGTAAGCGTTTGCTTCTAACTCGGGTCCAGTCAGCCTGTTTGGTGGCACACAGTTGCCTCTACACATCTGTGTTGTATAAAATTTTATCAAGGCGTCTATGTGAGTTGCTGCTTTGTCCTGACCAATGGACTGTTTCCAAAACCGACGCGCCCCAATGCGGCGAAATACCACGCAGTGCACTCTGGGAACTAGTTGGCCACTCAGTTTCGGTTTCGACTGAGCAGATTCATCTCGTGATTATCACACCGCGACCGAACGCGCTGCTTGCGTTTTCGATTATCTGACTTTTTTCCGAATGTACAATACACTCATTCTCGAGCGATACAAAACGAAGGCCAGGGCACTTTCCTTGGTTCCCGAAACACCGGATATAATGAGTGTGTATGCAAACGTAGTAAGACGTGGCTTAGTCACCTCATCTTTGAGTCCAATTTCAATAATCTCGTCTAGTACCAGTGAACTACAAGTGAAATTCGGTCACCTGGAGCATTACACGTATTTTATTTGCCAAACGTCCGTTTCTTGTTGCTTCATTGGGCGAAAAGCAAGCCGCATCCTCACAGGAGTATCAAAGTTGAGCCTGCAGCGTTGACGCATGAACTTTTAAGGAAACGCAATAAATTCGACCTCACTATTGCACCAAAGTTACTATGATGTCGTCCTCGTGTCATCATATATCCCCCAGTCATATTTTATGCTGATAGAAGATTAAGTTTTCGCAAACGCTGAGCCTCGGCTAGCTACGACGGAGGCCCTAACAAGCGTCCGGCCCCTTCTCCTCGCTAAGCCTTTTTGGACGAGCTTTTTCTGACGCCCAAGATCTGTGCCTGAACGGTGTGTCTGAAATTATCTCGGCATACTCAGGCAGGAAGAAAGAAAACACATAACACATATTATGGCCATTAGCAACCGTCAAATGGACTTTGAATAATTTCGTTTGTTTGGCGCACCGCATAGGGGTTTAATGCCCGTCCGGCGTACTTCTGGCGAATGGTGCGACATTTCTCACACAAGTGCTCGACTTTTGCTTTCTTAAAACGGTTTTTATGCGCGAATGTGCCTATACGATTGCAGGATAACTTTAGGCGCATACGCGATGTTGAATATTAGTAAAATGCAAATGGGTGGGGAAAGCTTCGCTTCGTGCAGTGCTGCGGGTCAGTACAGATAAGAGATAAGAAGTGTGTTATAATTCAATGGCACCTCCGAGTTTTACCACGCGTACACAGGCGTATTAAAAATCGATAATTGCAAAAAGTTATATTTCGTCTATGGACGCACGAAACAAACAAACTTCCTGATCAACACTAATGTAAAGGCGCGAGCTCGATGTATGCATACTTATTGGTGTCTACACCTTGTTGATTCGTACACAAGCAAGATCCCCGAGCTTCGCAGCGTCGACATTCCCAGCACTGGCTCGTCCACATACCTCGAAACGCTAACAGAATGGCTCAAGTACAAAAATACAACAAGCATGTTTTAAGACAAGCTATACGTCTCGGGCTTGTGCTAAAGCTTCGAGGTCTGACCATTTAGGTTAGTTTAGAGACCACCAATGACGCTCTTGGGGCCAGAAAACATGAGATAACGGCCGTTAATAGTCCATGCTCTGTGTGTAATCTCTTATCGACGTGTCGATCGAAACCGAAACCATGGCACTCTCCTCCCTGGCCAACTAGTTCCCAGAGTGCAACGCGCGCCGTGTTGCATGCAGGGCTTTATGGAAGTAGTCTATTGTATCTTTGTCACCATCAAAACTGAAAGAGATTGAGAATGAACTGTACAATGAACACTGCATTCTCGTCTGCTGTTGACTTGTGAAAATTACGGTACTGGTAAAACACTACCAACCACAAGTTCATTACCACCGCCATTAGTATGACAAAAATTAAACTGCGATTTGAGCCACCAGACGGCACTAAATTTCAGTAAAGTTCCTATTGTACTTTCCTATCCAACATTACCTTCAAGGCGTGATTGAAGTTGTCCACAAGGTGGAGCCAGTTGGTGGTTTGCTTCGCAAAGTTGGCGGCATTTGAATGCAGCTGCTTGACCTCTGCATCGAGCTTCTTTTGATTCAGGTAGGCTTGGGCAACCCTGCAAATGTAGAATGTCGGCAGTCACCAAATGTGGCGTACAGTTAACTCAAGGCACCCCCATCGTAATTAAATTTTGTAATCTTGCAAATATGAGCATTTACATGCATTTATTCATATGCTCTCTCTGCCATCTTGCCCACACTCATGTGTCATCAAATCTAAATGTGAAAAAAAAATCGAATTGCATTTATAAAATAATTATTCTGTCAACTTGGTGACGATGCGACTGGCAAATCCCGCTTTTTGCTCTTTCTCAGATGTGATGTCAAATGCTTCGCTCCATTTAATGGGAAGGACGAAAATGACGTCACCCCATCGTATGCATTGAGATGATCTAAGACAGGTTGAAACCTTTTGTTGAGCACCGTACAGGATTACCTACCCAACGTTTAGATGATCGACCATGGCGGTTGTGAGAGCATTGGACGCAGCTATTGCTTCTTTTTTCTTTGCCTCTGTGAAGAAATGGAATAAGAGACAGTAATGTTGAGTGTCGTTTTGCACCGAGTGCGCTACTCGCTTCGCCGTTTTACAGATATAGCAGCGTACCTTGATCTTCCCGGCGCACATGCTGTCGCTGCTGGTGTTCCTTTAACAAACTGGACAACATCGGTGTTCTCTCTCGTGCACAAATTCGCCTTGCAATACAGCCAACGAATACAGCTGATCGACGAGAAATGTTGACAATGTTGACTCCTGTGGTCCCACCCACGGAAACAAGGCGCGTTCGCAGCCTTCGTTGCCCTCACAAGTTACTTAACTTTGCCGACTCTCAACGGGCTAATATGCTGTTGGTGGCTACTTTTAATACCTTTAATCTTTTTTTTTTATTTCGGCATTTTTTTATTTTTTAACTTGTAACTCAACCATCTACAAATACAAATAATGTGGCGTCTTATATATTCTAAAAAGAAAACAAAACATTAAAAACTAGATATATTAAATAACTACACCCCACGAATTGGGTGATGGCTGGCGTCATCTGGCGAGTGTATTTTTAGAGTTAAAGCTAACGGGTGGATAAATAAAGGAGAAAATCGTTTTAATTGGGTGGTTTTCCGCGACACCTAACGATCGTTTTATTTGGATGGATTGTTGCGCTATCTATCCGTAGCAGTTTTAAACAGCCGGACGGATTCGATTCCGCTCCTCATCTTCGTTGCTCTGTTGTTCCGTTGCTCCGCAACCCGCATCTTGTTGCTCCTGTGGCTCTCGGTTTGACGACTTTCACAGCCTGCCGTGTCCTCGTTTATTTCCGCAAAACCAGACCGGTTACAAGATGCTACTACACTGTTCCCGTGAATGTATCTTACTACTTCACGTCATGTTTCCCTGGCTCGAACTAACGTAAAGTCCCAGGACTTCAAAAGCACCGTGGTGGAGTTTCTGTTGACCGTGCGTGCTGAACGTTCCTCATTTCGTCTGATTAGTTCAGCAGGCTTCAAGATGAGCACTGCCGAAGATGATTTGAGCAACTCGACTTTGCGCGAGCAACGGCTTGCGGCACATTCGGCCGAGGACAACATCGTTTCCAAAGTCAACGAGCTTTCGACCGCGCTACTGGTGAGCTTTGAATTTCCGTGAGATCGAACTCATATTATTTAGTTTTTGTTATGTTGTGTGTGCACACGTTTCTTTGATCACTCCAGGACACTAGCTTCAATATCCACAGCTTGAACAGCAAGATTCAAGCATACCACCACGAACAAAACGCTGCCGTTGAAATGGTGAGTTTGCCATTTCGGCTTCCATACGTACCATGGTCTTCTAACTTGATGTTTCGCCCCCTTTTTCTTATTCTGTTTTATAGTTGAAAGAAAACTTGGACGTCTGTCTGAAGCACATCACCACCGGAAAATCTCAAGCGGCAGTGAGTGTGTCTCTCGAAATACTTCTGTATTTTCGACGCTGTTTTCGTTTTGCTAAACACCTCCATTGAAAGTGTAACTTTATTAGCACTAAAGATCGCCATCTTTTGGTTCAAACACCCTGAACTACTGTTCTATCGTAGAACCATTGCAAGTTTCTTCTAACTGTTGCAATTTTTTTTTTGTTCAATTTTAGCAGATTACATGGTTTTGCAAACGTCCTCAGCATGTCGCAAAAACCCACGAATGACCGGCAGGCGTCTATGGGAACGTGTCTTCTGTCTGGGTTTGGACAACTTGAGTTCAGTATAACTCTAGCCAGTTCCAAAAGACACTGTCATTTTCACTCTAGCAAATGACTCCAGTGGTTCCACGCAACTCCGAGAAATAAATGGGGAAAACTTGCTCTGCAGTCCGTCGAGTTCTCCAATCCTCACGAGTCCCCTACGAATCCCTGGCGGATGGTGCGGGACAAAGAGACGTCGATCATAGAGCTCGAGACCAAGAACCAGCACCTCAAAGCCAAGCTCGATGTGGTCCAACAGAGGTGAATGCGTCTTGTTGTCTCCGAGTTTGTCTAGCATGTGTTCGTCTGCTGTATTTTTGTCTGTTGCACGTTCGTCTGCTGGGGACGTAGTCCCACCGAACAAGCGACCAAGGCTGCTTGTCAGCATAACAGTCAGGAACCTGAGCACTCTACATCAGCGCCGCAATTTTCAGAAACATGTTCTTTCATTTTAATGATTATAGTATGTAAAATGTAGATAAAACAGCTAAAGTTTTTGTAATGAAGTTGAGCCTCGACGCACATGTATACGGTTTGAAGCGACCGCTGTCATATTTTTGTCTCAGAATTGTAGGATTGTTTCCCTGAAATAAATTGCATCAAATGGTTTTCTTGGTAAGCGAGAAACGAGAATGAACAAAAGTAGGTATTTGTACCTGGCATATTTTATTTCACAAAAGGGTCATATCACCTTTGCAAAAATTAGAGAATTCAAGTGTAGAACTGATGCTTTGAAATGCTTGTCTTTTCATGTACAGTTGAGGAATGGAATCGGCTACCCAGCAGTATTGTTTCAAACTTTCAAATAACTTTTGTTTCTTTAGTCTTTTTTAAACGAACGTGATTGATGCATATTCTTTCTTGAAGGTGAACATTTCGGCAGACGTCAGCCTGGTTAGGTTAAATGTTATAAATGAATAAAGGGCAAATGCCAACCAATCCCTAAAAAATCGTAGGGTCCCAACGTTTCGGTGCCGGCTTGGCTCCTTCTTCAGGGGGGCTATTTAAAGGAGAAGCAGCTTCTTTCTTTTCTTCTGCGGTGAATGCAGCGCAGTATCTTCGTTTTTTACGGTGGTTAGTTTTCAAACCAGGTGCGGTACCTTTGTTTTCTTCGAAGTTGGTTATTTACAAACGAGGATCAGCATCTTCGTTTTCCTCTATGGTAGGGGCCTGTTTCTTTGGTGTTTTCTCTAAGTGTCGTAGTCCACTGACGTATGCTGAGGGCAAGGTGCCGGAGGATCGATTAATATTTCCTGGTGTGGTCTGTATGCGCCATGACTCAATAAAGAGTCGTTGCCGCCAGTTGGTTTCTACATCCAAGATTCGGGTATTTTCAAAGTCGATGCGGTGGTCATTGTCCTCGCAGTGTTCCGCAACAGCGCTACGCTCTCGATCAAATTTCCGTATGTCATTCTTATGTTGGCGGACTCTTTCCTTGAGGTTTTTTGTTTCGCCGACGTATGAAGCGGAACCTGAGTGTTCCGCTTCATACGTCGGCGTTTTTAAACTGTAGCATAAGAAAAAATAACATTTTTTCTTATGCTACAGTATTCCTTTCCTTGTTTTTTAAGTTTATGAATGCTGGTACATTTCTGTGTAGAATCGTGTGCATTCATATATTTGCATGTTTATCACTTACCTGCAATAATGTCCTCTAAAGACTACAGCATGAACTAAATAAAGTAAATCTCCCTCTCTTCTTACACCAGGCTGAAAGAGAAGAGCGACGAGTTGTCTGAGAGGCTGGCAGAATGCGCTAAGCGCCTTGCGGAACGTGAAAGGGATGCGACGGAGTATGAAGCAAAGTTGCACGTCGCCGAGAAGAAGTTGATGGAGCAGCAGCGTCTGGCGCTGCGAGCCTCCTCTCAACTTCGTGACGTCGAAGAGGTTCGTTTCTTTGTCTTTCGCACGGCAAGTCGGAGTTTAGAAGTATCGTTTCAAGTTGGGGTTGTTCAGATATGTCACTGTTACGGTCGCTGCTGGGGAAATCAAGATGTAGCGGTGATAAGTTTACAGCGGCCAAGCCTTTGCTTTTCAAACGTAGTGCAAGTGGTAATGCATCTGACATGATATATAAATGATATCGAGGTTCTCTTTGGATTCAGGAACTTTATGTGATCAGACACATGGACGGCTGTTTCGTACCTAACACTTTCCCGGCTCATGAACGCCACTCAAAAGCAACACATTCACTTTCTGCCCTCTACGCTTATCAACATTTTTCGTTCTCGTCGAGTGCGGAAGCAACTTTCAAGGCCGTCTCATTAGGGTCGATGAAGTTGTTAATCTGCTCCTTCTTACGACATCACATGTGCAGACTAATTAAACCAATTAAAGAGCTTTTAGTTTTTAAATAATTGCCCCATCGATTCTCTTCATGCAGAAACGCAGATTAGTATGTTTTTCGCCTTCGTCCACACCTCTTTCTGGCGGTCTGTAGACCACCTGGGTCCTTCCCTTTCTTTCCCCAGGATTGTGAGAAGCAGACGACCAGGGCCCGGAGCGAGCTGGAGCGGCTGGAGCAGACCCTCCTCTCGGAGCGGAGCCGCAACAACTCGGTTTGTTAATCTCTCGTTTGCACCTTTACCAGGCAGTCTGAACTGTTGGCTCGAGCATTCAGAAGAGTCGTTTAAATGGTTTGGTTTGTTTCTTTGCTACATAATCACGTAAATCATCAATCAGTAGACGGGCCAGGTTGCTCATGGAAATCCACTCCACCTACCCTTCTCCGAACACCATGAGTCAGTACTGACGCTTCCTCTAGTAGCGCCGTAAGAAACCGAGCACGCCCCCCCTGTCTCAATAAGCGCTTACCTCAGCAAACGTGCAAGACCCTGGGCCTAACTAAAATCACTGGATCCGGGGAAATTAGTGCCAAGTCGCCATTTTGGTTCATGGAATGAACTGTTTCTTCTTTACCTCTCCATTCTTGGTCAGTCTATCCGAATTTGTGGTGTCAGGTTGCTTTATAAAAACATTTCTTTTATACCCAGATTTTGTTATCCAAACACTGGCAAAACAAGCGCACATCCTCGCACCACCACCACATGCGGTGTCGGTGCTTGGTGGCATTAAGAAATAATTTTTCTGTCTCGAAGTACGCAAGGAGAACAATATCGTTTTGAGAGATCCGTGGAGATCTGCATGATTGATAAGCTGATTGCATGCACCGTGCCGAAGGTGCTTGTTTTGCCGAGGAACTCTTTCAGGATGACGACGCTTCATAGCGATATTGGTGCAACTGGTTTGGAACCACCCTTTCAAAGCTTCGATGATCTGAAAGTACCGAAATGATGATTGCCTCGACAACAAAGACAGGTCGGCCAATCGTCTTGCGAGGTTTCGGTCAACTGTGCGCTAGTATCTGTTTGTGTCTGCCCAGCAGGCAGGGAAAGCAGTGGTGCCACTTTTTGGGGATCCGGTGACTTTAGACTTCACCAAGGTGTTCCTTCATGTCAGCTGCCTCTCCGAGAAGCTGCTGTTTGGCAGTGGAGCTTTACGTGCGTGCACCGGTGCGAAGCAGTGAAGCTTGATGCAGGGGCACCAAGTAGGCTTGACAAGAGCAGTGCGGCTTCTTTAAAAAATGGGGATTCCGCAAGGTCTCTGTATTGCTAAGTGTTCCGCAGGGTCAAACAAGGACCTGCCTTACCCTGTGCCCCCTTTTTTTTTTTCTGCTCTTTGACTTGACAAGCACCCATCCCCATTTTTCGCGTGATTATCTCCAGCTTTTGGGTGGGTGCTTGCTCGGTATTTTGTAGTAGACTGGAACTAATGGTTAACTGTGAGTTTTGCAAGAGCTGAATGAGCGCAAATGACATGAGAGCTAAGGAACAACCTTCCATAGCTCTCGTGTCTTGGCCATGACATTGTCTCGTGCTGTGTTGCCGGCGCCGTTTTTAAGGCTGCCAATCTCTCCAACAGCATCATTCATTTTGCGTCTCTTCTCGCACGTTTATTGAAATAGCCCATTTTGAAGTGATTTAGAGACAGGCTTCTTTTCCTGTGTGTTTCGATGGGTTTTTTATTATAATTTTCTTTTTTGTTTTTAGAGTCAGCAGGCCCTTCAGGCTGAGTTGAAGCAGCTGCACTTGGAATCAAGCTCCTGGCAGGTAAGTCCAAATGTCACAACAATCCCTCAATCTCGTTGAAAGAGTTTGATTGAGATAGTCTTTTCTTTTCTCTTGCCTTTTTATACTGCTTGAGCTTGGAGGCAAATGTGTCGCAGGTATCGGTAATTTGAGTTGCTAGGGGGCGTGATTTGAAAAGAAAAAAGGACGTCAAATGCCAGGGAGCTGGAAAATCTCGTTGCCTTACATTTTCAAATTAGAAACTGAAAAACTGACAATAGATTTTGCAAAGACAAAAAATAAATCATAAAGCAGAATATTTACAATACTGCTTCTGACAAAGCCAGTAGTGTCAAAAAAAAAAAATTCAGTTTTTCTATTTTGGTGAAGAAGGAAGAGCAGCGGAGCTGCAGCTTCTGTTCGTGGTGGTGGCTTTCCAGGCGAGCAATCTGCTCTTCTTTCGCAAGAGAATCTGAAGCGCCCGACGCAGTCGAACTTTAGGCGATAGTGGCCTCGCAGCGGTTGCGAAACCACTCGCGCTGCTGCGCACATCGCCGCTCGTTCCGTTCCCGCTCTTCTCCCTCCGAAGAAATGCCGCGCTGTGTGAGCGTCGTCGGCAAGCGGACAACCGGCAAACACAACACTCTGGACAGCTACCGCCATCTATGAGCGACGGCGGCAACCAGAGTTTTGAGTCGACATTTCTTTGCGGGAGACACGATCCTGGGGAAACTAGTCCTTAACAGCTCCGCTGTAAAAACTTCCTGAATACATCAGGATTTTTCCACGGGGTTAGTGATGTGTAAACGTGTTTACTTATAGCAGTGGTTCTCAAATGGGGGTCTGCAGACCCTTTGAAGTTTGCGAAGGTATTCTGGGGGTCCGTGAAGCCCTGCCTCACCAGTTCAACTTGGCAATAAAAGTTGACTTTTTCAGATCAAAAAGCAACGTCCCAATTTTTTGTTGAGTTTTCTCGTGTGTATGTCAATGAGAGAAGTCTATTTCACACTAGCCCTTAGTTACAGTAGGCACGCGATAATTCAGAGTCAGATATTTCACACTTTAGTTAATTCAAACAGATTTGAAAATTTTGGTTGTCCTGCTATGTTTTGAATGTGTTTATAAGCCGCTTAATTCGAATGTCGTTTTAATTCATACTTTTTTGTTTTCACGGCCCCGTTGAGTGTGCTTCTTTCCGAGCACCGGTGCACCGCAGAGAAGCAATACCCGCGGAGCTTGCTTTCGCGAGTGTTGCTTCTCCGCAGTGCACCGGTGCTCGGAACGAAGCGCACTCAACGGGGCTCAAGCGGGCACACATAAGCAGAAAACGGCGTTCACATTATCTGTTTCAAGACCAGCAATGATGACAAAGACGACATCGATGATGAGGACCAGCTCACTGGCATCATGCTTCGTGGCCTTGAAGCACATAATGTGAATGCCGAGCTGGCGAAATATGCTAGTCTTGACGACAATGTGTGTGTTTGTCATGGTGACTCATTAGAGGGCATAGTACAGGAAGTAATGCCAGCACAGTGCAGCAGGGAAAGTGAAGATGACGATGAAGAAAGGGATGATCCACTACTAACTGTCATAGCCACAGAGGCTTTTGAGCACATCGCTCAGCTTCGGAAGTTTTTGTCTGCGATGGAAGAGTCCCGTAAAAAGCTACTTGCGTTGGCTGGTATTGAAAATTGTTTTGTGATCTCATGTGCCGACTAAACAGTCCACAATCGACAACTTTTTTGTCGTTTGAATGAACTAATTGTCACAGTTCTTTCACCAATGTGTTATGCCTGTACTTGCTTATAATTAGGCCCATGTAGAGGAAACTGGCAAAAATCTGCTTTGTATGTGTAGCTATCCATGTAACAAATCATAATGTTGTCTAGTATCATATTTATATGAATTTCTCATAATTCAAACGAAAATTTGTGACTTCCCAGAGTTTGAATTAATGAGAGTCTACTGTATATCCATTTATTAAATCATTATCATAACTAACCTATACCTTTTCCTTGCCCTCATCACTGCCCTATAGTAAAGTAAGCTTCCAGTAAAACGAACATGTTTTTGCATCACGGTACTGTTTACCAAGCTTGACTGCAACCAGGTTTCTAGTAGTCCTTCGAGTGATGTAGAACAAAATATGGTGGAGCACTGCTCAGAAGTCCCACTCGAATCGAAAGTAAAGCCGGGATCACGAACTGTATTTCATGCTTGCAGTGCTCGGGGATTGCATCGAAACTCTAGCATCAAGTGCTCCCCGTATCTCGCTAACGCTGGTTTCATGTGCAGGAGCGCTACGTGAGAGAAAAACAAAAGGCGTCCCAACTCTCCGAGGAGCTGGTTCAGCTCAAGACGGAGCTGCAAAGGTAGGCATGCACGTCCACATTCTTTGCCACGACACCTTGTCCTAGTCGACGTCAAACACTTCTGCCACAGTCTAGACTTGTCAACTTCTACTACAAATAATATGTGTGTTTCTTTTTAAAAAAGAATCCTCGCTATGAAATACCTGTATCGATATGAAGAGGCTACTTTGGCACTGCGTCTCTGTGTTTATATCTTCGTGCTATCGGTCTTTGCTATAGGGAGGTTCGACAGTGCTTCCATAGTTGGAAACGTGGCATTCGAATGTAATATATGTATGTTACACTTGTATAAATGCAAGTTTAAGCGTAACACAGTTGGAATGCATGTTACACTTGAATTAACAAAGGTTAAGTGTAACCCAGTTGGAATCTATGTTACACTTTGCAACCTACCGGGGCTCTCCCGAGTTAAAATAGGGGCTGTGATCTTTTTCATTAACACTTTTTCAGGTATCGCAACCTTGACATTCAGGATGTGGATGGTGGCAGCAGCTTGTCAACAAAGAATGCATTAAAGGTTTGTTCTTTTCTTCTGCCAGCAAACGCTGCCCCTAAAATGAACCATGTTCTGTTTTTCTTGGTTCCAACTGGATTACTTTTTTTCCTGCTTCGTACTAACATCACTTACTTTCATTTCTTTAAATACATCCCGATTTTGTTTTCGTGTTTTCTTTCCGACACCCTAGGAATCTGAGCGGCGTCTAGCACAAGTTAAGTACAAGTACGACTGCCTTCGAAAGGAGATGGCCGAGTTGAAAACGCGGTCACAGGTGAACTTTTCTTATCACTTGTCCATCATATTTTAAAATCCCACCTAAAATTATTGAAAAAAAATCCTAGAAAAAAATGTACACAAATGGTCTGGCATCTTTTTTTGGTAGGCAGAAATACCTCAAGATCTTTCCAGAACAGCTCAGTCTGAGGACTACGAAAGGTATGTGCAAGACCACGGATTTTATTGCAAGTCATGCATGAGCACTCCTGTGAATGCTCTTTGGAATGTTACCTAAGGCTGAGCATTAGCAAGACTGAACATCATCATCATCTTTAAATGTGAACATGGTATCACTTGTATTGGAGGTGTGGCATCAGTATTATTACATACTTAGAGCCCTGCACAGACAGCAGTTTTATCATCCAATCCGCATCCGCAGATTTTGTGTCCACATCAGCAAAATTCAGAACCGCATCCCACCATCAATCCACTCATTTATTTTACATCATAAAAATACACATGAATAAAAACTAAAGACTCATCTGGATGGTATCCTACAAGCCATCTGCTCACCTCTGTACAACAAACTTTCGTGTCGGAATACGGTGAAAGTCATTTTATCACATTCTGTTTTTACATATTTATAGAATAAGCGATCATCCTTCCAGGGATACTTCGCATTGCTAGAAAGATGACTGCAGTTATGAGATTTGTCTTGGGAGCCCATGACACCAACACTGTCCAGAAGATGCATTCAAGAGGGAGGAACACACCTATTTTATAAGCATGAAATTTAACAAATGACAGACTGATAATATTGTGCTATTTTATTTGTGTCAAACAATAAAAAAGTGGGAGAGGAAAGCCGCTCACTTTCCGCAGTAAAGTCCTTGTGCATATGTATGTGGTAACGCGCGAGTACACCTCTGGGAAAATATCACAATATTCAATAATGGCAACATTTATCCGTTTCAGTCTTAAACACGAACCCTCAGCTGCATGCTCGAAACCATACACTGAAAAACTGCTCAGTGCCAACTGTCGAGAAAAAAAAAAAATCCACACATATGCAGCAGCGTTTCACTTGTTGAGGTTGCTGTTAGAAAAAAACGGAATATTGTCAGCATGAACGGATTTAGTTTTAAATGAATACCCGCTAATAAGAAGTGTCTCTCTTTTGATGCACTTGTTGCTGGGTTGGCATGCATGAACTGTGCTGCAAGGATGAGGTGCGGAAACTCGGGCTGGAGCAAGTTTTCTAGGGGCAGCACTTTTGGCGAGATAGAACGTTCTAAAGGGATCTTCGGCGAGAATCAAATTTTTCTTGACGTGAAGAACATTTTTCTTCCCGATTTGCACCTTTTTATCTAAGGGAGTGGTTTGCTCCCGCAATAGATTCAATGATGTACTTAATAGTATCACTCACTTATTTACTCTACAGTGTGTGGTTGCACACTTTTGTGAGGCACCTCGGCGAAAATGTAGATCCAGACTCGCAGATATCCGATCTGCATCTGATCCGCAATCCGCTATATCTGATTAATTTTTATCCACATCCGCCAAATTACTGCGGATATCCACGCTGCGGGTAGTCCGGGGATATGCAGGGCTCTAATTATACTGATTGGATGATACGTCAATAGGACGTCGGCCTAGTGTAATTATTTTTAAATTAAAATAGTGGTACTGTGGAGAGATTTATGTTTCTGTGTCACTTGTTTTCTGAAATTCTATGGCGGTCGTACAATGTATGCAGTTTAAATTTATAGGACGTAAAGGAACACTAGGAGGACACCGATTGCTGTGTCGTGGGTTTAACTGGCAGCTCATGCGACATATTTCGCTGCCGATTCAGGTGCGCTTCAATACAGAGACAGCGTAGGACACTTTTTGTGCCACCTAATTGACAAAGCAACATTAAAAAAATATATATATATTTGCTCTTTTTTTTGTGTGTGTTGCCAACATGAAAGAAGCTCTGTTATTGTTGCAAACGTCAAACTCAAATGCAAAGCTTATTATCTAAAGAATCCAAATAAAATTCCCAAACATTATAATCTGTGCGTGCGGATTCATGTTCCGCAGACGTGGCAAAAGCAGCAAGTGCCTGATAAGGCCTTAGCCACCTCTTGGTATGCAGTTGGCCACATACAGATACAAGACAAAAAGAAAAACAAAGACATAAAACATATTAAGCAGAAATAGCCAAATCAAATCAAATGATAGACAACCAAATAATTAATAGCGTAGAAACACTGAAACATAAGTGTATTGTGAACATTTTCATGGAACAGTCCGATAGTCGAAAACACGGGAGTTATGCACAAGTTTGTACTAGGGTGAATGGACAAAATATGTCGAATACATGTTTCTAAAAAGAGAATTGGAAATCCAGGATACAGTAGACGGCTTTTTGCACAAAGCAGTGTAAAAACAGAAATGCTATGAAGAAAGACAAACAGGTGCTAACAAAAGTTTGAGAGCACCGCAAAGAAGATTTGTTTCTCAATCTCGTTTGAATTGATATTGATACCCCAAAATTTAATTCAAGTTATCCACGATTTAAGATTGTTGTTTTCTGTTTTACAATTTCATTAGCAAAGAAGATTTGTTTCACTATCTTGTTTGAATTGGATATTGATGCATTGAAATTTAATTCAAGTTCTTCACAATTCAAAATTGTTATTGTCTGTTTTACAATGTTGTTAATCTCTGAAAATTGCAGACTAAAGCTCGAGAAGAGAGACATTGAAGAGGTCTGTCTCAGCTTTGACCGCAAATTCCAAAAACAGGTAACCCCTTTTACTCCTAACCTTTTTTTTTTTTTTTTTTTTCATGGTGCATGTTAACATTACGGTTTCAGTGAAATTCAGTCTTGAATGTTTGTTCATGTTCAACTTTCCAGGCTCAACTCCTGAAAAGAATGGAGCAGAGGTAAGTGTCAGGGTACTTACTTACATCGATATGTTGTTTGCACATATGTACGCCATGTATGTGCTATCATGTTTTGGGGGAATCTCACAAACTGCTACCGCTGCTATGCAATAATTTCATCAGCTCTTATTTATTTTCAATTTTACATGTTCAGCATTGACCTATTGTTTAATGTTTTACAATTTTTTGTTTCTTTGCTTTTTCCACAGATGTGATACAAATTTTCTCCAATTTTAAGATTGCCAACATTATTACTTTTATTATGCAGACATCAACATTTTCACTGACACCTTTTTACTTTTGCAAAATTTGTATCTGTCTGATTTTTGTTTGAGTGTTTCGTGTTGTGCCTTGTTGCTTTTTCTTAATTAAGCGTCTTCTGTTTTAGAATGCACCGTTTAATGGGCCATATGGTCGTTCTGATCGTCCAGAAGTAAAGTCGCTACTGTTATTACTATTTACAAAAATGTTTGCCATGCTTCCTTGTCTTTTCAACAGGCTGGAAGAATCTCAGGCTAAAATCGTAGAGTTGACTCAAGCCAAGTCTGAAAAACAAAAGTCCTACCAAGTGAGCCATCTTAACATTTGGCGTTACGAGAGATCATCGAGGCCTCCAATAATCCGTGTTCCGTCTGCTTCTTTCGTTCAGGACTTTGTGAAGTACGTCTCGGATCGAGTGGACCTGTTGGTTGGACTGCTTTCCATGCGATCGTCCGATACCTTCCAAGTAAGGGGTGCTTCTCGGAGCAGATTAGCGTACCAGTAAAAAAAGCGTCTCAGTTTTATCTTTTTTCAAAAGTTCCTTACCAAAAAGCCGTCCAACATAGTTGCTAGGTCCTTGTGACAAACAAATTACACGAAGAATGTCCACTTGCAGGCACTGTTTGCGACGGAGCTCGTCGAAAGGCGGCCAGTGAGCTTTCAAGTTGCCGAAGTGAAGGTGAGAAGAGTAGTCGCAAATTTTTTTGCATCACTTAAGTGACATGAGAGCCACGCATGGTGCGTCACGCACCCTTCACCCCGTTATCTGACATAGCCACAGTTGTCATTCTTTATCACAACACAGAATGTATGTTTACGCACTAGCAAGGCATGGGCACTGAGCATTTTGTTTGCATGGGACCTCACATGCGCTTTTGCATGTGGACGTGATTCTGAGATGTGACTTTTCGTGTTTTAGATCTAGTGTTAAGAGAGTGTCACAGATTGCGTTCGACAAGCCGGGCCATGAAAAGCATCCTCCGTGTTTTCCTTTGGTCAGGTAGTTTGAATGCCAGCAATGTCTAATACAATGAATGATAAAAATAGATTGTATTGAGCGTAGCTTTTTTTGGGGGCGCTAACCTATGGTTATCTGTGGTCAGCCCGAATTCTAGGGCTAGGCTGGGTTTTCTCGTGGTCTCATATCGTTGTGGATTAACGCTGATCTACGTTTCAGAGCAAGTTCCACTGGATGACGCAAGAGGTCCGTTCCCTCTGTCTAGGCGATTTAGAGACGAGGGCTCGCAGCTCGGAAAGCTCATTGGCATCAGTGTAAGTCTCGAATTCCATTATCCCCTTTTTCGATGGTATGCGGGTTAAACTTTCGTGATTTTCAGTAGTTGTGCGGCGACTGAAATATGCGTGGTCATGTGTGGTGCCCGAAAACTGAGCTGGATTTAGAATTTCTCTGAAAGGTCTTTCCAGGTGCTTTTTCGAAACGTCTTATGCCTCAGTGTGTGAGGCAAAAGACACTGTCACATTTTTTTGTAAGTGACATTGTATTACTGATTTCACAGCAGACAAATGTAGCACACACACTAGTATTTTGGACAAACACACAACATACACATTGTGCTGAACTCGCAACTGTATTTTGTACTTCATCCATGTTTTCTTCTTTGTCTGTTAACCACATTACCTTTCCAGCTCTGCCTGGTTTTACTAATAGAACCAAGCCAATCCATGTGTAGCCAACAGAATCCAAAATGGCCGCTTCTCGGTGGTGTTTCCTGCCGATCGCTCACGACGATTTTGTCAGAAAAATGTAACTTTTGGACGGAATATGTATATCCTATATATCGGTCATTATGCTCCTATATTGTGTACACACAGATTTCCTTTATACTATTACCTTTATCGTCTTACCACCAGTATACCAGTCGTTTCATGAAGTGCCAGCCAAAAGTTTTCAACAAAAACCTTCCATCTCATAGAAGATTGGTTCCGGGTTAGTTATTGTTGGGGTGCATAGCACATAGCACTTGGGATGATTAAGTCTTCAAGCTTTTGCATAATGAACTTTGTAATCGGGGAAAATAAGTGCATGGTTGCAATTAGAAACGTTCTGGGATCAATGAAAACCACTAAATCAGTCAATTTTTAGAGAGATTTGGAGTGTGTGCTTGAGTTTTCTGGGTCGTGAAAATGCATGTCTAACGTCGACTCGCCTGCTCGAGTTTTCTAATTCTTATCGTTCATTATTTTCGCTCTGCCAGCCTTGCGCCCGTTTGCAGCACAAGCGATGCCTCGCGCACCACTGCGCACTCCGAATTTATCTAAAATTTATTGACTTGGAGGTTTTCATTGACAACCAACTAAATATCTAAATAGACTGCCGTTTATTTTTACTAATAAAAAAAAGTTAGCTATACAAAACAAATTAAGGCCTGTATTATCTGAAATGTTATATAGTTCCTGCCTAAAAATAGGCCCCTTGCTGGTGACTGATACTGCATCAATACTTTTCCTGTGTGATGCATAGGTTTTAGTGAATCCAGAATTTGAAAAGAGAAAGGGGGTTTGCATTGTGGTTTATTTTTATTGCTAGGACTACGTTGGTGGTCATGGGGGCTCTAGAAAAGAGGAAATATGGGGTAATTAGACAGCTAATTAAATAGGAAATATTAATCAGCTTTTAGTTCATTTTTATTTCTGGGTCATAATTAGTTAGAGAATGGACACCCGACTTTATAAGCTAGCCGTGACATAGAATTTCGAATTAAAAAATTCGTAGTGGGTGTGGTGTGTCGTGGAACGTTGTCTTTGCACATGGCTTCAAACCAAAACTGAGCCGCTCAAGAGCGCCCGTGACGTCAATTCATCTTCTCCGCATTACAAGTAAATGCAGAGTGGAGGGATCGATGCCATGGGCGCTCTTTTTCCCTACAATATTTCTATTGTCTCGTATAATGTTGTTAGTGTATATGTCTTGTAAGTGTCGTTTATAAGCGTGTAATGTTTGGCATTGGCTTCGATGAAGGGCTAGCACTATTACATTTGCTGGTGGGGATGTTGTTGCAGCATCTTTATTCTCTCTTTCTTTTCCTCTCCCATTGCGATACAGAATCGACCGCGGTTTTCACCAGACACGAGCAGGAACCAGCAACAGGCAGTCCGCCAAGTTTTAGGCAAACATCCCCGATCAAAATAGTTATCTTATTATTTTTGTAGTGCTCACATGTTCATGATTATCGTACGTATACACCTGTGTGAGAAGCACTCACCATGGTTTGCGATTGCATCTTCACCAAAAACGTGCGACTATTTGTGATATTTGTGATATTTCTTTTCTTTCTTTTTGTCTTTAATTGTGCCAGCAACATTCCTACTTTGAGGGGCACTAAAGTGGATTTTGAAATTTTCTTTTTCTAGACGATAACTCAACCTATCCTTCCTAAAACAAAAATTATATACAGTTGAACCTCGATTTAAAGAAGTCGCCAGAACCATCTCATTTTTTCGTTAAATCGGGAACTTCGTAAAATTGAGACAGATATTCTTTTGGGCATGGGCTGCGCAGGGAATCCAAATTTTTTCGTTAAATCGGGAAATTCTTAAAATAGGGTTTCGTAAAATCGAGCTTCAACTGTATTACGATCGTGCGTAGCCGTTTTCCCTATTAAATAAGTGACCAAATATTGCGACACGCCGCTTTTCTGAAATGTATCTCAGGAAATCGGTGTGTCGTTATGTGTGCGTGGTTGCTTTCTAAATAGCATAAAGTACACGGATGGTTGTAATTCTGGGTTTTCTAGGATGCCTTAGAATGCATAGGTTGAGCGTGCAAAATTACAGCAGCCTAGAATATACCATTCTAGGCCAATGTAAAGTAATGAAGAGACGATCTCAGAAAACATGCCCCTTTAAGGCTTATCGAGTTGATCTCATTTACATTTTACCGTATACTACTTAGCACATTTTTTTAGTGTACAACGTCATTACTGGCCCCTTGACAGGTGCCGTTCCTGCTTGTTTTCATCGTTTGACGTGGTTTTTGCGAGTTGATTAAAAACATTTATTTTTTTTAAAAGAAAACAGAAACGTGTCTCTTGGCTCGTGCAACTGACATGTGGTGCGAAATCCCTGGAGCGTCGCCAAGACGAATCGCGCTGCGTGTGGGACCAAGATGGACCTAGACCCCAACCTGTGATGTCAAACTTCCTGTTAGTTTTTTGTAAGTTGACTTTCTACTTATTCCAGTCCTCCTTTGTCATCTTAACCTCGAACGAAACTCGCTCTTTCCCGCTGTATATTTTTGTAGAGCAGACAGCGCTGATGTTTTCTTTTCAAGAAAACGAAAAGGGCTGTCGTCTGCCTTTTTTGGCCGACATCTGCGATTGGATAAGGTGTGGCGTCATAGGCCTAGTGTTTTCAGAACACTCTTCGCTGTGGTGTTGTGGCCCTCCTAAGCCTAGAAAAAGAAGTCAGTCAACTTGTGCAATCTTTACAAGTTAAACTCTGGTAAAAAAAAAAACATTAATCTGACTTTTTTTTTTTTAGATAATTTTCAAGTTGTTTTACTTATCCCCTCAATTCTTTTTCATTGAAAACAAAAATGTTAAGAAAGAGAAACAGTTTTTAAGACTTCCTGAAGTTTTATTATTTAGTAAATTCTGTACTATTTGCTCCAAACTAAAAATTTTGTCATTCTTTTTTATTATGATTATGAGCTTCTTTTGAATTGCGCATTTTGTAAACTTAAAGTAAAACACTTGGGTGATTCATTATGATTTTTCCTTTTCGTGATTTGCCAAACTGCACAGAAATCAAAACAAACCTATAAAGAGCTTTTTTTTTTTTTTTTTTTTTTTAAATTGTGGTTTTGTAAAACATTGAATAGATCATTACGACAGCTCCGATAATCATACCCGATGCTCCGCCGGCTCCTCTGCGCATGCGTCGTATTGTTATCGGGATTATCGCCATCGGAGTTGTCAGAACGATTTACCAAAACTCCCTAATAGCAATTTTCACAAGGTACCACCGAGCTTGAAAATTACGAGCTGTCATAATGACGACGCAAAATTCCCGTGGCCCTCCCAAGAGAGGTCCGACGTTGCGCCGTTGCGGTGGCCCCACTGTCGGCACTGCGCGCTCGCAGACACCGCCCGACGCGTATCCAGTTTCTGCGCATTGAAAATTACGAGCTGTCATAATGACTACGTGAAATTCCCGTCGCCTTTCCAGGAGAGGTCCGACGTCGTGCCGTTGTTGTGGCCCCACTGTCGGCACGACACGTCCGCAGACACCGCCCGACTCGTATCCAGTTTCTGCACATGTGCAGTGCCCACACGCTTGTCTGTAAACAGCACTTTGACCTCTACAAACAAAACAAAAAAAAGACAAACACAGCACACTGTTTGAGCACAACGGTTTCTGAAGGGGAGTCTCAGTGCGACACAAAGGATATGCGTGCACGCCTTCACGTCGTGTGGCTGTGCCGATGCTTCGCTGGAGAACCGGCGTCGGAGGTAGCCACAGCGGTCGCCGATGCCTTGGGGAGAACGACGCAGCGACCGCACAGCAAGATGGAGTTGAGGAACCAGAAGGCTGCAGCAAGCCACATGGCAAACTGCAGTGCAGGAATAAGCCGGCGTGACACGCGGTTAAAAGAGGGAAGCTCTTGCAAAACTTTGCTAGTCTCTAATTTGCTTCAAATCGTTTTGACACGTCGATAGACACGTCTGAACTAGTAATCCAAATTGCGAGTCGGTAATTTATTTTTGCGAAGTTATTGAATTTTCATATTTGGTGTGAGCAACATTAGCCTAGGCACCCAGAGGTTCTGCTGGCAACACTGAAAATTTTGCGTCACGTGTACGGGGGCAGTACTGCTCGTTCCCAACGTTATTAGATTAGCTAAGTTACGGAATCGCTCGTAGACGCTGCTTGCGCGAGCAGTATCCTCACTTGCCACGACTTTCCTCCCCTCGTTCAACGCGCCAAACGGCAGCTGTGATAACTGCAGGGTATTCTAGTGAATACATACCTTTCAGAGATAGTCTAGATGGCGTTCCAACAATGCTCTATCGAACACACAGTTATAAAACGAAAATCTAGATGGCGCTTCGAATGAGGAAACGCTAAAGCCCCTCGATGTGTTTGCGCTCGTCTTGCAAGTAGCGTCAAATGCGCGAGTGCACGAGGCCCATGTCTCGAGCGGCCCTTGGAAGCAAATGGCGGCCCAGCACTGAAATGAGCGGGCCTTGGAAGCGAATGGCGGCGGAGCACCCGCTCATGGCACGTGTCTCGAGCGCTTCCACAACAATGGTTGGCGGTACTTGTGAAAAACGCTTTTATCAAGGGACTTTACGAAACGCCAGAGCCGTGTATAGAGAGAGTCTGGTCAATGGGAGGAGCCGGGGTAGAGCGGCAAAAGCAGCAGCACCACCAGTGCTGCATCATCCCCCCATGATAAACTTGCGAAGTAAGAATGCGCTGGGATGACCTTGAAGGACTCGCGTAGCACAGTGCAGTTATTTTTTATTTCTGGATGAGGCTGAAAGTCCATGAATGTATAATTGTAAGAGTTTGGTGGCAGAGGGGAGCTTTAGGGTGCTGAGTGTGTTTACTGAGCCTGGGAAGTTAATTAACATTGACGAAAAAAAATTTCCTGAAACATGAGGCGACACTGAATGTGGGGTGCACATTCGGGGCTTGGTTCAAAACTCCCGCGGAGTCAAATCCGCAGTTATTGCTGCCCACTTCGTCCTTGCCGCAAGCACGAGTGCAGTCAAAAGAAAGTATTGGTGCGTTGTGAACATCGCCGTGACGACAACATCACGTGCGTTGTCCTTTCAGTCGACGTTACTAGATTACCTCAGTTGCGGAACTCCCGTGGAAGGGGTTAACCCCTCACTCACTTCAGCCTGCCTTCCGTCATTTGAAGCGCCATCTAGGTTGTCTTTTCATAACTGTGCTCCATAGAGTATGGTGGAACGCCATCTAGACGCTGCACTTTGAAACGTATGTATTCCATAGAATACACTGAAGTTACCATAGCAGCCGTCCGGCACATCGAACGATGGGAGGCGAGCTGTGGTGAGTGAGGGGGAGTACTGCTCATGCATGCAGCGTCTATGAGCAGTTCTGTAACTGAGCTAATCTAATAACTTGATTACATCCTTACCTAGACATTGTGATTGGAGGGTATTAAGCTCACTGCCTCCACTAGGCAAATATTTGAGGCTAGTGGTTGGTCACAAGCGCTGTCAATCATCACACCCAAAGTCTCTGCGGGAGGCAAACTGAAGTGAGTGGGGGGGTACCCCTTCATGCGGGAGTTCCACAACTGAGGTAATCTAGTAATGTTGCTTGTTTCCGACTGGCAATGTTGCCGATGGGTTATCGTGACGTCACGTCGCAGCTGTACAGCTAATATCAGTGTTGCCGTCTCCCTAGCACATAATTTTGGTTTTGTCGTAGATGCCCCAAACCAAACTTTGAATCGTTATATTTATAAACTACACACAATATTTAGAGAAAAAAAAAAAAAAATATATATATATATATATACACACACTTTGTAATTCAAATACTGACTGATTTGAAAAATCCCAAATTCGAAACTACTGACTGGATTTGCCATTTCCTCAACGGTTATTTTGAATAAAAAAATATAATGTAAGAAGAATAATGCCTGGTTATTCCGAAAATGTGTTTAGCTTGAGTAGCTAAAAGAAATTCTGGGGTTTCCCTTGAAATAAGGTATGGAAATTGAAGCATATGTAGAGCTCAGTTTTGTGCGCAACCCCAGACCCACAGAGCCATTACTGCTGCACCTTTCTTATGCCCATACCCAACATGTGAGACTAAGCGAATGGCTCATTAGAAAAGCAACACAGGAAATTTATAAATGACCTAAGCATATGGGGAAAAAAAGTTGCTCAAATGTTGTGCATAAGTGATGACCTACATGTACCAGGGCTTTCTCTCAAACGTCTAAGAATCTAAATACTAGTTTCTTAATATACATACACATTTTTGTTACCTCTGATCTTGAGAAGAGTGTGTAGAAATTGCTCATTTTGACTTTGCCAGGTCTCCATTCCTTTCCTTGTGCGTCTGAGCATCTGAAGTAGAGGGGAGAGAACATTTAGACAGTTTGGGGGGCAGACACCTAGTAGTGGTCCCGATGGCTCGACGACAATTTGAACAAATGGCACCGGCCGCACCGCATTGGAAGTTTAAAACTGCCGTATTAGGCGTAAAACTCAAACTAAGCGCTTGGGAGCCAGATCGGTGACGTCTTAAAGGAACCCTGAAATATTGTAACGTCATAAACCTATTGGTCAATGCGTATCCTGGGGTACCTGACTGCTGCTGACCTCCCCCTGACCTGCTAAAAATAAAACCATAAAAATTTTAAAAAAAGATGAAAGCCGTTTACTGTAACGCCGAATTAGAGCGCAGCCCTTGAGGAAGAGGGAAGGGTACTGAGGGTCACGTGTACTGGGGGGGGTCACGTGACCTCACGGTCAAGCCGTGAGGTCACGGCTTGACCGTGAGCGCTCAAGCCGAAAACGGACGCCTAAGAGCTGCGCTCTAAAAACTTAAATGTTTTAATTAATGTAAACGAAATAACTAAGGTCACGCTAATGGAATGTTTGCATTACAGTTTTGACGCTGAAGAAATATTGAAATTTCACATTACTAAGCCAATTACCGAAGTCGCATTTGCCGCTCCAACGAGGCGCAGAACCTCGCCTGACCCACCGTCACCAGGATGGCGCAGACGAGCATCAGTGAGGAGAACAGGCAGGTGAGCAGGACCGCGGGTGGAACCACCTTCCAGGGGGCGCTGATTCGCCTGGGATGCAATCAAAAGCTGGAACACGGGAGCATATTGGAAACGTAGTATGGGTTCATGTGTTTATCTCACTGATTGGTGCGTGCTATATGCGAAATCAATCCGAACCGGGAAACAAACTTCTCAGCAAAAACTTTTTGTTTCCTTTTTTTGCTGACAAAAGGTGTCTTAGTGAAACAGATTCCACGGGCAACCGGTTAAACGAATATTGGGCCTTGGTGGACTTTGACTCGTACAGTAATTTCCTTTCTCTATTTTATCTTTTTATGTAGTTATTTATTATTAATACTACACCTGGTAGAGATTTCGTAGGAGTGGGTGTCACATTCACACGGTGTTTCCGCTTTCTGCGATGCGTAACCTCGAGTGGGAAAACGGTTTCAGTTGTGGTACGTTCAGTGGTGATGAAACTGCTTCTTCTTCTGATTTTCATTAATTAAACTGGAACAATTAAATAAAATCAATAATAATCGGTTGCATTGCAAATCTCCGATAGCGCTAACCGCCTTCGCATAGGCAACGATACTCATTGCACCCTGAGAGGACTTGGTAGAAAATTTCGTCCCCTCAGACTTCGCGAATGCATGCATACAGCGCTAACGTGCCTAGATAAGCGTTGTTTTTGCGCCGACACCTGCAGTTTAGCCAAACGCGCGCACACACTGCAGGAACATGCTATCCACAGTTACATCTGTTTTTTTTTCACTTCATATTGAAAGGCTGGCTGTCATCAGGTTTGCTGCTCGTCAGTGCTTTTGTCGCTTTTGTCTGTGAAAAGCGATCAAGCGCTAATGTCGTGTTCGTGCTAACATGCAAAAACAAAACAAAAAAAAAAAATGAATAGAATGTATATTGGGGGGTTTTGCTATTAATAAGACAACGTTCGATATATCTCCATTCATTATTCCCGGAGGGTGTTTCCTTTGTTGTCGGGGGCCAGCTTGCGTGAATATTGGATGAGGAAGCGCGGATTGTATCCAGAATGTGACGAGTTTTTAGTGTTGATTTCTCGTCCACGGTCTCCCAGGCATAACCTTAACATTCCTCGCCTCATAAATTCGAGAAGCAAACCAACCAAACTGTAACAACTGCAACCACACGAAAGTTAAACAACCAATTTATTTCGAATAAATCAGTTATACTTCGGGACGGCACGTTGTAATTTCCCAGCGCAGCAGGCATATCTAATAAATGTATTTCTGAGATTCTTATTTATATTTTAAAGGTGAAGTGATTATTTGGATGCATGGGTACTTGTTGAAAATTAAAATCGCTATAGCTTCCCATGAATGCAAGCGTTCGTGCGTGTCGTAGGGAAAACAACAGCAACAATAATTTTAATTTGTTGCGCGCATCATTCCCGACGATGAAACTTCGGAAACATGTGTTCACATATTTCATTGCATTATTTAAGGCATATTAAAACTTGTGTATTATTCCGTTTCGTAAATTAAATCGTAATCAGCGCGCAATAATAATAAACAATAGATAAAGTGTGCTTACTCTTTGGGAATGGCAGTCACAGTGCCGAAGAAGGAGCAGAAGATCCACACCCATAGAAAGGCGTAGATGAACGACGCCACTGTCGTGAAGAGGCAGAAACGGCACGTCTCCAACGAACCCGACGTCGAATTGTTCACGTCGAATACGTATCTTTGCTCATCGCTATCCCAACGCACGCGAGGATCCGCAAACAGGGGACAGAACTGGTCGAAGTTCTTCAGGAGCAATCCAAAGGCCAAAATACCGGCGAGGGAGCACAGGAAAGATCCGATAAAGAGGGCAATGTGGAAACGTTGCCATCTGTGAAACCTTTTTCGGTGTTCGGCTTCGTGTGAGACCAACTGAGAGGTGTCCCTGTCGTGACTTGCAGGTTTTAAGTCGGGCATCGCGCGCTGGGGATCACGCGTCGTCTGCTAGACTCGAAAAAAGAGCGCGTCGTCTGCTACTCAAACCGCTGCTGCTGCCGCGCTGCATGACGGGGGAAGAGGAATGACGTACGCACCATGTGGTTGAGGCTGCGTTCGCTTTCCTTCGTTTGTTTCTTTTTCGGAACTAGGGTGACTAGGGTCCAAGGTGCTCTGGGCGGGAAGCTTGCCCAATCTGCCTCCCCGTAGAAAGCCCAGAGCCTTCATCCTCTACTCGCTCATCTGCATCTGCATTTTCATCTGATAGTGCAGTTTGGACAAAAATGTTTGGTTTTGCTTGTACTTTTAAAAAGGCAGGTGAAAACAGTTTCGAGAAGCGTCCCCCATTTATCTACATCCGCCAGCGTATTCTATCCGCTCTCAAAATAAATGGTACCACTTCGGAGTTTATATTTAAAAAAAAGGAATAAAAAATGCTCGCCATCTGGCTGTCAAGTGCTGTTTGTGTTGCTTTTACCGAAAACTCTCCGCTAAGCCGAGAATATATATATAAAAGCCCTGATTTACGAGCGAGTGCGTAATAAAAAGTAGTAAATAAAAAAAAAGTTTATTTTATAACGTTATTTATGATGTCAAGTAAAGCAAAGTTGATTCTTTGTTGAGGATGAGGCTAGATTCCAAAGTTCTCCAGACCCAGATATGTTGATACATGCATTCCTTTCTTAGTGCAATTTTTAGAAAACAATCATTTGAAAATAATCTTGAGAATCCATCCTTCGCGGCGTCTACCAGCACACATGTAAAGCAGTGTTCGCAAAATAGATTCCAAAGTGCTTGGGACCTGTTGTATCATTAACGTTGTTTTTTAGAGCGCAGCTTTTAGGCGCCCGTTTCCGGCTCGAGCGGCGTCGGCGTCACCGTGAGGTCACGTGACTCCCCTTTCCCCAGATCACGTGACCCCCCCCCCCCCCCCCCCCCGAGGTCACGTGACCCCACCCCCTTTAGGAGGAGGGGGAGACGAGGGGAGGAGGTTGAAGGATGAGGAGAGGAGGGGGAGGAGCAGTAGCAGGCAGGATCACAAGGTGAAGAGGATGGAGGAGGGGTGGTATACCCACCCCTCAGGGGTACCCTTCCCCCCTCCTCCTCAACAGCTGCGCTCGAATTCGGTGTTACAGGGGGTTTTTTCGTTTAAAACCCCCCCCCCCCCCCCCCAAAAAAAAAAAAATATATTTTTAAATTGCAATATGAATTTACGCATCGCCGAATGCAGGTCGAACCAGATGTCAAAGGTTGAGAACTCTTTTCTTAATCAAAAGAGCGATTATATGAAATGATCAATGGGAAAATGGAGCCCATTTTCGGTTTCTGGCCCAATGGAAAGCTTCAGAAAATAATTTATAACTTTTGATTAATATAACGGTTAGTGCTGAAGCTATGGCATATGGTTCGGACCACTAGTGCTACATTTGAGCGGAGAATAAGCGTTCGGCGATACATTGTTTATTTTTGTGGTGAAAAAAAAACCCGTTAAAAAGTTTTTGGTGACACCCTGTACATTTGTGATAAAACGACCCTTGGTTACACGCAGCGTCATAAACTAGAAAACGCTAGTTGAGCAGACTATGATATATACGCCTGCAAAAAACCTGTAACGCTACATCAATTTCCTTGTTACAAATTCTACTCAGGATACACTAACTCTTCTTTCTGGCAATCTTTTCTCGTAAAAAGAAAACCCAAGCAGTGCAGAAGTGATGATTGTTTATTATCGAGCTCAGTGACATATGCATCTTTGTCCATTGCAGAGATATCAGTTTGCTGTTGCATGACAAATGGTACAGCTAATGATCAAACTTCACCTCCTCAATCAAACAGTCAACATTGGTCAACAAGTCAACATGTCATTGTGCAAAAAACCATACCCAGTCACACTAGCAAACATGTGTTCATTGAAATATATAGCACAATGGCTACAAATACTGAAAGAGCACAGAAAATAAACTTGAGACATCCTTAAATATAGTTGAGCCATGACTCCTAAATACCGACACTTTTCTCTAATGTAAATGCACAAAACGTTTATACATTTCTGCTAAAAAGTAAGTACATGCAGTGATTAAAAAAGAAAAAAAAAAGAAGTGATATTGGCAGTGCTCCAAACGCAAATTTTTTAGTCCATCAAAAAGAAGGGCTATCAACTTCAAACACCACAGTTAAAAACTTCGGTTTTCAGACATTCCTCTTGCGTTTTTATCCTTCTTGCTACTTTTGCGAGAATAAAACGAATCTCCCAGGTATCTGTACAATGCTCACAAAAAAAAAAAAAAAAAATTATTTCCCTGAAACATTGCACATGCTCGTCGCAATATACCCCACGAAACTATCAGAGCTAGGGTTCCGTAATATTAGTAGCACTCAACACGGTGTTGTAATGCCAAGAAAACTCAAAGGAAATGAGATATTTCTGAAGTGAGCTAGGTCGTATCGGCATACTAGTAGTACTTGACACACAAAAAAAGGTAATAGACAATTGTTTTGTGCGGTTTCTAGGTCTCGCACCATTAACGAAACATTTTGTTTTGCTTATAACATAAATATAGGCCATGTCAATGGTCAAGAATGTTAGATGACAAAGATTCCTGCTGACCACGAAACGTTGTGTCACTTCCATAACTGAAAAGATTGTAATCCTCCTCGTAGCCGAAGGTAGTATAATCAGGTATTTCGCCTTAGGCTACTTCAGATAGTTTAAAACAGCTTTGCAATACACATCCTTCAAATAAAGTATACTGAGCAAGCATAGAGTTTAAGATTACAAATAATAAACAACGCAAAATTTTTGGTAACAACATTAAGTGCAACTAGTCTTCAAACATTACATGTAGTCAAAGAAAGGCTTAAAGTTAGTAATCAACAATCAAGTCTCCGAAAACGGCCTTCCACAATTGTGAAGTATAACCAGCAGCCATACTGTCATGAGACCATGCCCTATCACCACGAAAGATTTAGGTCACAGACCACCATTTCCAGAAGATTAAACGATGTACAGAGCAAGAAGCCTAGCAGATTAAGGTGCAATCATTCATTATGACAGAAAGCTAGATGATCAAAACTGTAACTTATGATAACATCACCCCCGATAACGTGACCTTCTTGATTTCTTTTGTGAAAAATCAATCCCAACTTCCTTCATCCACAACAAACAAAGGCACGGCAACTATCTTCATCCGACGACGATTTGAGGATCAATCCTCCGGTTGTCGAGTTCCGAAAACGAACACGAGTTGGGAGATCGTTGCCTCCGTACCGTAACTTAGCACCACTGAGCATTAGGACGACACACCGTCTCGTAATAAGAACAATGCCGAACCTTCGCCGAGCACCAGCACGCCACTGCAGTCAGCGATAGCTCGGTGATCCCACGAGAGGTCGCGGCCTTCGACAACAAAACACGGCAACCTTTCACGACAAGCCCTAAAACAACGAGAACCGTGTTCCCAAAAAACGTCGATTCGCCGTTTCCGTCATAAACCTTTCGAACCAAACATCCTAAAAGACCGACGCTCCGCGCGCACGCCACAGAAAGCCATATCCTCGGCGTGCAACAGGTGTCTCCAAAGTTGTGGTCACGTCGTACGATCACCGTTAAACCGGTCGATCAATTCTCGTCGCCGACGACGAGTAACGGTGTCATGGAGAGATAAGCTCGGACAACGACTCGTCTGAAACAGTCTGTGAACGGAGGCTGATGGGAGACGGAAGCGACTGCTGAGCCGTCGACGTGTCGTCTGCTTGTGGCCGGCGCTCAGTCGAGGATGGGCACGGTGTCCTCGACGCACTGGCTGCCCGACTGCTCGAGGGAGGCGTTCAGGAGCCTCCGCTCCCTGGCCATGCTGATCATCAGGTTCTCCCGCTCGTGGTAGAGGCACAACTTCCGCGTGCACAGCACCGCCTGAAGCACCCAGCACACCCACGAACTCCAGGCGCCAAACTGCGGAGGGACGTGAACGGGAGTGACTCCGGAGGTCCGGGTTTGGCCACCGCGAGAGCGTCCTCGGCTGCTGACTGGATGAGGCGCCACGGCTCGCGTGCAATCAACTGGTGGGACATTTGTGACACGTTCGTGAGTTAACAATCGAATAAGATGTTGGTGAGAACGTCTCGCCAACGTAAAATTAGCGAGAGAGAGGTCTCATGGCCTCTTGGTGCTTGTCCTTAGTGCTTCTTCATCCACTGGTCGACGTCGGATTGTGCGCGGCAGCGGAACAATGTGAGATTTCCTAACGAAACGTGGGTTGCCATTGAGTTCCAACGTGAAATAGCAGACGATCGCAATTTTTCAGCCGACATCTGATCTCCCCTCGCCGTTGCACTGGGTTCGTAGCAGAAAAACTTTTTTGCGGTTTGTTAGCGGACAATGTACGGCGTTTTATTGTTTTAGTTCTGTCTGCAAATGATGCTTCATAGCAGACGAAGTGCATTCATTGCTCGCGTTAGCAGGTGAACCATCTATGAATGCTATTTTCGTTCGCTCCGCAAGAGGCAAGTTAGATCACGCTCTCGTCGTAGTCAAAATCAAACCCCTGGAGTCAGTGTTTGGTCACTGTGGAAGCGACATCTCCCGCAAAGCGAACCAAGATATCAATGGCGAGATGACTTTATAGAAATCGGAACACTCACCTGGGCCGTGCCAACGTGCATATAGAACCCGACCGTGTCCACATTGTCGGGTTTGCTGATCTGAGTCACCGAGGCGTCTTCGCACCTACAGTGCACATGGATATAAAAGACGCCCAAGTCAGTTTACTGTACACATGAAGGCAAAGTCCCCCCCCTCCTCCAAATGTATAAAACACATGCACAGTTTTTCTATGATGAAAATTAAAAAGTGCTAACTGTCACGGGGATTTTTATCATTATATCTGAGCTATCGTTTTTCTAGAAAGCTTACCGAGTGCCGATGCCGTTGCTACAGAATCAGCATTTTTTGCTGAATTTGAGAGTGCCTCAAAGACGGTGTTCCAACAAGAGTGGTTTCGACCTGTTTTCTCTTCTGTATCAATGTCAGATATCTGACCAGCACCTGATGTGGTCTGCACGGGCTCCTGCAATCTATTTATTCCAACATTTTTTTTTATTGCCAACATTGCACATGCAAGCCAGAGTTGTTAACTGCGCTATCTGGGATGGCAGTGCTGAGGAACTACATTTCGTAAAAATTCTGAGTGGTTGTTATCTCGTCTCGGTCGAACTCGAAGCTGGTTAAATGCTGTTAAAATACTAAAATGTTTAAAATATTATGTTCACATAGTCTGTAGTTATAGGCTGTTGCAACTTGAGAACAGCCAGACAAGCCATTCCCATAAAGGCTTCCCCCCCCCATGATTGGTGGTCCCTTTCTTTCCAGCATTCCCTTGGCTAAGGTGGAAACGATGGAGGGCTTTCTGGGAGGTGCTTATTCTCAACCTGCAACAGACTATAACAAGCTTCTCTTTTGCAAGTTTACTTTACTGTAGAGTGGCTGATCCGCACTTTTGCAACCGACTTCGACCGGCTCCGACACATCCGGTTTTTATGCCGCTTGAGACTTCTTACGACGGGTCACGCAGCAGCGATGGCAGTCTCAAGCGGCTTAAAAACTGGTTGTATCCAAGTCGGTTCCTGAAGTGCGAACCGGCCTTAACACCGTCGAGGAACGGTGACAGAAGCGAGCACTCACGCGGGAAACCGCTGGGTGATGGCGCGGCACCAGGTGCGGAAGCCATCCGACACCAGCACGGAGGTGATGAACACTAGCAGCATCACCAGGATGCTCACCACAGAGTCCAGGAAGGCCGACAGGAAGGAGCTGCAAGGCAAAAAACGTAAGATGGAGGTCACCCAGACGGTGTCGTTTCGTTCTCTTCCTACCGGCAAGTGAATCGAGAGGTGAAAGGGGATTAGCGAATGGATGGATGGACAGATGGATGAATGAATGGATAGATGGTACTATGGTAGCCGGAACATGTCTCCGATCGGTGTGTTTGCCGCGTCCAGAAAAGTGGGCCCTCGTTTTCCGCCCGATGATGTCATAGAAGTGTCGCGTTGTCGCCAGCTGCACCCATGGTGGTGTCGCAGCAGTGGTGGTAGATGTGGAAGGTGAATGTTCCGCTGCAGGTCACTCTTGAGCTCGACGATTTACGGAAGCTTCGGTGGCCAGGAGTTGGGATGCTGCAACAGCAGCAACACTCACATTCTTTCGTGCTTTATACAAATAAATAAATAAATAAGTACTTTTTGGTGGGACTTCGAGCACCAACTGCCGGGATTGCAACATTTGACAACATGACACACCGGTTTCGGTTTTTCAGGCTAAATGGTCGGTTGTAATTGGCGGCAAGAGTAAAATGGAAGCTTCTGTCACCCCTTTCCACTTTAGCCGTCTCTCCAGCGTTCGCTCGGCTAAAGTGGAGAGGGGTGACAGGAGCTTCCACTTCACTCTTAACCTGCAACTGAGTAGAGTGTCTTTTTCAGAAGGCACCCTTGAGTCTCAAAGGAAGAGCATTTGAAAAGAATGTGGTCGACCGCCTCAAAAGTGTCGCATTTCTCGTAGCTCGGTGAGGCATCCCTGCCTATACTGTGCCAGAATGCTTTCGTAAACGCAACACGGAGTCTGACGGAGTCTAACGCAACGAACCACCGACTCGGTGCACTGTGGCAGCTGAGATGGAAGTCAAAACATCGGAGTCAAGTTCAATAAAAAGTGCAGAAAAGCGAGAAAAAAAAATTATGCATTGGTTGTTTAGACAGCGACAGTTCAGTTTGCCAGAGTATGGCGACGTCGTTACCCACTGAAGACGAGAACTTTAGCAGTTGCAGTACCACTGCCAGTCTGGGACCTTTGACATGCATCACGCACTACTAGTGATACGCGACAGCACGCCGGTACCACGCTCATTCATATCGAAACGTGCAGGGGTGAACATCACACACAGGACCCCTGGATCCCAAAGAGCGAGCTTTCGCTCCACGCACTCCGAGGTGCTGCGCTTCCAATGCGCTCAGCCACCAATCCCCCTCCAAAGAAGCGTAGCTGTTTTAGCAGCTACCTGAATGCAAAGAGGAAGAAGTACCTGTCGCATCCCTTGTACAGGAAGACGGACATGCGCACCAGCTGCACGAGCGACACGACCAGCATGAGCCCGCCCACGGCCAGGGTGAAGAGGCAGTAGAAGGGCGACGCCCACCGGGCGATGAAGTGCCCGTCGTCGCTGTCAAAGGTGCCCGTCGTGTACAGCAGGCAGCGCCCGGCAAAGTTGTGCACGTGCACTGCCGTGGGCACCACCGTACACACCGACAGCACCAGGGTGAGGGTGTAGCAGGTGGCCTGCGTCAGCAGCAGGATGTTCCCCAGCCCCATGGCCACGCCACGCTACGCCACCGCCCGACTCAAGCTTGTTCTGCTGGAAGGACGAGGGAGGGAAGAGTGTGTTTTTACTGACCGATTCATATATTCGTATTCCAGTTTGGCGGCGCCACCTGTCGGGTGGCCCTACAACGCTTGCGATCTACATACGACTAGACTGAAGCTTTTGCAGTAGTACACGCGAGATCAAATGTAAGCATCATCAACGAAGAAGGATACCTCAAAAGTAGGATTACATGTTTACGGATTTCATTTGTTATCAACTTTGAAAGGAGTTTCTCAGAGTTTATTTTTTTTTTTTTAATTTGGAGTTTATCGGAGTTTATTTTGGTTACATTCCCGATTCCCCGAAATTCAGAGTTCAATTTTTTGCAGCGTTTCCTATTTTTAGATGATGCCAATAAATAATACCAGAGTGTTAGCGCATGGTAGACTCAAAATAATGTGCTCGTATTAAATAATACTTCTTCAGCTGGACTTGGCGTTGATGCCCTTGCCATTTGCAATATCAATCTGTCCGACAACAAAACTTGTAAACAAGTGCTCCTTCGATAAAGGTTGATACCTTAAAATCACTCCTGAAGGCAGTCGCCAGGAAGCTAGTTTTTGATCCCGTCCTATTCAATCACCTTACCCCACGGCTGCACAAGGTGGTGTGGTAAATTAATATAAAGCTAAAAGTGTCGCATGACATCTCTACAGTTCATAGCTTTTACTGCTACAAACACAACCAGTCCTTCCTCTAACAAGCACGAAGAGTACAGTCCAAACCAGAAACAAGAACAGTGGTTTTTATCTTGACCCAGAAGTACAATGACCTTATGTCCTGAATGAGCCTTGACAGGATAAACGGTAAGATTGATTATGTCAATGATCCGAGATTTGAGGGGAAAATGGGGTGTCATTTTCTCAGGACTATCAGCCTTTTGTGCCGACCAAACTTAATTGTACATCACCATATTTTTTTATTTTTTTCCATTGGGGGGTAGAAATTTTGAGTTTATCAGATAAATCTTAATTGAAGAAAATTTTACTGGGGGATGTTTTTCAGAGTTTTCCGGATTTACCCGAAAACACGAAATTCTACTTATAAGGCGCTAAGAATCATTTGCAACCGGTGAAATAATTACACATAAATGTATGGCTACCAGCGGTTGCAAAGCAGTCAACCACACTCAAACCCTTTCATGCTATTAATCATATCTAACCAAGTACATTGTTGAAGGTAACGAACATTACAAAGAGTGACAGACACCGTGGAACATGCGCCTTCTAGTTTCGGACGAGATTCATTTCTTTCGGAACTTTGACAGTCAACTTGAGTCGGCGTACATCATTACACATTCATCGTTCTTACAATCGGCTCATTTTATGGGGTATTTAACTGGCAAAATTGTGAAAAAGATGTCAGGAGACCTTGACGCCAACACACAGACACTTTTCTAGCGCACGCCGACGTTGCACGCTTCATTTCGTGTGAGGAAGGTGCCACACACAGAGTGCAAGGCGGTCATTTCTTTCTGGCGGTTGAAGGGCAGCGATCAATACTATGAGAGTAGTGGTATGCATACCCATCAGGGGATCCAAAAGGAACTAATATTTATTGGTCGTCATTAAACTTATACAGTTCAGTATGCTGCTGCTGACGCTGACTAATCATGATGTTTAAACCCCGAGAATGGGACCATGAAGTTTGAAACGTGATGATTAGTACGCACCAGCTCGCCTGCACTTTGACCATTTTTTGGGGGCTGACTGTCTGTGCTCAATATAGGCACTTTGATCAGCGAGTTTGACACGAAGCTTCGCCCGCCCGCTCAAGTTATGCGATTCGTTTTTAGACTGAGGGTACTGCAGGTATGGGACGATTGTTTGTTTGTCTATTTGTATGTATGACTCAGTCTGTTAAATTAAAAAATTATAAGTTTATCGTTTTTTTTGTTTTTTTTTTCCTTAGGTTTGTTTGGCGAGATATGGTAAGCAACAAGTTGCGATACGGTAGACAAGACTAGCTTGATACTTTTCATTAAAATCTTAGGATACTGTTTGCACCTCGACTACAGTACAAAGGTCAAGCTAAGCTAATTTGGGTTGATTAGGTTAGGTTAGATCGGGTTTGAAACAGAACACGTATCAGGAGCTATTGATAACTGCCCACTCTCCTAGTTTCTTCGCAAAGTTGGCCCGGCAATGTTAGGACCAACGTTAGAAAGGTTTACAACAAGTCCAATCGAAGTCGTTTTGTTTTGATTTCGTTGACTTTGTTGAGCAGAAACGTCAGTGATAACGTTGTTGGCGGTGGCAGTTCGCGTTGTTGCTACAGCTCGCTTCGCCGTAAACAAACGGTTGCCCCGTGGCTTTGAAGTGCGCTCTTCAGTGTCAAATATGAAATGACGCACTTACATGTTGAGCAAAACCAGAAGTATATGAGGATTTAGCTGTGACTACATAAAGTGATGGCGAAAAATTGACTTCGTTAATTCGTTGTACGATGCGCTCCAGTGCAGACATCAACGCAAAAGCAACTTGAGGAGGCGGCGGTCTTGTGCAGAAATCGAGGTGCGAAAACGAATTGTTGTGGCTTCATACTATTCATTTTTATAAATATTTGATTTATACTGTCTTGGGTACGTCACCATAAAATATTTCAAAATATTTATTTATTTGTAATTGTTATTTGTTTCATTTATTTCACGCTTTTCAAACTTCACATTTTGACAAAGTATAATGACCTCATAGTTCATTGCACACATAATTGCGCATCGACCTCCATTTTGATGGCGTATATCTGACGTAAGCTTTGTTTTGCTTTTAAAGCGCGCAAGGCGGCGCTAGTTGCATCTGCGGAATATTTTGGTTTGGAACACGGGTTGTATTTCCCGCTAACAAGCTCGAAATACCCGCAAATAAAAGAGGGTAAGCTGAATCGGATAAGTCGTCGAATCTTTCGAATATCTGTGCCGAACTCGTACACGACGCCTTTGTTTGCCGATGTAATGGTTTGAGCGTTTCAGCATCCAATTGGCCTGGCACCGGCACTGCTCGCGATCGCGTCAAGTTCCTCGGTGTAAATCCGAGTAATCCAAATCGATTTTACACACGATCGTGTATTAAACTCTTAAATCGGGTTCTCCAATGTCTCTTTCGATGACTCAGTATCGTAGTTTTACAATCGCGATGATACTGGACTATCTTTTCGCGCTCCTCACGTACTGATGCCTGAACGCCCTTCGTTTGAACCTTTGAATTTACAGCGTGTAATAAAGTGTATGTGTTATTGGATGGGTGGGAACCTAACTGTGATCGACAATCGAGACGCAGTACGCGTTACGAACCAGTCGCTTTCGTACGTAGCCAGTAGTGCACTGGTTGTACTGCGCGCACTAATGAACTTGTCGTGCTTCCGAACTTCCTAACGCGTTCATAGAGGCATTCACTTTCCCACGATTGATGGAACACTGCTCCGATCGGTAGGCAATGGATAAGTGCACAGAACGTAAGCATTTGATAGTATATACCACTTTTTTTTTCATCAAAATTATTAGTGTTACGATGGTTTGCTCATGTGATTCTACACTCTGGGCAGCCGGCTAAAGCTGTGATATTTATCAAAATGCAGAGCAAATTCTTTATATAAGTTGATGTCAATTTGCTTCCTCTTTTTTCTCCCCCGATCATTTGGCCTGTAGATAGGTAACTTGTTTTATAACATGTCTCTTGACAAATGCTAGTGTTGCTGTTCGCATGACTGGTAAGGTCGAACCGATTCTTCAGTATTTCAGGTTCCAGCCGTCGCAATGCACTCCAGCAAAAACGGCGGCGATGACGCGGCGTCCGGAGACGCCAAAGGTACGTCGTCTGCAACTCGCCAAGGACGGCAGGTGGCAAAGCCCGTGCCTTTCTCGTTTGTTGTTGTTGTTGTTTGCAGTTTTCCGTGGGCCACAAAACGGCTTTATTTTCCGTTTCTGCCACAAACACACTTCCGTTCTGCCGTGGCCAACGTTGCGTCCACAACGCTCTGCTCAGGTGCGCTCCTCACCCCCACCCCTAAAAACTCCCCTTTTTTTCCCCCAATCCCTCCCCTCCCCACGTGGGGGAAAGAATCATTGTTTCTGTGCTGATTGTGTGTGTGTGCCAACCAGCAAGAGTGTAGACACGCAAACGCTCTCCAATTGCCAACGTGTAGAGATCATCAGAGATGGAAAGCGCCCGAGTTCCCAGAGAAAGTTTGGTGGCGAGCGGACGATGACACCCCCTCCTCCTAGCTTCTCGGGGTGAAAACGGAAGGGCTTCTCTCTCTCTAGTAAGCTAACGGTGCCAAGGTAAAAAGCTCGTCGAAGCCGACGTCCCAAACCTTTCTTCGGTAGACGACCCTGGTTGGGGTCGTACAGTCTGCTAACACGTCGTCTGCTCCGGGTGTCTTTGGGTGGGGCTAGGTGGCGCTGCCGCTACGGAGGTTAAGAAGGAAGGTAAGGAGTCTCCTGAACTGGAAAAGTACTGGCAAGTGGTGCGCACCAATCCGGCAGACTTCACAGGATGGACGTACCTCCTGCAGTTTGTGGAACAAGAGGTGAGCTTCATCGGAAAGAAATTCCAGCTACATTCGGTAGCTCAGGAGTGCAGTCACCACGTTTCGCTTGAAGCCATCTGCTTCTTTTAGTTTGTTTTCTGCTAGCCTCTGCCTCATGGTGTCACAAGATCGTTCATGGCGTGCTCAGAGTATGTTGTGTTACTAACTGTCATCTACTATGCTTAGGTGTTGCCCTTCATTTGGTTGTCTTGTGTTGTGCATCGTCTGCTGCATTTTGTTGTTTTCATTTATTTTGCTACCTTATACACTGTTCAGTACATAGGTATCATAATTGATTAGCTTGGGGCATAACCCCTTTTGTTCTTTGTCATTGTTGCTTTCAAGTTTTATGGCAGTTACCTCCTACATTTGCTATAGTGTATTGTTGTCTGCCATATTGGGGCATTGCTGTCCGCTTCGTTTAACATTAGGTTGTACTGTTAACTTGCAGTGAATGATTTTTTTTTAGTGAGTACATATGCTTTTATATGCAATTGTTTCATACAACTTTGTTCGCCTGCAATGATGTAATTTTGTTTTACCCCAGAACAACCTGACTGCGGCGAGGGAAGCATTTGACAAGTTCTTCACCTACTACCCGTACTGCTATGGCTACTGGAAGAAGTATGCCGACATGGAAAAGAAACACTGCTCCATTGAGAAGGCAGAAGAGGTAAGCCACTTTTAATGTTTTCATAACCGACCCTCCCACCCCCCTTACCCAGAAAGAACTTTCCCACCCAGATTTTTCCCATTTTCTAACACAACGTAAACTGCTCAGGTGGCTTGCTTGCACACAATGAGGCGTGTGCTGTGGACAGATACGTTTTTCCCCCCTCTTGCGTGCCGTGAGCAGACGACGTCTGCCAGGGCGTACGCAGACGACGCACGGGAGTAAGCGGCCACTGTGGGAAAACGGGCGTCTGCAAAGGTCACGTCTTGGTTTTGATGCGGGGATAGATCTCAACGCTTGTACGCGCTCTCTGGGATGCTTTCCGCACCCGAGGCCACAGGCGCGTGTCTGAATGTGCGTGCGTTTCGATCCGTTTTCCGATTGCAGACGTTTGAGCGCGGCGTCGCGGCCATTCCCCTCAGCGTGGACCTGTGGATCCACTACATCAACTTTGTCAAGACTCACTTCAAGGATGAGGACCACTACTACCTCAAGGTCAAAAAGTGAGTTGGAAGCATCAGGCCCTTTGCCGTTACTCCTGTTTTGGAAGCGGATATAGATTTAGTGCGAGGTCTGGATTGCACCTTGCACCAATTTAACTGACCGTCAAAAAAAAAAAGACCCTCGAAAGAAGGCATGTTTGCATTTTGTTTACCCCCTGTTTTCTTTTATATTTTCTTCATTTTTGGTTGGGCTTAGCGTAATCTACAAGGCATGTCGCTGAGCTGCTTTCAATTATACTGCATCCAGCGTGAACCTGCTGATTTATTCATGCAAAATGCATTGTAACGTAACCAAAGTTTGATTTTGTACACATAAAGTTAGGGGCCTAAATGAGCTGGTGGTGGTTAAACATTTGACTGAGACTAAGACTGAAACTGAGACTTTGTGTTTTTCCGTCCCTTCGCGTCCTAGCCTCGGGGTTTTTAGTAAAATGTTTGAATTTGTGTTGCATTATCGTCACCGTACCGTTTCATCGCTCGCTAAATTCGGCGGGACTTCGCTATAGGTCAACAGACACCTACTTGTGGTACCACTTGATTACAGTGTCCACAACATTGTTAGGTGTAGTAACGCTGAATGTCAAGTTGTGGTGTAACATGGGCAATGTCACACAATGTCGGGTCACATGACGTCGCAGGTAATTACAGCTTGACACCGAGACACATATCTGAGCTGGGCTCATGTTTCGCAAATGCATTCTGCTTACAAGATGTTTGTACGACATGACCGAGGGATTACCTTAATTTTATTTATGGCAAGGTTTCCGCATACACACGCTTGCACTGGAAGCGAGGCACTTTAGAGCGCCTCCCTGTAAACCGTTTATTCTGTCTGTGACTACAGCTCAGAACCCACGAACCGAGCACGACCAGCCACATTACAGCAATCGAATATTTTACGCAAACAAAATTTGGCAGAAACACTTGAGACTGCTTATGTGTAGGAATGCAAAGGCATTCCTACATGCAGCACATTCCTACAACCAGCGCGCCACATCTGCCTTCCGCACACGGCGCTTCGGCGGTGATATCTTGCTCCCACAATGCGCAGGCGCGGTGAACCCTGCCGGCTTCACGACGGGTTCCGTGACGAAGCTTCTGCGTTGCTGTGCTTGTCCTTGTGTTTTATTGAGAATGGGAATTTAGGTGCCGTTTTTTGCTGCTACAGACGACGCCGGCTTTGCTCCATGGGAAAAGTAATGCTTTCGCATTAATCACTGAGGCGGCAGAATTGTCGGAACTTCGTCGCTACGCACGGGCCGCGTTCTAAGCGTCGCTCGAGCAGATCCGAGTTACTCCCGCGAGCCTCGTCGCGCGATAGCACGGCTGGAGAGACGCCGGGAACGAGTAGGTTTTCGGGTGCCAAACGCGCGAGACCTCTCTTTATCCCGGAGCGAGACGAAGCGAAATTTAGAACGGCGTTCCTCCTCTTTGCCTCCCGCAGTCTGTTCGAGCGTGCCATCGAGTCGTCGGGGCAGGACTTCCGCTCGGATCGGCTGTGGGACATGTTTGTCACCTGGGAGCTGGAGAACAAGAACCTCAAGGAAGTGACGGCCATCTACGAGCGGGTGCTCCAGGTGCCCACGCAGCTGTACGGCCACCACTTCGAAAAGTGAGGCCCCTTCGCTCTCTCCCGATTGACGTTGCCTCGATGCCGGAAACGCATCTCGGAAATCGAGGGACCGCTTTTCTGCGCGTGGTAATTCGCACCAGTCGGAGACGCGTTCCAGGAAGCACAGCGTCGCTGAGCCGAGTTCCATCCTCGTCGACGAGTTGCTCGGTTGTTCGGACCCTTGGACGTATTGGAGGGTTTGGCTTGCCTAGATGTACTGTGGCGTGCACTCGATGGCAGGCCTCTCAGGCGAAAGTTTGGGGTACGGGTGGCTCCTGTCCACCGAACATAGCTGCGCTCGAATCCAGCCAGTTGGTCTGGATGACGATACGAAGTTGCAATCTGTGTCGTGCAGATTGCGCAGCGCACCAAACAGGTTGCCTGTGAACGGCGCTTGAACGGCCTGCATAGTATTTGTGCGCGAAGCACACACCGAGGCAAGCTCCCCCTCCAAAAGTAGCCGCCGACTGCACGCTCCGTCCAAGTTAAGTCCGTGGACGTGGAAGTTCTAAAATGGCCCTATAAGGGCTATGCGGTTAACAAACATGTCGAACAATAAAGAACGCCGGTGTATCACAAATGAAAATGGCGTCGGTGACTGCGTATGACAGCGATAAAGTTGAGAGGAAACTGAAGAATGCATCCTTCCTGTCCATGCATTCACGCACAGATATGCGGTGTGTTTGTAGACGGATTAGTGGTTCACTAATCTAAAGCGTTTTATGGCTGTCTTGATTCTTGCGTCGCCTAGCTGCGGCATCTCGCTCGATGTCTCGCGGAGCGACAAGTTGGCGGAGGATGAGGGCTAAATTGTTGTCGTCTTTTTGTGTTTTTGCAATTAATTGTCACATTATGGATGCCAGCGACCGGAAATAGGTTCGACGTGCTCGGAGCTGGCAGCAGGTTCGAGGAATCTAGGCAACATACTATGTACTGAAATGGTTTGCTGGTCAAAGCTTCTCCTTGCAGGCTTTATTTAGACCTAGCAAAGGCTTGCGAGGACAGTCGCCACGTGAGCAGCGTTCTGGGATAAACTCGGATATTGAGATATTCTATGTGTCGAATTATTTGAAAACTCGACTACTGGGAATGGAGTTGGTCGGCCGATCACTGTTCAATTTGAATTCGACGCTCAAATATTTGCGCTCCTCTACTTTTCCGTCGACCGCCACACCTCAGTATACTCTCGCAACGTCTTGTGTAATTTTAGTTTCGGTTTGCTTCCTGTCCCTTCCAGCTGGGCTGTCATTTTTTTTAAGTGTAGAGGCACGTATGAGCAAGCGTCAAATACAGTGTTTTATTTTGCAATGTCACTTCTTGGTGGCACATAATTATTTTTTTTATTTAGGCAACTTTTATTTTGGTACGCTCCTTTGTTGTTACAGAATGGCAAATCTATGTCATTCAACCTTGCGCTTCATGGTGAACACAGATCTAGATATGATTAATGAACTCTGAGTTGGACAGCCATGGAAACAAGGAAGTTACAGGTCTGAACGCACGAAAGGCAGAGTAAAGTCGCTCAAACGACTGACGTGCTGGCGTGTCAGTCATGCCGGCATCAGTTGACTTTGTGCCCGTAAAATAGTGTCTTTCAGAAATATACGTTCTTTGCGGAGCGTGCCACGGCGTTACCAAGTCTAAAGTTTGTGTTAGGCATGCAGGGAAAAAAAGCTTGGTGCTCTGCGGGGCTCGTGCGTGAGTGGTGGCCCCTCGCCCTTGCCAGGTTCCAGGAGCACGTGAAGACGCACCCCCCCAAGGAGCTGCTCTCGACGGACGAGTTCCTGCAGCTGCGGCAGCAGTACCTGGAGTCGATGCGCAAGGCCCCGTCCACGCTGCCCTCCTCGCCCCTCGCAGGGGCCGCTGGGGGTGCCGGTGCCGGGGAGGAGGGGGGCCCCAGCCAGATGGAGATCGACGAGGAGGAGGGGGCGGACGCCCCGCCCCCGGGGGTGGACGACGCGGGCCCGCCCGGGGTGGACGACGACACCGTCGAGAAGGAGGACTCCAGGGCCCTGGTGGGTGCGCTGTATGCGGAGCGCAAGTCCGTCTGCTCCTTGAGCAGGGGTTGCGGTTACGTCGGAACGACGTTGCGCTCCGATTGGCTCCGATTGAAAAATAGTGGGTAGACCTCAATGCTAGATGCCTCAAGATCTACCCGCTATTTTTTTTTTTTTTTTTTCCATGAACCATTAGTGCAGTTTTTGTGCAAAGTGCAGTCAAACTTGCCCTCTGCATAAATCCGCTTGCAGAGAGTATCCCGACGGTCCGAGCATTAACCCTTCAACGGTTGGGTTCTTTTTCTCGAAACACGTTTGCTGTGGTCGGGGTTTGTTTTACAGGTTTATTCCACGCAGCTTGCGCGTAATAAACCGACGGGAGATTTTTTAGCCCGTCTGCGAGTTGACAGTCGGGCAAAAATTACTGTATTTACTCGGATAATGACGGCACTTTTTTTCTTGAAAGCTTGACACATATTCGCGGGGGGCGTTCATTACACGGGGTAAAATTTTTGCATTTACACACTTTGTGCGAATGTCATATTAGGTGCCAATATGACGCGGTAAGGTACTGTGGCACGTCTCCAGTGATATAGAAGCACCCACGGCTGGTCAAGGGCACGCCATAATAAACATGCTTTATAAATTGCCAACCTTTTTAGGGCGCTTTCGGGGTGCCTTTTGCCGAAGGAAAAGCGCCCTACGAAGCTCACTCAGCACGAAAAGCAACACAACCGTTCTTAGGCGATATGTATTGTTAGTATCCGGCGGGCACGCTCAGGTATGATTTGCGACTAAGCGTATAAGAGTTCATACGAAGTCCCACTGCCGACCCCCAAAGCCCGCTCGCATAGATCAAGTTTCGTTCACGAAGAGGCTACCAGACACTCTGGCCTACAGCGCAGCGTGCACCTCGCTGTGCCGTTCTGTTACGGATTTAATAAACGCATTTACTCAGAGTATCTGAAATTAGGCCTAACCACTTTCACGATTTCACTGTCCGAAAGCGGACAACAGACGACGGCTTGTTTGTTGACATCAATGCATTCGATAGGCGAAGAATGTCCGGGGCTCTGCAATTCCTCGACCCAAGCTTCGTCAAGTGTGCGCGACACTCGGTTTACGGTTGATCACTTCCGTAACTACAGCAACTACACACTTGCAGCCATTACGTGAGCAGCCTGGCCTGGCTTGGCTTGACTTAGCTTGGCCTGACCGCTTGATGGCAAAAGAAAACTGGCTTGGTGGTTTGCTAAATTAGATTAAATTCGAGACTCGCGGATCCGAAAATTGGAGGTGCGTTAATCACGGAAGGGGAAAAAACAAGTCAAAATATTGATGCCCGTTGTGGGGGGTGCGTTTATTATGCGAGTGCATTTATTATGCGAGTAAATACGGTAGGCGAGAACGTCCCGCCGACACACAAATAGCGGAAAAGGTCTCACGGCCTCTGGTGCCTTCGTCTTTAGTGCTCCTTCGCCTGATGGTGGACGTCGGCGCGTGTACGGCGGCGGAACGACTTCGGACTTGTCAACGAAGCGCGAGTTGTTGATGGCCTTCGACATAAAAGAGCGGACAATCGTAACTTTGGCTCGCGTCCAATCTCGCCTTGCCACGGTGCTCGGTTTGTGACGGACTGTCAAATTTTTGTTCCGATCCGTTAGCAGACAATGTACTATTTTTCTCATTCCGCTTTCATCCGCGAATGACGCTTTATAGCAGATGATTCGCTCGTGTTAGCAGACAAACCGTCTACGAGCACTGCCTTCGCTCGTTCCTCGAGAGGCAAATTAGATCTCGCTGTGGCCGAAACCGGACCCCTGCCATCGTCGGTCTTTTAACTCTGGACTCCCTGGCCTGCCTTGTCACGTGCAGAAGAACGACAATGAAGCCAAGTACATCCGGGACAAAGTGGTGGAGAAGCGGAGAGTCCTCTTCAAGGCCAACGAGGAGGAAGTGGGACGCCGGTGGGCCTTCGAGGAAGGGGTGAGTCAGCACTTTTCACCTTCTTGCAACACCATGTTTACCGACGAGCTAGAATCGTTAACTCCCTGCAAAATTAAACTAGCCGAACCGAGAGGAGCTGACTGTGGAAGAAACGCGTGCCGGAGCAAGAAAGATGGAAAGATAAACAGGCTGCTTTTCAAGCCCCCAAAAAACCGACTTCACCACAGTTTTATGATGTTTTTTGCGACCCGTTCCTAGGAGGACGCGCGTCATGATTGATCTTAGGCAGTCACTCGGTCCGTCCTCGTCGCCGGTCTGACCTTGGGGACGATCTTTCTGCCCGCGTTGTGCCCAGATCAAGCGTCCCTACTTCCACGTGAAGCCCCTGGAGCGCCTGCAGCTGAAGAACTGGCGGGAGTACCTGGACTTCGAGGTGCGGAACGGCAACCACACGCGGACGGTGATCCTCTTCGAACGCTGCCTCATTGCCTGTGCTCTCTACGAGGACATGTGGATGAAGGTATCCTTTTTGCTTTCATTTTTCTGAAATCTTTTTTTTTTTGTTTTGTGCCCCTACATTCTAGAACAAAAATCTGCTTCTTCGTTGCAAAAGTGTTGGGGCGTGCTGGCTGGAGCAAGCACCAGCTGGAACATTTTATGCCCCCCTCCCCCGCTATAATGCACAGCGGGCATTGTAGGGATGAAATAAACGTATTTACATAAATAAACTCCAGTTCTCTTGTGGCATGACTGGCAAGTTGCTAATCGCTGGTGCTTGCCAGTTTTCTTGGCTAAACTGTCAAGCTGCTAATCACTGGTGCTTACGAGTTTCCTTGTGAAAGGCAAGCACCAATCTTTGGTGTCTGCCAGTCACTGAACCTTACAATCACACCAGTTTTTTTCGACAAGCACCAGTTTTCTGGCTTGTGTGGGCAGGTGCCAGCTTTTTTTGCGTTTCTGCCGCTGCTCTGTTCCGTCTGCTGGTCTAAGGTGACGGTTTGTGACAATACGTGCCGATCGTGTTTCAGTACATCAAGTACCTGGACACGGCGGAGCCCGAGAAAGTGAAGGAGGTTTTTCAGAGGGCCTGCACCATCCACCTGGTGCGCAAGCCCAGCGCCAGCCTTGCCTGGGCGGCCTACGAGGAGAAGCACGGTGAGTGCCTGTCCGGGAGGGTGCCGCCTCTTTGGAAAAGGAGAGGATCATCATAAAAGCAAACAAACGTGTGCGTGCAAGGTCGATTGCATAGTTTCAGTCACGCGACTGGAGACGGGCCGGAGCGTTGAAGCCTCCAGGAGTTTCCTCTTTTGAGTTCATCCTTCTGGCTTTTACCTCTTTCCGTGCCGCGCCCATCAAAATCGACCGCGCGCTATCGACGATTTGCGAGCCTTGTTGCCACGCCTCCAGTGCGTTACCGGACAGGTTACAGCATCTGGTGGTTAGAGTAAACACACTATAGTCCGGCAACTCAAGAAGGTGGGGTGAAGGAAAGGAAGGCCGGGAGAAGGAAGCAGACGAAACGCTGGAGAGGAGAGAGGGGAACCTCCTCTGCTCTTTAGCGTTTTGTCTGCTTCCTCCTCCTCGACCTTCCTTTTCCTCGCCCTGTCTTCCTGAGTTGCAACGGACTATAGTTCCAGTTTCCGTATTGTTCTTTTCTTTTTTCTTTTTTCCCCTTGAGATAGATGAGGGGTATTGGATGCCATATTTGAGGGTGATGTTTGCAGCGCATGCTCAGAATGAGCTCAGATTAATAGTCTGTCAAGACCAGCAGTCTTGATGGTGCGGAATACAGATTCCAAAATATGTGCAGATGCTCGCTGTCAGCACGCGCTCAGCAGCCGCACACGCAAATATGGCCGCCAATGACGACTTTTTATGGCCGAACATGCGACCGAGAAAGGGCGCTCCGCGCTGCAAGTATGGTGTCTTCACCACGCGGCGCACCTCCTTGGAAGCGTTTGAAGTCTCGCGATTTGATCACGTCTGCGGTCAGTTTTGTTGATATTGGTAGCGCGAGCGAATCGGAAGATGATGTAGGACCGTCGTAATATCCTAGTACTGACGGCGATGATTCATCAAATCGGCCGGAAACATCGACGACTGCGCGTCGGTTAGGCTTATTTTGGACAGGCAGCGCTCGTCCTGTCCAGTTCCTTCCTCTGTCCTTGCAAAAATTCGCGCTGTTCTATTATGAATCCATACCAACTCGCCCAGTTATCCTGTTTACTAAGTCTTATTTTGGTTTTGGCTTCGGTTTTCACATTTTTGCTGGTCTCGCGTGTAGGTCTGGACAATTCACAGTTTTTGTCAATGTGTCTGGTGTTTAGATTAGACACTCTAGTGTAAGTTTCTGTATAAACTTTTTTTTTGTTTAATGCGATGGCAATTTATTACGAAGAAACTCTCAGCCGAGTGAGACTATGTACTAAAGCTTGATTAGATTATTTTTTTTATATATATCTAAAGCATTGCAACTAAAATTCGCCATAATTTGTATATATATATATATATATATATTTTTTTTTAGATATTTGCATATGTTTCTAATTTTTGTTGTGCTGGCCACAGCAGTTTTGGTTCTCAGAATTTAAATATTGCATAATTTATGAGACTCCTATTTTATACTTTTTACTATTAAAAAGTGTTTATTGCGCTACATTTTGATACACCGCAGTAAATTTTAGAAGCTCAAACTGAATGCCTAAAAACAAGAACTAAAGAAAGGAAGAAACAACGTGATGTCTAATTAAATTAAACTTTCAGTTGCGAGTTACGCCCGATGTTGTCTCTTCCTTGCTTTTGTCCTCGTTTCAGGCGTTCAGTTCGAGAGGTAAAACCGACTAGCACAACTTAAGGTCTATTCACACGATGCATCTTGTTGGCGAATCTTGCGTCGCGAAACTAGGTTTCGGGAAACAGATTCCCCATTTGAACGTGACCGAAAAAGTGGCGCGTCTCTGAAAAAAGTGGCGCACCTTCCTCGCTCCTGGAGCAATTTTTCGCTGAAACCTCACCGAGGCCTGTCAATCAACCGAAGGAGAAACGCACACACTGCCAATGGGCCGCTCGACTTCGCTATGACGTTTGACCTTCGAGGAGGAGCGAGCTTTTGGAGGAGTCTGATTTTTGGCCGATTTTGTATCCGAGCCAAAGCCGAAAAAAGAAAAACAAACATGGCGAGCGACAGGTGGAGAAGCGGTGCGTACGGACGATGAGTTTTGGTCCTACTCGGTTGCAGGTGTGTGATCAACGGGTTGGTGGCGCGGTGCAGATTCATCAACAGTCGTGACGAGTGCTAGCACCGCATATAAACATGATGGCTGGGGATAACTTTTTTTATTAGCGGTGCAGAAATGTCCGAAATGCTTCGAGATCTTCCGCCTGTTCTTTGACGTTCGCATTCTTTCCCGGGTTTGGCAGGACTAGTAAACCCAGTGGCCGCATCTGACAAAGTTCATTGAGTCGTATTAGTAAAAGAGACTGTCTCTTCAAACTGTGCGTACTTCATATTATTTTGATGCGAAATGCTTGGTATTCCCGGTGCAGATGACCAGGTTTGACGAAATTCTCGTTGGTCACTACGTCACAGGTTTCGCGCGTCATACTACACGTGTAACAGGCCGCTTTCGCAAAATCTTGGTTTCACTAAACTGTGGCGCGTTGAAAAGATGCACCGTGTGAATAACCCTTTACTATTTTGGTGCAACTCTAAAAACAAGCATTTTCAAAAGATTATTGGGATTCCTTACACATGGGCAGTTTTCCCACGGTATGGAGCTAAAATGATAGCTTTGTATGGGAACTCCCCATGGACTTTGCCTTCTCATGTTGGTCACACCCCATGACCGCACAATGTGGCATCAGTGTCGTGTGATGTCAATATGATGTCATCTCCACTCAATTCCAATAGAAAGTGCTGCCCATTAGAAGTTTTATCGAGTGCCGTCGCACCTTCTCTGCAATCGACGGAATGTATAAGTGAGGCAATCATTCTTTTGTGTGCAGGGCGGTTCGAAGAGGCGTCGGCCATCTTGGCGGGCACCGAGGAGCGGATCCCGGACTTACTGGAGGCCACGCTGCGTCGGATCAACGTGGAGCGCCGCTGCGGCAACCTGGACAAGGTGGAGGAGCTGTACCGGGCCTGCATTGCCAAGGCGGCCAACGCCCCCATGAGCACCTACTTTGCCTCCAAGCTGTCTCGCTTCCTGTCCAAGGTGAGCGGGAAAGAAACAGATGTTCTAAACCTTCGTACTGCTGCGTGATTTTCTCAACTGAGCTCCTAGTTGCCTAGAGGTTCCCCAGGGTACCCAAATTTCCCCAGCCGTTCCTTCCCCCAAATAAAGTGTTTTTCCTGTCAAAGGGCAACGCTGCTCTTGGGGGCCGCCGCTGAGGCGTCGTTGAGGAACGTCAATAAATGTATGAGCTGCCATTAGGAAAGATGTTTTGACCTGTTCCCGTCCTTTCCGTCGTTGATATTGCTCTTACTTATCCCCGTACATTAAACCTTTTCCTTTCCTTTTATTTGGCCTCCATGTCCGTCAATGAGGTTCTAACACCTCTGTTGGATCCAGTTGTGTTGCATCTCTGCAAAGTTACTCCGCGAACTGTGTGTTGGAGCTGCAATCATTCGGTAGAGATGAAACTCGTCGTTTGTCGTTCCAGGTGCGGAACGACACAGAAGCCGCCAGGAAGGTGCTGAAAGAGGCCATGGAGCGAGACCCGGTGAGTCGGACGAACCGGTCTCGTTTTTCGAGGGGCTGACAAATGTCTCACTCCTCTGTCCTTTCCTTTTTTTTTTTTCTCGCTTTCTTTTTCGGCATTGCAGCTGTTACAGGCACCGTGGGTCGTCCCCCCTTCTCCGTCCGAATCAGCCGCTTTCTGGTTGAGATTCTTGCGCCGCGTCGTAGCGAGTAGAAGAGCGAAGGGTGGCGAGAAAGAGATTGCCATTTCCCGGCAGGTACAAATGAATGGGCACATTTCGTAGCAGAGGGAACGATTAGTTCGGTCTTGATTTTTCTGTGGGTTGGTCTCGAGCTTGCCGCAAACATTGTCAAGTGATATGGCCACAATTCGACGTGTGGCTGGGCAGTTTGGGTACAACGCCTTTCTTGCATGTTGTGGCAGATAAACGAGGGACTGTTGGCGACACTCTTTTTTTTTATTCAAGAAAAATATCTTTGCTTTGGAATTTGTCGCCTGATCTGACAGAAAGAGAGTGAACCCTTTTAATATAAACTTTGTCGACTTATAGGCTTCGTGCGCACTTTGAAATCTGTGTTATGTTTGTTTACAAAAAAAGAACTGCGAAGGAGCTTGTGGTTGCAAGGGGGCAGTATGTGACAGGCATGGAACGCCAAAAATTGGGTGGTTACAGTCCTCGCGTCTTCGATACGCTTCATTTGTTCTTCGCCTCGTCGGGCCTTCGAAATTTATTTATCTGTATCACCTGCATCAAAGTGTTAGCAACAGCCGCTTAGAAAATGTCTAAACCCTTGCTGGGGGAGCTTCCAAATGTGTGCGCCCTTTTCGAGACTTGCTTGGAGAGCGAGGGACGTAAGCAGGCGAACAGGCAGGTAGCCCCTCTTCTCCCCACCTCCTTCCCCTCCTCCTGCCACGAGGGGCGGAACCATTGTCCCCGAAGAGTTGACAAGCGGCAGAGCTATGCGCACTCCGCGCCCGGCCGGGAGTGGGCGTGAGTAACCGCAGAAGGCCACTCGGCTCGCGTGGTTCTCTTGCAACGTGCGAGGCCCCGCTGGCTCAACTGACCACCCTGTCTTCCCCTTTCCCTCTCCTCTTCCTCCTCTTCCTGTTTTCCCTCGCTCACCGTCTCCCACCTTTTTCCTGCTTTTCCCTTATTGGTTACTTCCCTTCGCGCCCATTGCCTTTCCTTTTTATTGGCCAACTCCTCCCTTTTTCCCCACCTTTCCTCCCCATTTCCCATGCTCCCCTCCTTTGCCTTTCCACATTTTTCTTTTTCCCTATGCCCCCCCATTCCCTATTTTCCTTTTCCCTGACTGACTCTCCTCTTCCGTCTTTCCATATTCCCATCACTTCCCTTCTCCCTACTCGCACAATCCCTATTTTCCATCATTTTTTTTCCTGCTCTCCCACATCTTTCCATTTCCCTTCTCCTCGCTCCCACATTTCCCCATTTTCTTCAAATCCCCTACTCTCTACTTTCCCATTTCCCTCCCACATTTTCCTTTTTTCCCATCCCCTTTTCTCCCGCTCTCCCGCATCCTCATGTGCTCCCCTTTTTTGCTTTTCCCTCATTCCCCTTCCCTCCTCCCCCTATTTTTCCTCGCACCCTCTTCCCGCATCTCCCCGTGTCCCCTCTTTCTCCCCCCTGGCCGATTCCCCCTTCCCCTCCCTGCTTCCTTTTCCGGAACGGCGACCCCGGGCGGAGCAGACGTGCGGCCGTCTCTACATGCAACTGGTGGACATAGGCTTTGAGAAGACCCCTCCGGACGAGGCGGCCGTCGTCGAGGCCTTTGACCTGGCCCTGGCCAGCAGCGACCTGTCCCCGGGGGACAAGCTCACCTTCCTCCAGCGGAAGCTGGAGTTCCTCGAGGACTTCGGGGCAGACGTGAACAAGTGAGCAAACCCCTCCGGGCTCGTGTCCTACTACGGTGCCTAGAACGCTTGTTCGACCTTTTGGTCACCGCGAGATATAATTTGCATCTTGCGGGGCGATCGAAGATGGCATTCGTGGAGGTTCGTCTGCCACGAAGCGTCATTCTAAGACAAAAATAAAACTGAAAAGCACCGCACATCGTCTGCTAACAGACCGGAAAAAAGGTAGATCATCCCCTACGAATCAAGTGTTGCGGCGAAGCGAGATTGGATGCGAGCCGAACTGTGTGTGGTCGTCTGCTATTTCACGTTTGAAGCCATTGATGGCCCGTGCTTCGTTTGCAAATGTCTAGTGGTTCTGCTGCTGTGCAGGAGCCGACGTCGATTGGTGGTTGACTGAGTACCCGCACGTCGGAGGCCGCGAGACCTCTCGCTGTTCGTACGTCGGCGAGACGTTCTCTCCAAAAGTGTTGCACGATTGCGAGCTCGCAAACGAGTCCCAAATGTCCCATTGGCCGATTCCGCGCAAGCTGCGACGTCACGTCCAGTCGGACGAGAGGGACGTTGTCGTCGCGGCGTCCCGTCTCGTGTTTGCTACAGTCTCTCTCGACTGTCTGGCTGCAGGAAGACCTTTAGCAGAATGGGCATCCGCCGCCCGTTCCTTTTTTATAGATTTGGAGTGTGAATTCTGGTCGCTTGGTTTTCATAGTCCTCTATAGTTTGAGTGCGGAATTAGTTAAAGACTTGGTTCTGGCTCTCTTTATGCTGAAATCTTGTGCACGTCTGCACTGTGGACTTAAATTTTGCATTTTTTGTGTTCTTTTGTTATGAAAATTGTCAGTTTGTATAACTTGGGCAAAAACATGAAATTTTCTTGTTTTCTTGGATCTTCTTTTTTTTTTTTTTTTTTTTTTTTTTTTTTTAGAAATAAGTTTTGTTTGGGAAATTCTTTTTCATAGGTGCCAGCTTGAAATATTATAGTATGTATTACACATACACACACTAAAAGAAAGGCTACTTTTGAACACCGTTTTTAGACGATAGATTCTTGACGTAGACACAGTTTGTACTTCGGGCTGAGACAAGTTGTATCTTTGTAGAATCTTGCAAAATTTGACCTATAGAGCTGAAACTTTGCATGCTGCTTTTCTATATGCTTGTTAACATACCATGAGAAGTTCACGCAGAGTGAGCGAGCGCGTGAAAATGGAACTTTTCCCGAGCATAGTGCTGTGGCACAGCCTGCCTCTGTAAGTCGGGAGTTCTCAAACACTGCGATCTCAAGGAACCGCTATCTGCCACGAAATGGCACCCAAAGAATTCCTCGCAGTTTCGTCATTGGTGCAATGAAGCAGTAAATATTAAAGGGACACTGAGAGGATATTTATGCTCGCCAAGGATTTTATTTGTACATGACATATGAGAGCCCAACCACCCAGAACACAATTTGCGGCTCAAAATTTGTTTTCTTTCCGCCCAAAAAGCGCTGATTAAGAACTGGTTGGTTTGGGTCGCGCTCACTCTCCTCTCCGTTGTCACGTGCAGTTCTCTTCAGTTTAGACACCCGCACCGAATATAATCGAAAGTCGTGGGTCATCGAAAACACACGATCAATATTAAAAATTGAAAAAAAGTATGATACCCATTTTTTGTGCCTTCAAAAAGGCTGGAAATACGTTGATTGAAAAAAAAAAAAGTTGAGCAGAAAACCAGAAGCACTGTGTGCATTCTCTGTTTAATTCTCAGCATGGCGTCATGTCGCGGGAGTCGCAAGCTGGATGGCTGAACGTACCCACAAAGACGATGCCAAGTTATCGTCCCTTCTTCCGTCTGAAGACATCGCTCGTCTTACGAACACGAATTGGCAAAAGCTGGGAAAACGTGCAAACGTCAAGCACGAAGTGCTTGACCTTGACGTTTTTTGCTACAGTGTGCGAGATTTCAATCTGCCTCACACAATCAAATAAACGAAGGGGAAAAAAATCATGAGACATTCTACTGTGTCGAGGTGGATGACCAGCGAAGCTGTTTAGCACACGACCCGGACCACACCCCTCAAGGAACCGGCAGAAAGAAGACATTCACGACAGGACCGCCACCCCGGAAGAATAGAGAGGGCGGTGCGAGCGTAGACGTGGCCAACGCAGGTCACACAGCGGCAAATCTTTGAGAAAGTTTTATGATCTACCCGAGAGTTTACTGATCTTGAAGATGCTGCCTATTAATAACTAACCTGCTGAATAGACCTATTGCTAAATTACCCAAGCATCGAGGAGAATCCAAGGAATGGGGGTCCACATGCCGGCGTCTGCAGCAGTAACGTTTCTAAAGCAAAAGACTAAAACAAATGGCATCTTGCACATGCAATCGTCATTGCTTTATTTTGGTTATTTACTTTGAATCTTTTATACAGGGAGGTGTGCTCATTGAGCGTCGCAAGCGTAGAGTTTGTAGTCGCTGCACACAAAACGTCCTTGGAACTTTAGCCGTAAACAGCTTCGCTGTAAAAAAAATAATAATGCGGCTGGGCGTAGCCACATGACTTCCGGCAGCTTTCTCCTCCTCTACATTTCTTCTTCCTCCCCAGTCCAGTTTTGCTTCCGAGCAGTTGCGTTTTTTTGCGTTATTAAAAGTATATGTGGCGCTGTAGCAATATATTGATTAGGTAGTCCTCTAACACCTGGCAAAAAAAAAAAAATTCAAAAAAAATTTGGCGGGGCGGGGGGGGAAGGGGGGAGGGTGTCAGTGTTATTTTAATGCACATACTAGGCAGTATTGAGCTCACAGCTATGCATCAATGGGTGACTGATATTGCTCACATAGTGCTTATTAGAATGGAAAAATATAATACTAAAGGCCAAGGACAGTAGAAATTTGAAAGCTCAGGGATTTAGGAGCCCAGTTTAAGGACAGATGCTGCGAGTGATGATGGTCTTTGGATAGTTCTTTTCACCCGAGGTTTTGAATTTCGGAGCGTCCTCAAAGGTCTGAGACCCGTCTTATGGCCAAGTAAACTTTTTGAGGAGGACACCTCAGCACTAGAAACTTTGCTGAAGCCATGTTGGGAAGGCGACCGCTGATTCCCTTGGCCTTCTGCCCCTTTTGCAGGATTCAAGAGGTGTTTGAGGAGTACAGCAAGATGGTCAAGGTGCAGGCGTCCGCTTCCAAGAAGCGATCTGCCGAGTGAGTGCTTTCTATACGGTTTAATCCACATGGTCCGATATAAGTAGGCTCTCTTATGCTTGTTCTTGATATTTAATTAAATACTGTTCACACATGCACCACAGCATTATTTCAGTGCTGTTAGCTCTGGAATTATAGCTGAATGCCGACTTTGTGTTCAATTAGTGACGCAGCACTCTTAATTTAGCACCGTTGCGCATATGTGAACCTGTCTATCGACGTAAAATGAGCCGGAATTTATTGGTTTCTATTTTGCGTGGCCATCTTTCTGGCTGGCACGGGAAATCCGGTACTCTGAAGTTACGTCGAGCGTGATTAGGTGATCGGGCGAAATGTTTTGGCACTTGTCGCACGCACATTCGTTTTTGTTTCCTTTTGAGGAAACTTTCGAACTCCCACCGTCTTAAAACAGTTGCCATTTCATCGCCGCGACTCGTTGACGCGACTGCCGTCGTCTGCCCCTTGCAGGGAAGAGACGGAAACGGCGGACAAGAAGCCCAAGATCGAGGTGAACGGCGCGGAGAGCGTACCCAGCGCAGTCAACTCGGCGGCTGCCGCCGCGGCCGCAGCGGCGGCGGCCCAGGCCGTAGCCGCAGCCACTGCCAGCACCGCTGCCGTCGACCCTGCTGCCCAGTACAACTACGCCCAGCAATGGGGAAACTACCAACAGGTCGGCTGCCCCTCTCAACACGACTAATTAATTAACGATGAATTACTACGTGCAATGTTTTTACATCGGAGATACGTGCAAATATCGGAGCTCGCGTATCTTTTAGGGCTCCAGCTCTGACGCAAAAAGGTTAATGTGCAAACTCCTAGCAGGAAGTGGGAAATAAATAATGGTCCTGCGCAAATGTGTTTTCTTTATTTCCAACCTTTTTTTTCAATAATTTCTTTCCCAAATAGCCTAATCAGACTTTTTTCAGACCTATGCAGATGTAAAAGAAGTTAAAACGTGTTTGTCTTCTATTTGAACACGTATGGTACTTTTGCTATTGTTATGCTATGCTGCCTATCTCGTCATGGGTCCCCAATAGCATTATATCAGTTGTTACATTTTCCCGGACGATGTGAAGTATGAACTACTAAACTTCCTGCGTCATTCTTTTTGTTTTTTGCAGGCATACGGTTACCAGCAGCCTTGGAGCGCCTATCCGGCCGGTTCCTATTACCCCACGCATTGAACCGGAACCCGAACCGGGAGGAAAACCGCTTCCAAAAAACAACGGCGACGCAGGTCGTCTTGTAAATATAAACGAGGCTGGCCCCTCCGACGGCACGCAAGAGTCCAGCCAGTTGTTCATTCACCCACACTCCGAAAGAAGGCTCCCCTTCAAGCCATCTCACCTAGACCCTCACCCATCATTTTTTCTCTCTACGTTTTTACACTGCAAAATCGTTTTTTTTTTTCTTTTTTGTTACGATTAGCAGTGCAAAGACTCGAAGAAGGCGGAGTCACAAAAATAAATGACACAAATGTGTTTGTTGTCCGTTTTAGCTTGCCTTTTTTACTATCTGTGGCTCCAAGCACAATTCTCTTTGGTGCTTTTGCTTCGAAGAGACGTACCTTGGTTGTCGTGGGCCGTTATGGTTGCACCCCAGGAAGCTGGTGCCGTAGGCGGGACAATTGAAGCTCGCATATTAGCCAAACTTTTTTTGCGGTTAACGGTGGGAATATGCGGACGACGATCGTAGCATCTGCGTTTTTGGCACCGTTGGCCCCGTACCCATTGCATAAGCCGGTAACTTTGGCACGCCCCCGCACTTCCCAAGTGCGTCGAGTCTTTCTAAAGGACTTGCTAGTTCTCGATTACGCTGGGTGAGTTTCTAATCCGAACCGTACGCTTATTTTCGCAAGTGAAAAAGTTGGTGAAATAAATTTGAGTTAACTATCCGATGACTTGCGAAGATTAGCCCCGTGCGTTATGTCCTCCCGGCCATATAACTCGCCTGCAGACGGCATTAGCGCACCTTTTCCGGATTCTTAAAAATAAATCTTCGAATTAAAATTCAACACCCTGTGCAGTATGAAAAATAATCGTGAAGGGACAACTTCTGAAGTACTTTACGTCGACCACAGTTTAAACGTGGCTTGCCCCAAACTCCCGTAAAGAGGAGGTGCTCTGTAGGCCATAGAATCTGGTTTTAGCCGAAAAGCGCCGTCAAATGTTCATCAGTGCCGAAGATTTAAGATGGTTGAAACCAAAGAAAACGCTCATTTCTGGAAATTTCCTTTCAAGCGTAATTTTACTTTCACCCATAATCACCATCTGTGGTGTCTTCTTGAACAAATCCGTGAAATGCACAGATATTTGAAAAACGAATGAACGCTGAGATACATTTTATTTTTTTTATAAACGCCGAAAAATCTATGGCCTAAATACCGGGTGGTTCTGCAAATACTTTCGAAAGTACCCTTAAATAGGGATGTTGAGAAGAAAACTTTCGAGAACAAACTGCCAGCCATAGAGAGTATTCACTGGCGACCATATCTCTGTGCGCGAATTTTAGGCACGTGGTGATGGCGAGCTTCCACAGTTCTTTTGGAACGTGCATTCCGCACCATCGAGAGTGCCAGTCTTAGCAGCCTATTGATGCGAGCTCGTTCTGAGCATTCGCTCTAAACAGCACCCACAAATATGGTGTCCAGTGGATACTTCCTATTGCAAACGTCGAAGACTTATAAAAAAAAAATGCTAACTAGCATAATAATTATTAAAAATTCACTAATTAACTTCCCAAGTAGTGAAAAGAAACATGGCTCCAAATAGAATCTGGACGAGTGTCATAGAAAAAATTGATATCAGTACGGGAAGATGTGCTGGTGCAGAAGGCTGGCGATGGGAAAACGCAAGGATATTCTTGTTCAACTTTTTTACATCGCCAGCCTTGTACCGGCAGCACGATTGGAAACTTTAGTGCTCCCTTCAAGTATTCGCGAAACTGGCTGACATAGGGGTTTTCGATGATGCTCACCAGGATTCTAATTGGAACAGCGTTTATTTTCACTGCTACTAAAGTTGATCACTCGATGTTTGGCAATTGCCTGTTAGCGAGGTTTTCTTTTTTCTCAAGCACACTGTTTGTAGAGATTGTCGAGAGTATTTGCAGAAACGGCTGGTATAAGTAGGGACATTTGTGTTTTCTGGTACAAACTAGATTTTATTTACCAGAGCAGTACGGAGAAAGAAAAAAAAACAAAAAAAAACTACATCTATATATACAGCAGAGGGGCAACATCGAAGAGCTGCAGCGAGCAACATTATGTACAAGATGTCGAGCTGCTCCGAACCAAGAATGCTCGATAAGGCAGTCTTATCTCTTGCGCTGCCACACGCACAATAAAGAAGACTGGCGACGGTTGTTTATCGTAATTTCCGCTTTGCTACTTATACACAGATGGCACACGGTTTGAACTTGCTTTTGCACAAATCGATCGTTGCACGCGCTACGTCGCTGACCCCGCCTCCTTTGGCATGGACTCCCGTTCCGACACCTTTCCTGTTCTCGAATATTGGTATACCTACGAGAGACCAGAAAGGTTTCACCGTGGGAAGCGCATTACACCAGGAAGCGTATAAAACATTTTTTTGAAGTGCTCGTGCTTGTACAGCAACGCGTTGTCCAGCGTTTTACGAGCTGCAGTGCGTTTCGATTGGCCTCTATGTGTTGTTTCCCTTGTGCCAATGGAAATTTAGGGATGGGCTGCAGTAATTTTGTGCGATTGTTTCTTTTATTTCTAGTTTTTAAGTAAATCCGTAGCCGTCTATCCTGGACAGAGATGTACGTATTTTGCTGCCCGCACAAAAGGCGCCGCAACCGTCTCGTCGGCCCCATCTTGAACACTTGTTGAACACACAACACGGTTCACAGTGCACAATATTGCATGCAAACATTGCTATCAATCGTCTTTCTGTGTCCTTTACTTTGTGAAATGGCTCGCCAAGCTAAAAGCACGACGGGTAAACGAGCGAAACCCCACATACTCCTTAAAAGCAATAACTTAAAAACAAAACTGCGGATCAACAAGCAACAACTCGCAAACAAAGCCAGATCAGTGATTTGATTAAAAAAAGGACCGTTTAAAGGAAACAAAGGTGTCACCATTTCTTGGAGAAAAACTTTGGCATCACTCTAGGTTCCTCCTGAAAATTGCGACAACTTAAAAAGTGTAAAAAAAACCAAAAAACATCTTGTTCTTGGGTGTCCTTATGTCGATGTCCATGCTAACACTTCGGTTGTTAAGAACCTTCCGTTTGATCCCCGTTGGATGGCAAGGTAGCTTTTTGCCGAAACGATAAATTATTCCCGTTTGCCCAAGTTTGCCATGCCGCTTGTGACCCACTCCGAACACGACTTGGCATGGAAGGGCAAGGAAACGTTTCGGTATATTTCCGCCGACTCACGAGACCACACGCACGACACTCGACGACATAACCTCTCCTTAAACAACCTAAAATAACAAAATTGATCCTGGAGGGAAAAAAAAAAAATAAAGCAAGGAACACTGGACATTGCAAGCACAGGAACTATTTTCTCCGGAGAACAACAACGAATAGCCAAGCCATAACTTAAGTCGACTGCACTCATTAAAAAAACTGGCTGCACGTCGCGAGCTCCGGTGCCGCGGCGGACATTTTGGGAGAGGGTTCGCGGTTTCAGCCATCAAATGGCACGTGTGAAAAACAACTGCGAAAAACCAAGTCGGCCGACGTATTCGCTACATCTGCTTGTCTTTAGGAAAAGCGATTTAAAAACTGATGTCAAGTTGTAAAGTGTGTTTCCTCGACTATCCTTACACGGACTCGAATACGCCAATAACTCCTCAGGCCACTGTCGATTTCCCCCACTGTCGCCTGCAAAAGGGCAGAATGTCTGACAGCAGTAAAGGATGATGTATATCATGTCCCCCCCCCCCACCCAAATATGTACAGGTTTTTTTTTTTTTTAATTCAGAAATAAACTGCATCGCCAAACGCTAACTTTTTGCCCAGATGTAGTGCTAGTGGTACAAACCAGACGCCAAAGTTGCAGAGTGAATAGCCATTTTATAAAAAAGTTACGAGTGATTTTTCTGAAATTTTCAATGGGAAAATGGCGGCCGACAAAACTCGAATACATGGAGCTCTATGGCACCAGTTACCGAAAACAAAAGCCATTTTTCTATTGAAAATTTCAGAAAATCACTCGTATAACTTTTGAATAAGACAACTATTAATGCTGGAAATTCGGCATTCGGTTCAGACTTCTAGCACTACAATTGGTGAAAGATTGAGTGGTCGGTCATGCGCAGCTTATTTTTGTGACGAAAGAAACGCCATCAATTTTTTTGGGGGGGGACATGCTGTACATTGTTGGCGCAAACATGACATTGCGCTTTTTCGGATGTCACTTCAAAAGGCTGCTGGCCGGCACCAAACTTTACCACTCAGGTTAGTGCTCCAAATGTGCGGTTATCGCCGTGCCGGTAGTTTTGATGACAGCTTTTTGATTCTAAGAAAATAAAACAGAAAATGCACTCCCCTCTGTGGTGTGCATTTTGAGAGGTTTAGGCTTAACGACAACGATCCACTTTCTACACTGGTAGAACGCAGCACAGGTGAGTCAAACAAACGCGGCATCGCGGACTCCGCCGCATGTAAAGACCGAGAACGTCGCCTCCCACTGTTGGTGCTCGACAGTAGTACGAGAACGGCAGGACGGCTCTTTCAGAAGCCCAGGCCCCAGCGCGTGCTCGTTGCCTTCCATCATGCTTCGACCGCGCGTGCACACTCGAGGCTCACGGGACGCCAAAGCATGGTCAAAGGCGGGAAGCTCGCATTGCAGGTGGGGTGGCCGAAGTCCCTCTGCCGTCCCAAACCCCGACGACGACAACAGCAATTTTTACAAGCGCTTAAAAGAAGATACGAAACCGGAATCAGATTTTCCAAAATGCCCGTCGCAGTGCCAGTCTCTACGACTCTAAGAAGACGCACGGCCCACGCCGCCTCGCGTTTTCCCCGGGGAGAAAAACGAATGACAGCATTGGCTGAGAGTATTGACGACCGTGCCGCAATTGCCGCTACGACGACAACCGACGTTTAGATGGGTGTGGATACAAGATGCAGGCTTAATGGGGGGGTGTCTGTTACATGAGTATGGATGCACATGTTGCTATGTAATGCGGCGGAACCACCATCGAGGGCAGCTTTGTCCCTCGCGTCGTTTCGGCGGGCACTCGTACCGAAACCCTGGCGACCCTACGTTCAAGTCACGAGCAAGCGTTCCTGGGAAACTCCCCTCCGCTCGTTGGTCGAACGGAGTGCCGGTCTCGAACGACCGAACTACGCTGGGCTCTCAAAGTCTGGCACCGGAGATTCTTGCGTTGAATAGTGGGCTTTGCAAATAAACGGCGCAAACCGTCGTCCGCCGCTTGCGGCCTTTTCTGGAAGCATGCTCGCGCAGCCTAGTCAAAAGTATGTCTCAAATGAAGTAGTGCCACGTCGTCCGGAGGACCGTGCCAGGCGGCGTTGGTCGATTCCACGCCCTCGCAGTGTGCCAAGCGTCGCGCCCGGTTCGCGGACGCTCTCAATACACGAGCTGCTTGCCTCCGCCGACGTGCTTTCCCTGCTTCCGCGGCAGCGCAAACTGCTTAGTCCGACACAGAATCACCTTGGTGTCCTCCGTGTGCAGCACGCGCCACTGCATCTTGACAAAGTCCGAACACTCGCTGTCCTCCTCGTCGTTCCAGTCGTACACATCAAACGTCGAGGACCCTCCGCTGGCCGCAGCAGACGCCGCAGCGGCCGCTGCAGCAGCCGCTGCCCTTCCTCTGGGAGCTCTCGTAGGGGTGGGCGGCGGTGGACTCATCAGAGACGAGCCCTGCTTGCGCGCGGGCGTAAACTTGAGCTTGAGTCCGACGCCCCTCCGCGTGCGCTCGACGGTCCACCGGTTCGGATTGTTTTCCGACGTGCCGTTGCTCGTTGCGTCCTCGTCGTCGCGGCTGTGCCTCCGCCGATTTGCCGCCACAGTCTGCTTTGTCAAGGCCGACGGAGGCTCGGACGGATTGTTGTGCGCCGTCAGCTCGAGCGGAGACGAGGAGGAGTTCTCAACGGACGGCTGACACCGCGAGGACGCCGCCGTTTCCGTCGCGGCAGACGTCGTGTCCGAGTACGGCCACGACTGGAACTGCTGCTGCTGAGACAATGCCGCGCTTGCAGCTTCCGCCGACCCGCAGGCTGCCCTCTCGACGTTCTCCTTGTTGCTGTCGATGCTGCGCGAGCCTCCGCTCCGCCGCTGCGAATCCTCTTCTGCCTCGTCGCAGATGCTGTGCAGCAGGTTCTGCAGCCCGAAGGAAAAGTCCGGCTGCGGCAGCTCGCTGGTGAACATGGCGTCCTGGTGGGGCTGGTCCAGGAAGCTGAGGTTCTCCAGCGGGAGGTGGGACGATGCCGACACCGGCGGCTGGTGTTGGTGATGATGGTTGTGCGGGGGCATCATCGCGGAAGAGTCCATCTTGGATGCTCCGATCCAGCAGGGATGCTGCTGTTGTTGCGGAGGTTCCTCCGCCTTTTCGGGGAGGAACGGGGGGTGCGGAAGCGCCGGAGGCGGTACGTGGTGGTGAACGTACTCGCGCGGAAAGCTCTGCCCGCAGATGTCGGACAGCTGGCTGGTCCGCGAGAAGTCGAGTGGTCCGGCTGCACCCCCCTGCTCTCCGACGACCGGGAGCAGTCCAGGATGGACCACGGCTGGCGACGGATCATCCTGCGGCTCCTGCTTGACCATCACCTGTCCGGGGTCGAACGGGGGCCGCGGCGGGAACGGCGGCGCCGCCCTGTACGTGGCGGCGGCGCTCGCGTTCAGCATGGCGAGGTGGTAGGCAGACGGATGCATGTCGTTCAGCAGCGCCCTGTCCACAGCATGTTCAGCAGCACCATTGGCCACAAAGTCATCCAGACTCGGAAAGCAGTCGATGAGTTCCTTGACGCACTCGTAGTTGTCCTCGCGCAGCGCGAACTCGCGGTGGTGCGTGCCGTCGGGCCCGATGTGTTGCTGGAGGTTGTAGAAGTACGCGTTGCAGCACTCGCAGTACTGGTGCTTGTTGACGGGCGCCGCGGGGGTTCTGGTTGGCGCGACGGCGGCGGGCGGCGCGTCCTTCGCCACCGCGCCCGTCGAACCGTCGTCGGAGTCCTCGGAGTCGCACGAGGCCGCCCGCGTGGACCGCTTGAGCTGCACGAAGCGTTCCTGGATGGCGGGGTCGTCGAACGGGCTCGACGGATACAACGGGTTCACGTACACCGCGGGGTCCGACTTGAACACCTTGTACACGGGCTTGTACTCCTGCTGCACGTCTTCGAGCTTGACGAGGGGCCGCGGCAGACGGGACGCCTTACGCTTCCTCGAGCTAGACGTCGTCGTCGGCGGCGACTCGGAGACGGAAGGCGGCTGGATGTTGAGGTGCACCTCGACCCACCGCAGAAACTGGCTCACGCTCCAGAGTTTGATGCGGGCCTGCCGCACCCTGTCGATGAACTCGCAGTCTTCGGTAGCCTCGGTAGACTTCTGCGCGCGGCTGAGGATGAGCTGTCCGCGGGAGAGGGCCAAGGGCTCGCTGAGCGAAGACGGCTTGGTCGGGTCCTGATCGGTCACCACGAACGTCACCGCGTCGTCGAGGAGTCTGGCGACGCGCCCGCCGAGCACCTGGATGTTGCGCTGGAGTTCGGCCTCGTCGAGTTTGACGCGCTTGATCCAGATGAAGAGGGTGAAGCCCAGGAGCGGTCGCTGAGCGTCGCGTTGGTCCGGGTTCACGGAGCGCCAAGGGGTCCACTGAATGCCGTCCCAGACCCAACCGTAGTCGCCGACTTTGAACGTCATTGTGTGTCCGAACGCGAGAAACACGGCGAGCCCATGGGCCCCGCTTGAAGTTCGTCCCTCACGCGTCGAGACACAAACACCGCCGCGGCGAACGGCTGCTCACGGTCGACGAAGACATCGTAGGGCTGCCCTCGCTCGACGAGAAACTTTCACTCAGATGCGTTTCTTTTTCACATCCGCGCTGGTCGTTGGAAGCGCTCGAAACGTCGCTGGTGCACTTTGCGAAGAAGACTCGGGGTCGAGGCGGTGGAAAGCCACTGGAGGTACAAATAAATCATCTCCTTCAGTTTGCTTTGTTTTTGCTTTTTTTGGGGGGTTGCTCGGGCGCTTCGCTTGTAGGGTAGGACTGAGCAGAGGAGGGGAGGTGGTTCGAATATCTGGAGGCTAATTGCGATTAACTGGGGCCCACTCACGAGCGTTTCGGGTGGAAGGGAGACAACGACTGATGTTTACCTACTTCGAGAAACTCTCCCTGCCAATGTCACTTGGACTGGGGAAATTTTCGACCCAAGCGTTTTTAGCTGGTGGTGCAGCTAGAGATACGAAACTCCAGAGAGTGAAAATTGCCGACGCACCAACGACCGGGGATGCTTTTAATGCGTTATCCAAATACACAATTAGGAGTCGTATTTTAAATTGCGACGCTCGTCGAAGCGTAACTTCTCCGTTTGATTCCAAAACAATCGATGTGTTGCTACATATCGCCGGCCGAATCTTTTGACGCACTCACGTGATCACGTTTTTGTGATCCCGTGACCTTATGACAACTTCCGGTTGCAGCCGTCGGTGTAAAAAAAAAAAAAAAAAGTAAAGTCAAATCGACGTTTGGCGAAGGGGTGCGAGAAATACGAAGCGTTTCGCCGTTAATTTAATAGCTCCGTTACAGTTAATAATCGTGCTCACAGGTTTAGCCTCCGTGCGACTGCAGACATGGCAGACAACGAGCAGAAGGCGATGCAGTTAGTGGCGGACGCCGAAAAAAAGCTCAAATCGACCCAGGGATTCTTCGGATCGCTGTTTGGGTGAGTACGCTATGAGGGTTAGCAGTTCACGGAAGGATGACTGTCCGAGGTGCCTGCGCTACCTTTAACCCGTGTCTGATGAACCAGGCGAACTCGAGCAAATTTAATCCTATTTCGTGCTCGTATACCTTCGAGAGCATTTCTTTTGAAAGCAGTCGCTGCAACGCTTCAGAACAGCTCCTCAACACCTCTCCATACTGCCATGCAGTGAGTCAACATCGGGATAAATTTCGGATGAGAGAAAAAAAATATATATATAACAAGAATGAACTAAACAAGGTGTATGTAGCACAGCGTTGGGTCACTGTTCTGCTGTAGAAACACCCGTATGGGAACGTTATGGGTGTGAAAATACGAAAACTCTTTTGAAGGCCGTGTTGCATGGAGGTGGTCTATCAGAAGAGTAACCTTATCGCACGGTTTTCGTAATTTATTTGTCTCTTATCGTTTGTTTGAGGAATGTATCGGTACCTGAATAAAGCCGATAAACATTCGCGGTGCAGTCGTATACGATGCATATAATGTCCCTCTTCTGAAAGAAGGAACAATCGTCTTGCAAAGTCAGTGTACACTGGCACTGCGTTGTTTTTGACATCTTTAAATAGAACTGGGAACACCGTACTGCATCTGTATCGCATTATCTTTAACGTTCACTACCAAGCGCGGAGGAGCTGTCAATCGCGGTACGTCGGGAGATGATCTAAAAACAAAGCGCGCGTCTTTCTTGTTGTCTTTGATTTTTTTTTTTTTTTTCTTCTCATCTTTAAACGCTGGTCAGATCAGAGCGTAAGCTTCTGAAATACTTAGACGTTCAATATGTCTAGCATTTATACCACTTGATGCACCAAAATACGAGCCAAACCTTCACACTTCAATGTTGCAGATAATTTTTTTTTTTTTTTTTTGTATTTTGAGAAAGGATTAGGCTGTTGTGAAACAGTCCTTATAAATACAGCTGTTCACTGATAACGGGTCCAGTATAGCCTCCTTGAGATTGATAAGGTCTGCCTTGCTAGTTTTTCCCTCCGCTACATATGGCCGGGTGTCAAATGATCTCATCACGTCACCAATCCAGCTTGCAGATGCTTCTTAACACTTATAGTCTGTTCCCAATAGGAGGTTTCGAGTTTTTAAAACTCCTTTTTCTTCATTCAACGAGTTCGTACCTAACTTTTTACTTTTCAGGCAGATTTTTTTCACTCAGGAGTTGCAGCGAGGGATTATGAGTTAAGCAGACAGTGTGGGGGGAAGCCTATGTATGCTCTGGTCGGTGAATGTAAAAATAAGCAACAGAGACCCCGGTCTGCCAGGCCCACCTCAACTTTCCAACAACCACAGGTTGTGCTACCGGGTATCGCAACACCAATGAGATCGCTCGTCTTTATTTTGCAACAAGTGACAATGACACATTTATGAATGAATGTTTAGAAGGACAAAGGGAGGAATCATACTTAGGGTTTTTAATTTCTAGGCTAGGTGGCACAGGCTACCGCTTGTTATAAAGGGTATCACCATTAGCACCCATCCCCCGTCCATCCATACAGCAGTGCAACACCCAGTGTAAGTCGAGCGGAGCCTAGAATTGAACAGTTCATACTCTACTTGTAGTGAAGCGCCAAAAGGTGAAGTCACGTGTCCATATTTTCTGGTTTCCTGAGGTAATTCGGTTTCCACCTTGTATTTTTTATGGTTTCTTACTGGTGAGGCATGATACGTAACAAGTGAAAACTGACCCGTTCGAGCAATTACGGCTGTCACCAGTCGAATGCGACATGGACGCTACACTTTGCCTCGTGTCGGTGAACAGGTGGGGCAACTGTGAGTCAGTGGGTTTGACTCCCTTTCATTTTCTTCCGCCGACGTCTCTGCAGGAGTTCCTCGTCGAGGGTGGAGGAGGCATGTGAAATGTACGCCCGAGCGGCCAACATGTTCAAGATGGCCAAAAAGTGGAGCGGTACGTCTTTATCTTCTTATTTTTCTGAGTTGCTTCTTTGGTACGAAGTGTCCACGTAGCTTGACCCGTTTTCTCTGTGTAAATATGCCTCGACGCTGAGAGGCGCCCATAGAAACACCTTGGACTGTCTTGGGTCATGTCAGTTTTTCTCAATTTCTTGCTGATCTAGGACATTTGTATCATGTCCTTTCTCTGTGACTATGGTCTGTTACAGGCTTAGAATAGTGGGATAAGTCCTTCCCCCAAAGCTCTCTGCTTGCCTGGATTGGCGGTCTTCCTTTCTCCACTTGCCTCCTCACCGGCATTCGTTCTGCTAAGTGACAAGGGGGGGGGGGGGGGGGGGCTTGGTGGGAGGGGCCTAATTTGCTGTTCTTAACTTGTAACAGACTATAAGACCTGCCGTTAGTTCATTTCTTTCACTGTTATTTCGTAACACCCCGCTTGTCTCTTTTCAGCGGCCGGCAGCGCTTTCTGTGAGGCCGCCAGCCTGCACCTGAAGAACGGCAGTCGCCACGACGGGGCCACTTGTTACGTGGACGCCGGAACTTGCTACAAGAAGTCCGACCCCGCGGGTAAGCTTCCCTGCAGCCTTTTGGTATTGTCTTGGCTGAACTCCTTGTCTAAGCGTTAGCTGTACTAGTCCTTGGGGAAATGGTACAACCGCTAGCACCAACATTCAGTTTGCCCCATTTAACTCGTGGGAAGCTCTTGACAGGGTCTTTTTTTTTCGAGTCTTTGGCGTACAGCAGTTTGCTGCAGGGAGAGAGATCTCTCCCTCACTTTCGTTGCCCCAGAAAATTTATCATAAAATATTTTACATTTTTACTGCTTCATTCTTATAGGGAGTGAAAGCAGTTGTTTTTCTTTTTGCGGACAAAGGGTGTCACTGATCATTTTACCGGAAATTAGGCTGAACGCTGCCAAGTTAGCTTTCGCGGTCGCACATCTTTTGATGGCCTCTACAAATGTGAGGGTGTTCCAGTGCATTTTGGCCAACATACCCGTGTTTATCGGTGTGATTTGATTTATTCGCAGAGGCCGTCAACTGTCTCCTCAAGGCCATTGAGATCTACACAGATATGGTGAGTCTTGTCTATTTATTTATTCATTTGGTCGCATGTCAGTGCATGTACAAATGCAGTTTTCCTTGTTTTCCCTCTTGACTTTTTTAGAATCTTGTATTTACAGCATTATTTGTGGTTTCTTTGGTAATTTTATTCGCTTCAACACTTTTTCTGGCCTTTATTTTGCAGGGTCGTTTCACCATAGCTGCCAAGCACCACATGACAATCGCAGAAATTTACGAGCAAGAGGTGGTGGACATTGAAAAGGTGAGCTGTGCTGGGACACCTTCAGAAACACAGATCACGGCTCATTGCTTCCTTTAACTTCAACTCCATGTCTTGCGCTTTTGTTTACCACTCAATACTGAGGGTTTGCTTACCATTCAGTACCGAGGGGTCAATTCTCCAATCGCGACGTAGCCGATCTGAGATGAACACTCTTTGTGTTTCTTATCTCGACTGCGATCACGAGCTATGGTTTGTTTGTGACGAGCGGGGATCTTTCCATTTGGTGACAGGCGATGACCCACTACGAGCAGGCGGCTGACTACTTCAAAGGAGAGGAATCCACCAGGTGAGTGACAAGTAGCATTCACGCTTGTTTTGCAGTACAGATTTATGAAGAGAAAGAAAAGGGAAACATCCTTAGGCTTGCTGAGAAAGACATTGCAGGTCTGCCTTAAAACCGTGCGCAGAAAGTCACATGACGGCCAGAGATTGAAACAGCCAGTGGACAGTTCGAAATTCGACCAGTTTGAGACCGCTGGATAGTTAGTGCTGTCTTCGGTTGCCAGATCATGGCATTTCTCTGGCTTGCTCGTCTGTTTGCCGTTGTTGTGCTCGTTTTACATTTGTCTCTCGTCTCTCTATACATCCAGTTCGGCCAACAAGTGCATGCTGAACGTGGCCCGCTACGCAGCCCAGCTGGAACAGTATGAGAAGGCGATAGACATCTACGAGCAGGTGAGTAAGCGGTTTTCCAGTCTTTTGCACACTAAGGGGGGGTGCTGCACCACGACGCAGCTCCCCCCCTTAAAGAAAAATATCTTTGCGTGGACTGCAGAAATTGAACTCCAGCAAGAACAGTGTCTCAAAGGAACAAACACTGCAAATGAGTAGTAACATTGTGCGGCAGCAGGGAGCACCGCTCGCATAATTTTATCACTCACAAATCTGTTGTAGCAAACTTTAGCAGTGTTGTGCAAATATTCAAGTTTGCGAATAGTAGTTTCGAATAATATGCTATTCAATTTCCCTTTTGAGGTGATCTGCAATATTCATACTTTTGGAAGTGTTGATTGCAGCGGGTTAGCCCCGTTGAGTGCGCTTCTCACCGAGCACCGGTGCACTGTGGGGAAGCAAAGCCCGTGAGCTCCGTGGGTATTGCTTCCCCTCAGTGCACCGGTGCTCATTGGGAAGCGCACTCAACGGGGCTAACCCACTACTATTTATTGACATCCCACGTTCATCACTACTGCTTTTAACACAGAATGTGTTTTATCAGCCGATTTTCACTGAGATCTTTAACGTTCCGGGTGTAAAGTGTGGCTGTAGCCAAAAATACGTCACCAAAAGTGTTACCTTCATATGTAAAAAGACCTCAGTCCCACGGCAGGATTTGAACTCACCACCTCGAGATCATGAGCTAAGTGCTTTACCGACCAAGCTGGCGAGAAGTGGCGTTTGCTCTCAATGCAAAAAGAGACCCTTTCGCGCGGTGTTCAAAGGCGCGCGCCCAGGTACGGTTGCACGCCTCGAGACCGTGTGAACACGTCGTGCCACGCCATCTCAAGGCGTTTTTCAGATTGGAGCAAATTTTTGACACACTTGCTTCGTAGCAAGGCGGTGTTGCTCGGACACCTCTCTCTACTTCCGCCGTGGACACGGCGGAAGAGGACAGAGCCGAGCTTGTCGAGAAGGTAAAAAATGGCAGAAGCAGCGTGAGAGCCTTTTACAGGCACTCTGCAGACGGATGCTGGAAAGTGGAAGGCCTTTGACACATTCTGTGCTTACCAGCCTTTGGCAGCACGATCAAGCTTGTTTTACAGCGATGGCTGGTACGGGCTCTTCCCATTACTGGGTATGACGTCCGTCGTTGATGTTGTAGTCGACGACAAAGGCCGTCCGTCACCAATGTTGCAAATCCCGGAAGAAGTCGCGGGAATCGAACCTGGGTCCGCTGCGTGCGAAGCAAAGTCGTTACCTTTGAGCTGCACTGCAGCATTAAAAACCCGCTCTACACTTGGTTTTCTTGTAGTGGCCGATGCCCGCTGCACGTGCTCCCTGGAAACAGAACAATTGGCGATAACAAATTGCCGCCGTAGCACCGTCGCTGCCACAAGCTCGTGCCCGGGGGGGGGGGCGCATTCACGCGTTTTGGAACACAAAAAGAAACGAGTGTTTGGAATAATTCGGAACAAATAGGTCAGATGTCTGTTCTGTTCCAAACGCTTTTGTTCACGCACCCCACGGTGCGTGAACGCGACGCCAATGCCGAATGACTTGGCCGTGATGTGTCGCAGCCATCGCCGCGACTGTACTGCAAATTTACGCGGGATTGCTAAATTTTTCGTTGAAGATCAGTCGCTACTGAATGAAACTAAGTTTGAGAAGCAAAGAGCATAATGCACTGGCTGGGCTTTTCTTTTTTTCTTTTTGTCAAACTTGAAATTGAAAGAATATTTGCAGGTAGCAACCAAATTTATAAATCCCCTCGACTAGGATAGCCGTGGCAATGCTGTCGTTTACGTGCCGCAGTTAATGCATATAACTGTATTAAAATTGACGAGTTCAGTCAAATTTCCGTTTAAGCACGGTGCGCAGTAGCAAAAGACCGAGAAGCTATTCAATATTCAATTCGAAAACGTTCTACCAAAACCACTATTCACTTTGAATTTGCTTCAGACTCAAAATTCACTATTCGCACATGACTAAACTTTAATAAAACTCGTTGCCGTAGTGCAAGTTGGATTGGAGCAGCTCTTCTATGTGAGGACGGCATTAAAGCCATTTCGCCAGTTGTCCACCGCCTGGACAACCGACAAGGCAGCCGTAATGGCCAGACACAGTCTTCTGGCGTATTAGAAGACAATGGTCTTCAACTCATTTCTCTCTTTATGCATAGCACACGTATATTAAAGCTGGTCCATTGCACACTTCCGTCCGACCGTGGTTGAATCCGTTGCGTCCCCTTGAAACTGGGTCACTGGCACCACCTACCGGGCAACTCTGGAATGCTTCCGGCCTGCATTTGACTAGATTGAAGGTGTTGCAGTGTTTACGAGATCAAGTCTGCACACTGTCTACGAGAAACGGTCGCTCGCAACAACGTCGGAATTATTTAAGCCCACGGTGAAAGAATAATGCGTAAGAAATTGTAAAAATGGCCACGCGGATCTGACAGGTGGCGTCGGTGCGTCCTCTCGTCGTAAGCGGCGTGGTGGGCACGTGGTGTTCGTCTCCAAAGCTGACGAAGGTAAACTCTTTCGATCTCCCCCAGGTGGCCTCTTCTTCGCTGGAGAATGCGCTGCTCAAGTACAGCTCGAAGGAGTACTTCTTCCGCGCTGCACTTTGTCACATGTGCGTCGACCTGCTCAACGCCCAGGTGAGAAGGTCACACCCCCCCCCCCCTTCTCCCACCTCTAAATGTAGCGGTCGTGCGGAAGAGCAAGTGGACTATAGTAGTATCATCCACGAGCACTGACCTACGAATTGCGATTAGGCAACCGCCGCGCGCCGCTTCTCAGTGCACGTGTGGACACGCTTAGCGGTCCGAACATCGGTATAAACTGGCTTCCCTCTTTTAGCAGAAAGTATATGCCGAGACCGGTCTAGCCAATGTTTTAACTGGAGCGTACCTACGGGATCAAGCTGCTTTCTAAAGTGTAGAACGCTTTATAACGAAGATTTGTCCATCCACAACACGTGACACCACGGTCCAACATCGTGATGTTACGCGACGTTATTCGCCTTCGAAAGAAATTAAGACAATCGTTCCCTAAATACTGCGTTCCGTGGATTATAGAACTTTGGAGATGAAGGTCGCCACTTATTTTTTGTTACCTGCAGATGTCTTGAAATGTAAAATACTCTAGTTTCGTGCCTTGCACATCGTCTCCTCTCAATTATTTTCTACCTCTTTTTCTCGCAGCATGCTCTGAACAAGTACGAAGAGCTGTGCCCCTCCTTTGCGGACACCCGGGAATACAAGTTGGTGAAGGTGCGCAGCCGTCCGCTCCTCTTTTTACTCTCTCAACGCGGCTCCAAGGCCACTTTGGCATCTCTCTAAACTCGCAAGACCACCACCACCCCTTTTTTAAAAAAAGTATATAGTACCTCCGAAAAGTTATTGCGCTCAAAAATAGCCATTTTGATGCCTATCCACTCTTAAGTTACTCAGTCGAAAGCAAGACAGCCTCGCAGTCACCGAAGCATGCAGGAAAGGGAACACACTGCATACACGACTCAAGGTCCCTGCCCGAGACTAAATCGAGACGGGCACCGTTACGTGCGGTGGGTTGTTTTACGTCCGATAGTAGACGCAAATCGAGTTCTACGGTGAGGAATGTGTAGCAGCGTCCCCCCACCAATTGTACAAGACACTGCCGTGTGGCAAAAGTGAAAGTGTGCAAGCTTCGCCTAGCATGACATCAACGCCGCGAATGGAGCTGGGAAGTCCCAGAAACAGTTGTCGCTGTCAAATTGGCTTAGTGTTAGTGCATCACCATTTGCCAACGGTACGACCGGTGTGGTGCAGGCGCTGATCAACAAGCTGGAAGACCAGGACGTGGACGGCTTCACAGACACGGTCAAGGAGTACGACTCTATCTCGCGGCTGGACCAGTGGTACACCAACATCCTGCTGCGCATCAAGAAGTCCCTCCAGGAGACGCCAGACCTACGCTAAGGGAGAAAAAAGCATTGAGGGCGCCCTTCGGGTCTTCTTTCTTTCTTTGGTTCGAGCCCGGTTCGTTTCCGTCTCGCGTGTTGCCCTCGAAAGCGGCGGTGGCGGCAGTCTATGTTTGTCCGACGTGGTCGTCGCTCGTTTGACGCGGTTGTCGCTCAACCACGTCGCAGCTGATGCAACGTGGTTGCATTGCCTGCAGCTCGTTTGCTCTTGCATTGCCTCGATTTACGATGCCGTCACGTTGCTTCTTCTGGGAACCATTTTTTTTTTCCCCTTCCCATTTCAACTGTTGTGCGGTAACAGATCTGAGTCCGGAATGTATACAGAGAGGCGTAAACGGGCAAAACTTACGTTTAATGCGAGGGATCCGAATTCTTTTGTTGCGTCGGTTTTGGGTCTTTGGTCTAAGCGACGGTCTGTTGTTTTGGTTTTTCCTGGCTCCACGTGCAAGCATCCCAGACGTTTTTTTGTTGTTGTTGTAAAACAATGTCCAACCGTAATAAACGAGCTAACCTCGAAAGCCTATTTCGGCGGGTGGCTTGCCCGTCTGAAATTTCGAAGGGCTTCGAGTGAAGTGAGAAACAATTGCGATCGTTTTTAAGCCGACTGTTTACTGGTTAAAACTGTGGGGCATTTGTCTGACGTGGGTTAATTAACGCATTGGGATTTTGTTGGGTGGACGTATTCACCGAAACACACTTTCGAGGAATATTTCGGGTCGACGTGTTGATTGTATAGGGATGATGCGACGTCGCAATACCCGAACATTCGCGGTATGCGACATCACATTTTGCGCAATTAGATTGGGGAAGAGATGTTTGAGACAGGCTAGATGATAAATGTGTACATAAGGAAGGATACCGCTGAGATACATTGTTTTCCAAGATTTGTGCAAGCTTACGAGTCTTCATTACTTGCTCTCGAGTTTCATGGTACCTTGGCCGGCAGTTCTCGATTACTTGCCGACAAGAAAAGGTGCTTCTTAAACATGCATTGCAGCACGCATGTCTCTAATGTTGCAGCACGCATTTCTTTTGGATGCATATGATCGGTATGCACATGCTAGTTTTGGCTGTGCGAGGATACTCAACCAAAAGTCCACATGAGGGAAGCTACCCACAACAGAACTCTTGTATAGTAGCTACCCATCTAACAAAAATATGGGCATCATGATTCAAATATGTGGTTAATTAGGTGCTAATATATTGATATATGTCGATATGGTGAGAAGTTTGTGCAAAACAAAATATATAAAGACACTTCAGGCTTTCAGTTTAAAATTTTTGTTCCATGTTAGTGTTTTAGATTAGGCTCTCAGTCACGGCAAAGAGACCTTTCTTAGTATTTTGAGGCAAAAAAAAAAAAAAAAAAAGATTAGAATAAAATTGGATGCCAGTGGGAGGGTGAAATGTGACCGAATTTACGACTCATTTTCGTCAGACAGGCAGGCGGAACTTTGCCCGCGAGCTTCAGCAGCACGAAGGATCTTTTCTGAACCAAAAGTCGACGACCGGAATTGCTCGAAGATTTACCAAGCTATCAAAGTGTGCAGACATTTGGACGAGTGTTTTGCACGGAAGCAAACGCCGGGAGGTCGAGGCCAATGCCTGCACCGCCAGCGGGTCGACATCTATTGCGCACGCCCCTATCAACAGGACTTCAGCAAAGCACCCTGTCGTTTGAATCTTGTGCTTGATATAAATGTTGCAGATGGCTGGTTGACGAAGAAGTTGAGTGAAGTCCAAGTTCTGATGTATTCACTCTTTCAGAATGAGCGTGTCTGTAATTTACATTACTGCCTCTCGTAAACGGAAAGCAAGGAAGCTTTTGTTAAAACTCCCTCTTTCCCAGAGACAAAGATGGTCGATAAAACCACATTCACCGCTTTTGGGTGGGTTCGTCTGTGTCGCTTGCAAAAAAGATCCGCAGAATTGCCGCATCATTCTAAGTGTATATATGTAAAAAAAAAAAAAAGCTATACGATTGTTGATTGCTATTGGGGTTACGGTTTTTTGCCACATTATTCGAGACTATGCGCCGGCTCGCGACGTCCCAAAGGGCGTCAATAGGGTGCCATTGTTTCGAACGACGACCGAAAAATCGTAACCCCCCACTATTATGCAGGTTGTGTAGGAAAAAAAAAAGTTTACTCCACTTTTTTTTTTTTCCCCTTCTGTTGGAGCAGACGGAATTTTTGTGCATGTTGGGTGCGATTCTATAGATGTGAAAACGGTGGCCACCATCGTGGCTACGGAGGCTAATCGGGATTAGCCGACCGGATCGTTCGATCGGGTGTCGAAGCTTCGAACTGGCACGCAAACACTTTTTTCTCTCTCGGATATTGCCGTGCACATTCCATGTCTTCAGACGGTCCCTCGGTCTTTACTTCAAGAGCTGTTTCTGGCTAGCTGGAGAAATTATTATCCTCTCTGTGGCGAGCTGTGTCTAGTAGTGATAGGCTTATTGCGAGAAGAAACAAATAAAAGTGTATTTATACTTAGGCTATCCCCCCCCCCCCCCCTGTTCCCCCAAAAGTGCATTAAAGGATGTTATCTCAAACTATTCTTGCGTCCCATCTGACTCGGTCGTGCCGTACGGCAGCATAAAAGTCGGCGTTGTCAAATTTGCTACTGTGGCTGGTCACTTACACTGCTTGAGGAACCGTCCTCGTTGGCACGCAGGTTTTCAAGGTCGTTCAGCACGCAACCGCGCGCAGTGCCCAAGTCCAACTGCCCCTGCCCGGAGGTGCTCAAAGACCAAAGGCAGTTTCGACCCCCTTTCCGACACCTCTCACCGTTACTTAGACCTCCGACACATTCCTTCGAAACCTTCTTTCTGTTTCGCAAATATTTATTTGCGTCGCCTTTTTCCGCAAACCTAAGCGAAACTGGACGGGCAGACCAATAACGTTGCACCTACCGCTATCAAAGTCCCGAAAGAGATCCAGAACACTTCTTTTTTATTTTTCTCTTTGGTCGTGTCCAAAGAAAGTGTAGTGCACGAGTTCTCAAAGTGTGTTGCAAGCGCTCAAATTTCTTCGGCTGTCCCTAGACCGAAGTAATGCATTCTCCCAGTGTAAGCACTATTTTAGAAGATACGAGCTGTCCATTGATGTGCAACTCTGGCAAACGTTCCTTGGTATGTGCATTTTTCATTACATCAATGCCAAGACCCGAAGGGGTTCCTTGGCTGCTATTCGAGATAGACGATCGTTCCCCCGCGATTGAAAAATTTGCGAACCGCCCGGCGAAGCGCATCTTCCAATGTGCTCCCAATTTCAACGCCAAAATGAAGGCACCTCAAAAGATGCACTCCTAAAGTCAAAAGATTAATCGCTTCGAAAATAGACTAGGTCAACCCCACCTGGTCTATATGCACGAGGAAAAAAAAAAAAGATCCATAACCTGGAGCGGTGTGACAGTGCGTATGTATGTTTGATTTAGCAAATACCGCAAAACCTTCGCTCTAGTGAAATGCAGTTCCAGGGTCACCTCATAGATGGTTCCAGCCTGTCAGTGCCTACTCTCGTCGTAACGACGCTGCAAGAGCTTGGTCCTAAGCAAATGCAAGTGTGCTAACGGGCTTTTACAACGGGTGGACGGAGACCGTCGGGTATGATATGCACTCGTCGTTTATTTCTAATGGAGCGGCACTTGAAAGCGTGCGCCTCTGTTATGGACACAATGTACAGGGGAGAAAGTCTGCTCTTTTCGACGGACGCGTCCCCGCTCGCGCGCTACGCTTGCTTGGGCAGTCCGCCGGTCTGCTTGGTGAGGGAGTGCGGCCCGTGGATCTCGGGTTCGTAGGTGAGCAGCACGATCATCACCCAAAAGTGAAGCAGGCCCTGGAAAAAACACAAAATGGGGAGAAAATGCAAGGTTATGACCTCCAGAGTGTCGTATTCTTGCCTTGTGGCTACGGTGAAATATTCTGGGGGCTGAGTGACTCCACAGCAAGGCTCCTAAATGTAGTCTGTGTGAGTTGTCTTTAAGAGACTAATCCCGAACGTCGTGCAACCCTAAGTTGAACTGGGCACATCTCTTAGAGGAAAGTTGGCTACCACTTCGACACATACTGTACGTTTCTTTTTGTAAGTCACTTGGGATGGGGTTCTTATACTAAGAATTATAACTCCCAAATAAAGGACAATGGAATTTTTTTCCTACTTATAGCATCTGATTGAAGCCCCACATATGAAGGAAATTGTACAATATATCTGCATCAGTTGCTTGGCTAGACGTGCCAGTGCACGATGTACCCTAAAAGAGTTTTGCTGGTTATAACTTACAAGTTTATCCTCTGACAGCAAGGTCAATGCATGGACACTACAAAAATTCTTCCTCGGCATGTCAACTATTTCCACAAGCTAGGAAAGATGTTTGGCTTTAAGAGCAAGGCACATGTAACCAAAAAGGTAAAGCTGCAAATATACCTTGAATATCTTGGTTTCTCAATTCCTTTTTGTTTGCAAGGCGTTCGCAAGCTAAGATTAGGGCATTTGACTAGGGTATATTATTCCTGGAAGCCCTCAACACTTGCCTCAAATTTAGGAACGCCAATTGTTACCAACAGTCGCGAGCCAACGGTCATGTGCACTGTAGTCAAAACTGCGTGGTGCAAACTTACCATGTAGACCAGGATAAAGATGCGAGCCAGGGGGTAGCGTCTCAGAAACACGCCCGCACGTACGCTGAAATCCCACAATGCAGACGTCTCGGGTTTTAAGACGCCACACGCTAGGTTCATTCGATGGGTCTGAACCGGCTGAACCAGTTCACACAGTTCAGAAACTGGCGTATTCGATGCAACCGAAACTGCTGGCACTCGTCTGAACTCTGTCTGAACTAGATCAGAATAGTTTGCCAAATCAACTGAACCGGCAGTATTTTAAAAAGAAATATTGACAATAAATTTACACGAAGACAACTTCATTACATTTATATTGCACTCCTCATGCTAGCGAGATAGTACAGTTGCGCTTCACTATCATTGTAGCCGTCTGGGACACGTACGAGGGCAGGCATAACAGAACCCCAAGGTCGCGGTGCGATCACCGCTTTTGATCGGTATAGCCAATTATAGCAGACGTGCAACAAGACGACAAACGCAGCGACGTAGCACTTTTGGTGCTCCTCGACTGACCTGAAGGAGTCAATGACCCCGTATGCCCTCTTGACCTTTCGGGTCATGGTACCGTCGAAGGGAGACTCCGTAAACATCCCGGGTAATCTGGCTCTTGTGTCTGCGAGGAGAAAGTCGTTGCAAGTGGGTGCCCGTGCGTCTGACCACAGTGCAGAGTGCGTAACTGGTATCGACAACTTGTACTCACCCAAATTTTCGGCTGAAACAGCAAAATAGGGGGCAGGCAATGTTAAGTAAGGACTCAGATTTCTTTCTTAGGTTGGGGAAATTACAAACTGACGTGCACGTCGCTGTCATTTTGTTCCCTTCCTTATTGCACATACAATGGGGCAGTATTCGAATTATTAATTTGACATAAAATGGTTTTCAGGTATTTCCTAGCCCGATCAACAAAAAAAAAAGCATCTTAGGGAATCGAGAGCTTATGTTTATTTTCTCGACTGGCAGAGTATCTTGTCATATCAGTTCATGAAGGAAAATAGTAAGCAAAAAGGAGCTTTCCAAAAACATGCCAATAAACAAAACACCGTCAATGTGTAGTACTTTGTCTCTGGCAAGTCAGTTCCTGTAGACTGTAATAGCTACGACCGAAATGCTCGCACGTGTCTCCATCGTCCGACGAAAGCCGAAGACTCGGTATAATGCAGACCAAATAACTACTTACTGTCTTCGGACGACTGACCGAATCCGGCGATTGCTGTGTGGGGCTTTGGACCGTGCATTTGAGACTCCTTCATCTGGCGCTGAAACAGAGAAACAAAACAAAAAATTGTTTTGTTTTGTTTACGCAGGTTGAATTATCAGAATTCAACCTGCGGGTCTTCACAAAGTGCTTTTACAAATACGGTAGACTTCGTGATGGCACATAATTGTACTATTAACTGACTACGAGCCAATATTACCAATCATGGCCACACTACATTTGGCAGTGTTGGGAAGTACATTGTACTCGAGGTACTACTACTTCAGAAAATGTGCACTCCACTTGAAGCACATCCTCTTAGTATGTGGTACTTGTACTTTTATGACACTTTCCGAGGAAAGTATGACTCCCGACTTCAAGGTACATTTCCTAAATTTGGTCTTGTCAAATCTGTATCGCAAAATGATGCTTTGCCAACTCTGAAAAAGTACTGGGGGGATATTCCGCTCACCAGAAACGCAAGCAGATGACGCATTGCTCCGTTTGTGGCGGGGGCGGCTTTCCCACAGCATTCCAAACTCTCTCTACTTCTGGCTCGGCCAGTGCAAGCGAGGAGGTTTAAAATATTAGGAGAGGTCATTCCTCCACAAGAGCATTGCTTGCAGAAGCTACAAGGCTGACGTCACGCTCTCTCCTGGCATGTTTAACTCCCTCGGGTGCGAACCAGTGCAAGCAGTGCCAAATTCAGAAGTCTCAGGGACTTCCCAGATTTGGCGCCATTTTCGAAAAACACTAACAACTCTTTGGCCACTTAAATTTATTCAATATTCGCCACCATTTCTGAAATAACTGATGCACCGCCCTACCATTAAAAAAAATGTATACCAGTTAAAAAAAAAAAAAGCTTGGGGAAGGAAAGGGCATAATAAAAGATGGTGTTCAAAAGTAATTGTACTTTAATTTAAAAATACAGGGTGGAAAGAGCCAACGAAGTCACGGGAGAGGAACCACATCAGCTGGGCACCAATCAGTTCCAAAATTTGCGGCAATCAACATCCGGCTATCCAAAACCATGCGAGCCGGCACCCGGCTCACGTGGTTCCTTTTGCCGCCAGCACGACGCACAGGTGTATCTCCGGACTGCATGCTCCTTTGGCCTCGGTGGCTCTTTCCACCACTGCACATTGTATTTATAGTACTTTACATCAAGTACATTGCATCCTGTGTACTCACTATACTTGAAGTTTACATCATTTCTCATTTACTTTGTACTTTACTTAGAGTGCTTTTTAGATGTACTTTACCAAGACTGACGTCTGGTAACCTCAACAGACCCTTTTCGAAAGTATGAGGCAACACTGATGGTCGCCATTTCTTGGGCACGAGCGCATGATTAGATCCAAGCCTTCGCCGAATGCCAACACAGTCATATAACAATATGTGCTCGCGGTATGTGCCCAAGCAATGGCGGACAGGCGATGGCACGGACTTTTGAAAGGGGTCTACATCCTATCTCGTGAAGCCAAGTAGCGCGGAAAATGGCGGCGAAATAAAGACAAGCTTAGTCTTTCCACGAGCATGCAGTGATCCGTGACCTGTAGTCATCAAACTGGTCGTGAGGAAGCACAGGCTAAAGTGTACACGGTAGTACTACGTACCTCCATCCTCTCGAGCTGCAGCGTAAGGGAGTTCTTCTCCGTGCTCAGGGCTTCCACCAGCGTCTGCTTCTGAATCAGGCTCTCCGTCAGAGCGTGAAGCCGGGCCTCGAGTTCCGCTTCACTCGTGGTGCTCATCGACTTCGTCATGATCTGCAACCACCACGCACAAACTCGGCGTCAGCAAGAGCGTCGACCCTATGACGACCTCACTTCACTCGTGTAATCTGCCAGCACGACAACAGCAACTCAAAGCACTAGTTTACTAACCCCCTCCCATTGGAAATGCCGAATGGAAGAGACGAATGTTCAATATAGTAATCATGAGAACCTCCATAACCAGCCCTGGGAAATAAGCGTGTTCTATCGTCGTCGGCGTTGGTAGAACTTGCCTGTTTTTTTACTTTCCTAGACCAACCGTAACCCATCTACTGACAACGTATCTTGGTCCTTAGACGTGACGGGCCCAGGTTTAAGGAAAGATTAATAGATTGTATAAGTCTACAAGTGCACATTCTGTAGGCATCACCTAATTAACTTGTAGGCAGCGCAGCAATTCGCAGCCCAACAACAACACGCAAGTTTGTGGTTCATTGTTTTTTTTTACTATGGTGGCAGCGAGGTAGACTCATTTTATCAGTACATTAATCATGTTTCGAGTGAGAGAAGCATGCTTTTTGTGCAACTATTACTATTTGTATTTTAATTCGCAACAGGATTCACATGCAGTAGCCTACTCCCCATCTCTGCTATCATTAATCGAGAATAGTAGCACACTTTAGGATGAAAAGTTGACCAAAGTTCATGTAGAGAAACGTTAGACTGCATACATAACGCCACCCGGGGTCTCGCGACGATATGGTCAAAACTACAGTTCCCATACTACACTAAGGCACTGGGTTGTCCATAATGTTACCTTGCATTAGGTGCCAGGTTTGAAAGGTACAACGAAACAAGCGTTTTGACGTTTACTTTATAACAATGTCATCAAACAACACATCTCGACATCTAATCAGTGTCTTATATGAAGTAAACTGATTGATTGATTAATCAATGAATGATCGATTGTATTGGCAAATCAAGGACTGATCAGTCAGTCAATTATGTATTGGTTGATCAATTGTTTAATTACAGGTAGATTAGACTAATTACATAATTAGTGTATTTATTGATTGAATGATTAATTGAATGACCTGCTTGCGTAGCTTCTCCAGCTCGGCGTCCCGTTCTGCCAGTCGTTGTCGGAACCCCTCCTTGGCCCGGCGCAGGTCTTCTTCGAGCAGACTGCTCGCCTGGGTGGAGAAAAAGACACCGACATTCGCTCATATTTTTGCACTTCGTACCAACGAAAGGTCTCAGACACCCCATTAAAATAATTTATCTTTTTGCATTAAAATACGGATATGGCATTAGGATGTGGAGTCAAGACGCAACCCGATTTTTCGTTGCAAAGCCGCATAATTGCTGACAAAGAACATGTTTGAACCAAAATGCAGAAGACTGGCGCCAAGGAACTTTAAACACTAGGGTTGTGTGAATATTCGAAATTTTGAATAGTAGTTCCGAATAATACACTATTCGAATATTCGCTTCGAAAAGAATTGCACTATTCGCGTTTTTCAAAGTGTTGATTGCGGCAGGTTAGCCCCGTTGAGTGTGCTTCTTACCACGCACCGGTGCGCTGCGGAGAAGCCAAACCCATGAAAGTGAGCTCTCGGGTGTTCTTTCTCTGCATTACATCGGTGCTCGGTATGAAGCGCACTTAACGGGGTAACCCGCCGCGATGAACAATATCGTAATTGCGTGCTTGGAAGAAAAGCATACATTCAAAGCGGGATGGTGCACCCGTGCCGACTGCATTTTAAAATAAATGGAAACTTTGTTGATGTGTATATCTACATTGTAGTAAGAGTTTCAAAATTAAACTTTTAGGCAAGAGTGTACAATGTTAGGCAGAGATGCTTTCACAATCTGTGTTCATCATGCGCGATTCATTCTTTTTTAACTCGAGAAAGAATATTTTACATAGCAAGATTTGTAAATTCACTCAATCTGTATAGTTGGCCATCTCTATAGGATTCATTTTACGTTAAATCCGTCGTTTACTTGTCATCCCAAGACACTAGACTTTCTAAGGTCATAGTTCATAAATATAGATAGATTAAACTTAGCTTATAAATGAACAAGTGGAACAAGCTTCACAGGTTTAGCTGGGTTTTCGTCTAAGCATTATGCAATAGTAGTGAATGGTATGGAAAAACTATTTGAATCGAAAATATTCGGCCAAAACCACTATTCGCTTCGAATTCGCTTCAAACTCAAAATCTACTATTCGCAAAAGACTATTAAACACACAACGCTCTGGTCGTTTTGCTGCCTGCAACAATTTGCTACCACGTGTGACAACTACCCTCCATGTGGCAGCTGTCTGCAGAACGAACGGCAACTCCTAGTTGCAGAGTTTCGAACCCCTCCACAGCCGCCACCCACCTGAGCGGTCTGTCGGCTTTCGAGCTCTGCGTCCTGCCTCTGGTGGCGTTCTTGGCGCACCTCTTCCAACAGCGCCCTCTGCTGCTCCTGAAGGGACTCCACCTCTCTGCACGAGGGGCCATGGGCACGCTATCACCGTCAACGCACTTTAAAGAGACCATGCAGCTACTGTGTATTTATAGGAGTACTAATGGCAATTTTGGTTTCATTGATGCCCCAGAACAACCATGAAGTGTTGATATGGTGGTAGATGCACAGAGTAGAGCATCCTTGCTAAGTCGCAACTGAGCGAGAGACTGCTCGTCTTATATGCACATTGCACAGCGCATAATCGAGGCACACTGGAAGAAAGCAAATTCTCTTAAGACATCCGGACATGGCAGCACCAGTTTCTCTTTTACCCATGCTGGTTTTTGCAAAAAGTTTGAGTGGCCCACATTCTTTCTTTCCTACTACCTCTTTTTGCTCCGATCGGAGAGTCTCACCCCCTTTAGGAAACGGACAAGATTATCTCGCGGCAACGAAGAATCCGCTCAGTCGGACTTGCCGCAGGATGAACACAAAAAAGAGATAATCCTCAAATGTGGCAACACAAGAGAAAAAATTCTTGCAACCACCAGCTGCTCGTCTAACAATCTGTCCTAAAATTAAAAAAAAAAGAGTTACATGGTAGGGTAAACGACCCATCTTGGTTTTAATTTTTTACCTCAAAGACCACTGTTACATGGTACAGTAAATGGGTCATCTTGGTTCTAATTTTTGTACCTCACAAACAACTGCATACATTTTCTTGTGAAATTCCATGTATTGAATGGTATTAAATGCACAAAAATGTATTAAAAAACAAAGAAAAAAAAACTCCAGTTTCATGTTAGGATAAACAGGTCATCAGGTTTTAATTTTGTACCTCAAAAACTACTGTATATATTTTATAGTGAAATTTTATGTCTCGAATGGTGACATCCTTGGGATTAACTTTCTGTTGCTCTTCTTCTAAAGGATATTTTTACACTTTTAGCACCAGTGTCAAATTTTAAGCCGAGTTCCAGTTTTTAATGTACCTTTTCTTAGCAACAAAAGATGCCCATTTAATTTAGCACTTACCTTTAACATGTCACTGGCTTTAAACTAAACCTAAAAAAAAAAATTAACATGCAGCATGCAGGAAAAAATTTTTTTCTTACTTGCCATGAGCCATAAAAGGGAACTTTTTTGTTTTAAATTTTTTAACATTATAATGAAGTAAATTCTTGAAACTTTTATGTTCAAACTGTTGGAAAACTATTTTACTATACGCTGTAAAAGTTTTAGAGTAACCAGATAAGTAGTTGCTTAGTAAAGGTACATTAAAGTTTTAAAAAATTGCAAAAATGTCATTTTTAGAAAAACACAATTTCATGTCTCCACATTTGTCACAAAGGTTAAGAGTTAATTTAGTGGCTTTCGATAACCCTCAGCAAGTTTTTAATTTAAATCATATGTCTATTTTCACTAATTAAAAAGGTAATTAGCAATTTTAAAATAATTAGCCGACTGATCGTTATGATTAGCCCCTTATACAACCTCCCCTGGCTGTATAACTCACCTGAACAGACCGCAAAAATGTAGCTTTTAGGGCTTCTTTTAAAAAATTCTGTTACACTTAAAAAAAAAAAAGCCCTGTATTTTCCTTCTACAGGTACACATTCTCTTCAGGAGCACCTTTTGGAAATTCAAAACATGTGACATTCTGTTGTGAATTGAGTTCTTTTTTTTACAAGTTATGCAGTGTTTTTCGTATATAAGGTTCATCCAGAGTCGTACAATTTTCGTTTTAAAACTTTAAAATCACCCAGTTCCCGTAATTTTGTGCGAAAGAACCAGCATTGTAAAAATCTCACGTGTCATGGAATGGTTCTTTGTGCCCTTGAAATGCGATCAAACGAGTGATAATGCGTAGTGGTCGTCTAATGCAGTCAACAAATCTTGAGTCAAGTATCTGAATGTAGAGGCCCAGGAAGCTTTCAGGAATTCAACATCAAATTGAGAGCTACCGGGTACACAGCCTTCTAAATAATTGGTGGCAAACAAAAAAAAGCCTCAACAATCACCCTAAGACAAATAAAATTTTTCCTCCTCCTCCTCCTCCCTGAGGTACACCTTAGCACTTCTTATGAGTTGCGACTGCGAAAGTATGCATGCCTCTTTTCGCTCCCTTCTTTCGTCTGCAAATTACGGCGCGCTGACCTTTGGCACGAAGCGGTGGAGCCGCTGCCTTGCGGACACGCAGCGCCATTGGGTGAGCAATCGTTGAAACTGACGTGCAGCAGCCAATGGGATTGAAGCCAAAAATCCATCAGCTTTACTCCGCTCCTTTGGGATCGAGGAAACTAGGCGCCTTTGTCTAGGCTTTTTGCGTGGTTTCATAGCTGGGAGCTGGCTTCACTTGGAGAAAGGATCTAAGGTGCCGTTTTCGCACTTCAAACTGATGAGATCGGCTCGCTCCATGAGACCAGTTAATGCTTTCGCATTAAAAATGCAGCAGAGGGTATCACTATCACACTGATGAGCTTTCTGTGCAGTTATTTGCATAGTCTAAGTTGTTGGGATGGGGACAACTTCGAACTTTACACGCAAGGACATCGGGGTGGCAGAACAGCAACTCTGTTTAATCACTCGTCTTGTCTTAGGGGAAGCTCTACCTTTGCCCAAGCCGGTTATACCATATCTTCAGACCATTTCAGCCTCAGTGAGTAATGTAGCTGCCGCCTCGGAGCCTGGCCTGAGGATTTCCATGTGGCGGGTTTGAATCCCGGCCGAAGTGCCCGCAATCTGACGGAGGCTTATTGCGGAGGAGGCGCCGTGTAACTGAGCTTTCGGTTGCACGTCAAAAGATCCCCATACGGTCCAAAATAATCCTCAGTCCTCCGCTGGGGTGTGCCAGATTCCCGTCGTTCGTTTGGCACGTAAAACCCCCAAATTTGAAACAATGCAGCCTGCACGGTAACGTGTCCAGCAGGCCGATGTGTGCCAAATTCTTGTCCTCTGACGACTGTTTTGGGGAGAGTTGAGCTAATTCGACCTGACACGTTCCGTCAACAGCCCTCTCTCTGTTGTCAACATTTTACGCTACAATAAGTTGCAGTCAGTTTGTTCTCGCACGTAACCAACCCGGCTATGTTGCCTTGTTACTCTTCGGCGCAAGCAGTTCCTCGTGTCTGCCCGTACTATTATGGGGGTCATTTTTTTCCTTTGCCAACAGCTAAAACGCATACATTGTTACCAAGGTATTTTTAAATTTTCATAAAATGAAAGGGGCTGTGGGTCACATGCTCATTATTTCACGGTAAATTAATTCTTACTAGTGGGGCCTACAAGTGGAAAACTGGCATGACCCCAAAAGGCTAAAACATTCGGGTCTCTGTCACTCTGAAAAGACCGGATTTCGAACCAAGTTGCCTGTTTACATTTCTCGCCATGAAATTGACTATTACCTCGTGCGCAGCAACAACCAAATCTGTCGCTGGAGCCTTGCATATTGACACGATGCTCAACAGGAAAAGAGGCCTGGCAATCTACTCCCGAAAAACGCTCGGCCAATGGGAACCCAAAGGAGCGCAACAGCCTGATTTACGACTATAATCACGTGGACGGCACATCAGAATGAACATTAGTCGGTGCCCTGACCTGCGGAGAGCGCTCTCCTGCTCGTGGAAGTCGGCCGAAAGCGCTTCCGCCTGCGCCTGGGTCCGCTGCAGCTCTGCGCGGAGCTGCTCGCACTCCTGGGTGGTCGCTTCCAGCTCCGCCGCAGAGATGTTGGATCGGTTGCCCTCCGAGTCGGACAGGTCCAGCGGAGAACCGCCCACGCTGGCTGCGTCCTTCAGGCTAGCAATCAGCTTCTCTTTCGACTGCACCAAGAAAGAAAGCTCCCGTAAGAAGAATGGAGAAGGACGCTCGAAGGAATTGCCATATTTTCCAGTTCATAAGTCGCGCTTCTTTGTACAGTCGGCACGTCAAAACTTATGATGTGGATCCAAGCCACTATGTTTTGGACCGTCTTCAAACCGCCCAAAGAGTAGGCATCCGGCGGGTGCTCTGCCGTTCTTTTGTCATAAATGTTGATGCGGCTCCCGTCTTTCATAGGCAAAGTTTGCACTTATAAAAAGAAAATGCATATAAATTGCACCATTGTATAAAAAACGCCAACCAAAATTTTCAAGGAGAAAAAAAATCTATTTATATGCCGGAAAATATGGTATGCATTTACAAATGCCCTCGCGGGAAAATCCGTGCAAGGCACCGCCCATTTTAGAACCAATTAGACTCTGAAATGCTTTTCATTCATAAAGTATAGGTCTGGTATTCACAAAGTACATCTTTATCATTACTAAATTAGGGCTCCGTGTTTCTGGTATTTACCGAATAACTCAGAAAAGTAGCCCTCAAACTGGTTATGCAGTGGAGGTTCATTATCCACAATGCACAGGTTTACTATTACATACGTTGATTATTCACACAGCATAGTTTTGCTATTCACTGAGCGTCTGCTTATTGCTGAGAAGTCATAAGTCTATTATTTGTGATGCACATAGCTCTTTCATTTATAAAGCATGCATTGTGATACCATAGAAGGTGCATTTCAGACCTATAGCAATGCTACCTTCTAGAACACACTGGCCTAGAAATGCTGAAAAGAAAACCAAATCACACAGGGGTCATAAACTGCTCAAACAATACTTGTCACTATGATTACCATATGCTACATACAGGTAATGAATACTAATGCTAATACTTTTTGTACTCAGCGGCGCAGATTACCCAGGCGTACAGGGTAAAAAAAAAGGCAATGCTGCCCATATTGAGATTTACTACAAAAGCAGAGCAAATCAAGCATATAGAGCAGGCATTAGATCCGTTCGATCCGGCCAAAAACTTCTGAACTAGTTCTGTCCGAGTTTGGAGCAGTGCAGGAATCATGCAGCGATGGCGCAGAACCAGTTCAACCACAGCGTCAGGACTGGCGCTGTGACCAGCGTCCGGAGCAGAAGCGCAGGGTGTCGTCTGCATCTGTTGGCTCTTTTTTCTCCACGCCACGTTGTATGCTACACTTAATTATTCGAGGTTCGATGAGACCATTTGCGTTTACGTACTTTTACACTAGGTGTATAAACTAAATCTTTTCTGTGAATATTTCTTTATTTGAGTGTACTAAAGACGTTTGCTGCACAAAATGCATTTCTTTCTGCATTTTTAACGGCCGTTCGCTTCCTATTGTTTCTGTAAGCATTTGTGTCCTTCACATTCATTTGGCAACACTAGATTAATTCCAAGTCTCTCGAGTTTCGCATTTTGTCCATTTCACGTCGGTAGTTACTGGCAGCAGCGCGTGGTAGCGGCCCCTTCAAAGAAGAAGGCGTGTCTTGGCCAAAATAGTTGTTGACCGTCAGTTCGATGTCAAGCTGAAGCATTTATTGTGATTCTCAAGAAATGTCCACGCTGAACTACCAAGCCGATGCCGATCTTCAGCGTATTTTCCCAGGCCCGTTAGTGGGTGTCCAGATACTAGCGGACAAAGCCTGCAGCATTATGCTCAGCTACATGCGAGTGCCAAGGCACTAAATCCCAGACCTCTGCAAGGTATCGGGATCATCAGCCTGCATCCCAAAGCTACTGAAGGCGGGGGCTATCAAGAGTGTGATACTTTTAGATTGCAGACACTTGAACAAGAGCTCCAAGAAATGGCACTGCGACCAGAAACGGACAAGGAGTGTCACACGTCTCCTCTTGTCGTCTGTTTCTGCACAGACGCTGAACTGACTCCAGGGCCGGTGCAAGGTTTTGAGGAACTGGATCTGAACTGGTTCAGAACTGGGATGAATTGAACGCCGCAGTGCGGCGGCCGTGCAACGTTTGGTTGAATCGAATGCACCGGTTCCTGCACTGCTGAAGTGGTTCAGCCAGTTCCGGTGAATTGAACAGACCAATTGTTTTACCTGAAGGATCCTCTGCGCCTTGTTCTTGTAATCGGCCAATTCCTGACGAGCCAGGTCTAAGCTGCAGCGAAGCGACGACGCCTGGCTGGTGGCTTCCTTGGCATGCGCTGAAACAGAACCCAGGGTCAATCCACGGGGTTAGGGATCCAATGTTTTCTGTTTTAATTTATTTTTCTCCACATTTGCCATATTTTTAGCTTTTTATCAGTTTAAACTGAAAAGAACAAGACCCTAGCCATAACTCCAATAACTGAGGCCAGGTAATCAGCGCTTAGCTCCTAGTAATTGTACAAAAAGTGGGGATCCAGAAGAGGCCAAACACATATGGTTCCATGTTCGCATCTCGAAATTTAAAGGGCCAGTTGAGGCTTTTCCCATAAAGGTAATTCAATGTGTATCTTGTACGGCTGTCACATTTAACAGCAGACCAGACAATATTGAAAAGGTGATAACCCGAACAGACGATTTGGGACCTGAGATACAACCTCATATATCAGTGCTTTGAGCTGAAGCGAGCACCACATTCACTTTAGTGTTTCAGCTCTAGAACACAACCTCAAAAACAAAAAACAAAACTATATCTCCCTACGATCAGAAAATGTGCAGGGAGGTAACCTGCAGACTTGGGATATCCACCGCCTAACTACCGTCGGATGTCCATACCAAAAGGGGAGTTATTTTAAACAGAAAATTGAGGATTCAAACATTTGATAAAGAGTTAAAGAGGCGGTGTGACAATATTCAGTTGGAATGTTTCTCACTTTACGTGAGCTTATGCAGAGTGCAATTTCGTCTGCTTCTTGCACAGGTGTTGCAATGATTGGCCGAGCTCTTATTGGCTGATCAAAAAAAAAATAGAGGGTAGACCTCAAGGCATCCAGCATTGAGGTCTGCCCACTATCCTTCCAATGAAAGCCAATCAAAGCTCAGCATCGTTCTGGCGTCACCGCAACCCCTTCTCAAGGAGCAGAGGACCTGTGCCCCTTGAGAATATACTCGCATGAAACGCCACTGACCAAGAAACATCTTTGTTGCGGTGTAATTAGAAGGAAAAAAACTAGCATTTTCTTTCAATCTCTTCTTCGCAAAACCCGATGACGTAGCTTGGAAGTCGCAGTGTCGGCATAGTCCCCCCAGTGACGATACAGTGGAATCTGGTTAGTTTGAACCCGAGGGGGACCAGAACTTTGTTTGAATAATGCAATGTTTGAATTACCGGGAGTTTCCTTCCTGGAAGCACATAGGACGGAACCTGTACGTTGGTTTGATTTATCTGCGATTGTGAATTCACGGGACTCCACTGCATTTCAATGCGGCTCGTAGATAAAACCCGAGCATTACGTGAGCACTCATTTTGAGCTCATCATAATCAATAGCTCGACGAGCATCGCTGCAATGACAACAATCGCTGCAGTGACAACCAATCACTGCAATGACAACAACAGCCAAACCATAACAATGTGTGGAACCGCTGCAATGACAACAATCGCTGCAGTGACAATCAATCGCTGCAATGACGATAGCCGAACCATAACAATGTGTGAAACTCGGCGCATGCTCTGCATTTTGCCAACGCCAGCGTGCGGCTATGATAAACATTGGGGGCATATAATCCTCTTCAGACGAAATGGCCGCTTGTTCTGGCTGCAAGTTAAGTGAGTAAATGCTGCTGTTTTGTTCCTTCTTTTTTTTTTTTATGACTACCATTGCACGCAAGAAAAGCGAACATGTTTTTCATAGGCTATGAATGTCAGGGATTCATTCTAAGTGGTATTTGTGATAAATACGAAAAGTTTGCACCACTCCTTTAAGTCGAATTTTGGAGGAAAAAAGTGTTTTCAAACGCACCTTTCTGTTCTGTGAGTTGCCGCTGTGCAAGGGTCAGGCTTTCCGAGAGGCTGGCGATTTCGCCCTCCATCCGATGCTGCCGCTGCATCGACTCGCTCTGCGTCAGATTCAATAAAGCAAAACGTAAAAATCTCATCAAGCACAGCCATCAAAAGTCACGCACTGCTCCGTCGCTGAGGTATGACAGCGGTCCTTATATAAACTACTTGCCTATCTGGAAGCTTTGGCAGTTTTTGCCCTAGTAAATTTTGTCATCACAAGTGGCCCTGATCTATGTAAAAATGAAAAAAAAAAAAAAAAAAAATCGAAATATTCTGATTTTTTTTTTTTTTTTTTAAGCACATATAGAACTTTTTAAACAATCGGAAAGAATAAACACAAATTCGGGACGAAAACAGACGCATACAACTGCCTCTGCGTATGCGTCTGTTTTCGTCCCGAATTTGTGTTTATTCTTTCCGATTGTTTAAGTATATTTACCAACACACTCGTTTTAATGTTAGAACTTTTTATTTAGCGTTTCAATTCTTTCTAAATAATATGGGAGCTCTAGGTTTCAGTTATAGATGGCGTTTCCAATCGTCTATCTTTTCGCCGGGTCATGTGGTTTGAGAAAAGAGTAGCCGCATAAAGTGACTTTCCCCACGGTGACTTCTCTTATCCCACATCTATCCTTTAGATTCTCTGAGCAACCTGCCTAGTTGACTCCTAACATCGACGGCGTGCCTTGGGTGCTTTGATTTGTCCCCAGAAAGAACTCTTCTGTACTGTGACGAAAAGATTCTGGACCAGGTAACCTAAAGATTGTGGTATGCCAGACAAGAACTGCTACCATGAAGTAGTGAAAGGTACCCTGTCTAGAGTGGGGAAAAGGTCAGATCTAATTACCATTTCATACTCGTTAAGTAACTAGAAAAGTAAGATTATGTACTGATGCCAAGATGCCCATGAAGTAATAAACTAATCGTAAGACCCCGGATGTTCCATGGATGTTCCATACCTGAGTGACCCGGTGGCATTCCTGCTCCTTGCGGAGCGCCTCTTCTGTCTGGGACAACTTGTCCCGCAGTGCGTCTACCGTCTGCCCCTGCGCCTGGGACACGTCCGCCTGCTCCTTAGACAGCCTGGGACACAGCAGACCCAATTTTCAAAAAATTTCCTCGAAAATGCAAACAACAATTTTAGTTACTAACAGAAACCTTTGGTTACGTCGTCACAGCTCGGAGGCGTGACGCCGTAACCAGAGGTGCGTTCCATGGCTCCACAGGAACCTGTGGCACTGTTTCAAATGGTGCATCCAGGTCCACCCTTTCACAAAGAAGAAGGGGAGAGACCTCTGGTTCTCGGTGCGTAGCTCTTCCACCAGCCGGCGCTTGGTGCCCAGTTCCTGGTCGGCCTCTTGCAGACGGACCCTGAGCACGGCCAGCTGGGCATCCTTGGCGTCCAGAGCAGATGACAGGTCACGTTCCCTGGCCTGCAGCTCGCGGATCGCCGAGTCACTTGAAGACACCTGGCTGTTCCAGTGGTCCATCCGGCTCTGAAGATGCTTCTTCTCTGCAAGCGCATAGCAGACGTGCGTGTCTGAAGCATCTGCTACAGTTCAGCGCTCGAGCCCTTCACAAAGCTAGACGGAGGTAAGCAGTCGGCAACTTACCGAGGTCAGTGTTCTTGGCCCTCTGGAGAGCAGTGGCCACCTCCTGGTTGAGACAGGACACCTCTTTGCGCAGCAGACGGTTTTCCTGTTCCAGTCCCTCCAGCTTGCTGTCATCGGACGCAGCGTCCACGTCACACGCAGCAGACTTCAGCAGCTCTTCCTGCTGAATTGACGCTCTCCGAACCACTGGGTCCTGTTCCGCCACATCCGCAGCGCTAACATCTTGGTCTGTTGGGATAGGCAAAGTCGTGTCCACCGTTGGTTCTTCTGAAAGAGTCAGTAAACTAATTCAGGGTACGGAGCAGGGAGCATAATGTATAATGTATATTATACAGCCGGCTACATTTTGGAGGAGGGGGAGGAGGGAGACTTCAGCCCCATAAGCCCCCCCCCCCCCCCCCCCTTCCTGGCTACGCTCCTGCAAGACACTATCAAAAAAGCAGAGCAGTTCTGAATGATATTTCCATTCTAACAACCAAAAAAGAATTGTAAGCAGTGATAGAGTGCGGGCGAGCTGGTAATGAATCAACATCTTGTAGACCCCGAGATGGGGAACAATAAAAAAAACATGTTTTTTTATTGTTCCTCCTATCACGGTCTACAAGACGTCAAAATAGAAAAAAGAGGTGCACAAAAATATTTCCCGGACATGCCATGAACAATACAGTGGAGGGCCGAATGATGGATTTCAGCAACTCCGAAATATTCTGCAAACCTTTAATGCAGCTGAAACTAATTTACCACAGAGTATGTTCCATCCAAATCAACTATCAGCAGTTTTAGTGATGTCTTTCTACATACATTTATTAAATAATACCTGCTACTTTTACAAGTAACTGGGTGACTTGTCCTAGAAAGTTTCCTATCAATAACTAAAGAGACCGTGGTGGTACCACAGTTAGCTGGGTGTTCTTGAAAATTAAATATATCATTCAATTTAACTGGACATACATTTTAGACAGTCGCACTGTACCGTGTCTGCACCCCGTATAAATGCAATAAAGGTCTAACCTGTGCCCTTCGCCGTCGACCGATCTACTGCTCCAACGTCTTCGTCTTCGTCCGGCGTCTGCTTGGCTGGACTGCGCGAGCGAACCGTCCTTACCAGCGATGAGCTCCGTTTCGGAGCAAGGGGCGTCGGCTCCGGGCTGTTGAGGAATTCCAACAGCTTGTCATCGCTGTTCTGCAGGCTGGATCTTCGCGGTTTCGGACTGCTCGAAGAGGTCAGCGACATGGCCGTCGATTTCGTCGTCTTGGGAAGGCTACCCGACGTCGAGCCGGCGTTGGGCCCAACGTTGGGGCTCTTGGCGTACGACATGAGGGTTGTCTTGGCGTTGGGCAACTTTGCGCTTTGTAGTGCGGTGGCCGCAGTCTGGTCCATCTTGGTCAGGAAGTCTTCCGCACGGCCCGCAATGTCGGTGAACCACGACATGCCGTCCGCTGTCAAGATATGAAGTGAAAGCCGTTAGTCATGGTACTGCCCAAACTTAACTGCATCATGCATAAGGACCAATGAGTTGCTACTATAGACCACCACGCGGCCCTAATGTCAAGCAGCTGCGGTGGCGCTGTCGACGGCACTGCGCATGCGCAGACGCTTCACTTGACGCAAATTCAGTTTCTGCGCAAGCACAGTGCCCACACCTTGCGTGGGCAAACGCAGGCTTGCTTGTAAACAGCGTGTCGGTCAATACTATGGCTCGCAATCTTTTAGCTGCTTATCATGATGTGTGAGGAAAGTATGTAGGACAAGTTACAAGTAAATATCGATTCTGAGCGGCTGAGTGATCTGTTCGTGAATCAATATGCGAAACTATGCGTATTAGCCATAGCCGAGTTTGTGGCTGCCGAGAGAAAGATGATGGCATGTTTCCAGTGCTTTTGCAATCAGCATTTCACACCCCCAAGATTGCCAGTCATAACAGTTTATAGGTGTGAGTTCTTCTGAGCATGCACTTCAAATTCTGAACGCATGTGGCCGATCTGGATGAGCATCGCACCGGCGGGCGGTCGTGTACCACTACTGTGTGGTGCACGTTAAAGACCCCAGGCTAGCGGTTGTGCTGCACTGGCTAAATGCTCATCTACAGCGAGTGACTCGTCGCAACTTTGAAATGGCTGACCAACTACACACTGTTTAAATATCCACACAACCCCAATTATTTTACTGCATAGTGGCATTCCATGACCTAAAGGCTTGTCGGGCAACGTTTTAGAGCTCACTGGGATCATCAACCAGTATTTGGCGACTATATAACAATCTACTAGGCACTATGACAACTAAAAATTTCGAGATCGTCTGACAATTAGTGTCACACATGGAGATTTCACAATTCTTTACCTCTCGCTAGGTTACAAAGAAAGAAAACAAGTGACCTCTCTTGTAACGAAGAAAAAAAGATCACAATTGAGCGAGGCATATTCTAGTCAATATCTTCCATGATCACAAACATCTTGACATTAGTTACGGTGTCTTTGTTGTGGAATGTTAGAGCCGTATATTAGGCGAGGGCAGGGCTCTACAGCAATCATGTAGCTGGATTACTTATGTTCGCAGACAATTCCCCTCAATCCTTCAACATGTTTAAGAACGCACTAGAAGAAATGTCAGCGTACAAAGGGTCAGATAGGAACACCTGTTAAAATAAGACAACTTACGTACTGTGTTGTTGGTATCAAAAGCGGGGTGTTTTAGTCCTTCCACAGCGTCCGCTTGGTCCTAAGCCGATGGAAGATTACATCCACGACCGTCACAGTGTACAAAACGCGTGCAGATAACTGACAAACATTGCTAATAAATAATTATAACGCAACTATTAAAAAGTTCCGAGTTCTGAGATGCACCGAAACATCACTAGCTAGAGAACCTCAGGGATCATACGTGTCGCCTCGTAGGTTTCGGAGAAGTTTTCTATTAAAACAGCATTACGAAAGCATGCATTTAAATTTTATTTTACATAAATAATATAGCTGGATATGTAAAATTTTTATTTTTTAATCTACTTCGAAGACTTTTTTTTAAAGTTTTCTCACTGTTGTGGTGCCGTAAAAAGCCACGAGAGCCTTTTTTCCCTTTTTGTGTTTGCCACAATGAGAGTCACATGTAGGACGCCATTTTTAAATACCTGTTGAACGCAAAATTGAACGCGTGTTTGCGTTACCAAAATTTGTAACCTATAATTATGATCGTTGACAGTTGTAAACGTGCCTTTGTTTTGTTGCACTTAAAGCTTTGATTCCATGCAGCATTAGGATTAGACATTGAATCATATTTCTAATAATGAAGGTCCTGGCGCTTGTAAGGTAAGAGCCTCGCAGATTTTTCTGTTGCATGTTTTTCGTTGAGACTGACTCCCGCTTTTGTTTCAGTGGTGGCAAAGACAGTTGCTTCAACATGATGAAATGCGTCGAGGCAGGCCACGAGATTGTCGCATTGGCACACCTCAAACCAAAAGGCTGTGGTAAGTTGCCCGAATTTGTAGCCTGGAGTTTGAGTGCTGTCTTTGAAATTATATTGACTAGATGCATATGTGACGCCACACCTTCAACAGTTATTTGGTACTTACAAAGAGTTAACCCGGTTACAAAGCCCTGCGAGTTGTCGAACCAACTCGAAACATATTCAATTATTTTTTTCTGCGTACGAGGCGTTGTAATTAAGTTTATACAGGTGTAACAAATAATGAATAACCGAAGTACGATTACTTTTTGCCTGTACGGTCTGATTTAAAGATAGATATAGGGTGTCTGAAGTCATCAGGCTCGATCTAAAATGGACCGTAAATATCGACGCCTGCACGAAGCAATCTAAACTTTTCGTCAAAGGTGTATTTCACGGGTGCGTTTTTTTCTTGTAAAATTACAAAGCGTAGCTCCTTTTCTGTAAAATATAGGGCCAAAAATCTTTCCAGGGTCAACGGCGGACGGCGACACAGACGACCGAGTCGAGTGGTACGACGCGTTTGGCGCACGTATTGATAGATGGCACTACCTCCTTTTCGAGACTACAGTAAGCTATTGTAATCGAGACTGCTCACGACGACCGTGGTCTATCAAAAATTAACATTGTAATCTTTTTGTAATGTACCAAAACTTGACGGCGCTTTTGCTGCCGACGGATTTCGTCTGTGTCGTCTGCTTTCTTTTGCTGACCAGCTACACCTTCCGATGCTGCTGCCGACGCCATCTATCAGTATGTGCGCCAAATGCACCCGCCACTCAACTCTGTCATCTGCGTTGCTGTCCGCCGTTGTCCCTGGCAAGATTTCGGACCCATATTTTATAAGAAGGAAGCTACGCTTTATAATATTACATGAAAAAAACGGACCTGCGAAATACACCTTTGACGAAAAGTCTAGATTGCTGTGTTTTTAAAGCCCATTCTAGATCGAGCCTGGTCATTTCAATCACCCCATATACTGGTTAGTATTAACTTCATTATTATACTATATGAGCTATGGTACAATTTATATTTATTGATATTGAAAGCAGATGAGATAAAATGCCTATAAATAATAGTTTGAAGTGTCAAAATAGCTTCAGGTGTACTTGAGGGACACATATGCTGATGGGATGCTTTGACCCACGACAGACGAACTCGACAGCTACATGTACCAGTCTGTGGGCCACGAAGTGTTGGGGTATTACGCGGAGGCGATGGGACTGCCCCTCTTCCAAGACGACATCACTGGCAAGCCCCACAACCAGGACCGTGAATATGCAGTCACAGAGGGTGATGAAGTGGAGGATCTCTTCAGGCTCATGTCGACTGCAAAGGTTGGCTTCCCCGTCGTGGGGTGACAAGTTTGTTCACACAATCATTCGTCCCTTCATTAATGAATGAATGATGTGAAGAAATGAATGAGCAAAGAAGTGAACCCTTTGAATTAAGTAGTTAGTGAACAAATTAATGTGAATGAATGAGCGAGTGAAGAAATGAATGATGTGAATGAATGAAGGCATGAATAAATTAATGATCTGAGTGAAAGAATCACTGAATATATATAGTGTGTATGAAATGATGAGTGAATAAATTTGTCCCTTTCATTTATTCATTATCACTGCCTTATTTACGCTCACATATTTTTAAGCATTGAAACATTGTGGATAGAAATATATTCAAAAGGAAAAGAAAAAAAAAATACAGGTGCAGTAAAATATACCAACAGTGAAAATAACACTGTTGGAACTGTACTAAGACCTCACTGTAGTATCAAGTCGCACCATAATAAACCCGAGACAAGAAAAAAATAATTTTGAAAAGGACAACCAGAGAGATTCCAACAGCCACTCTTTCAGCAACAATCTTCATTACTCTCGAGACCGGTTATAACGAAGTCGGTTATAGTGAAATAGCAGCTACAGTGAAGCGATCACAATTTTTCATTTCCTTTTGCACTTCGTTATAACCGAAGTCGGTTATAACAAAATACCGGATATAGCGAAGTGATTTCCAATTCCTGTTGACTTCGTTATAACCGGTCTCGACAGTATACAGCACCTCAAATGCGTGTAGCAGTATTATATATTTAGCTCAGCTTCACAATATCCACATCCTTGCTCTATCGATCTCAAGAGATTCTAGTGTGGCTGAAATATTGACGAAATCTTTTATTTACACGCATACTTCGATAGCTTACCAAGAAACCTCTTCCTCACTTTAACATCTAGGACAAAGTGGACTACGAGGCAGTGTCCGTCGGTGCCATTTATTCGGACTATCAGCGAGTCCGAGTTTTAAACGTGTGAGTGTATAACATTAATTGGCCGAGCATTTTACTTATTGGGGAGTTTCAGTGGATCGTTCAGACAACTTTGATAACGACGCCCGATACTCTGCCAGCACCTTTGCGCACGAGTCGTGTTGTTATCCGGTGAAAGTCGTCAAAACGGTGTACTAAAACTCCTTATTAACAACTTTTTTCCCCCATCAATTGGCAGTCTGTAGCGGTAAAAGATTTCTTTTGTCCTCTTTCAGTTGCAATCGCTTGGGTCTTACCATGCTGGCTTACCTGTGGCATCGAAATCAGGCCGAGCTACTCCGAGAAATGATCGATAGCGGCGTTAACGCCATCCTCATTAAGGTTGCTGCTCTAGGTAATTGCATTTTTATCATTGCACGTTCGTTCATGTATTTGGTCAAAAACTCAATTCAGTATGTGCTAATGATATATTACAGTTGGTCATAAACAATTAAACTCACAGTTGCTCATGGTAGGCTTTCTGAAAATTTAACAGTTTCCTTACGAACCTCATTTCTTACGAGTTGCTATCAGGACAACTCGGGTAGGGTTTCGTGACTGCCGTTGCATTTTGGCAAGACTCAACGGCAAACATTTTACGCCGCCGCAAACCGCTTCTCCTGTCGGAAAGGTTTCTATTCTCATCAATTTTGCTGAACATAAAATATCTGTAGAGAGAAAGAAAAGAAATTGCTTTTTGTTATATCTGCAAAGCTTCATACACATAACCAAGCCTACAACTTGGGTCCCACAGAAATATGTAGATATATGTTAAGGAGCACTAATTAACAGCATTCCTGAATGTTTGCTCCGAAAGGTCTGGAACCAAAGAAGCACCTAGGGCTGACCATCTCGGAAATCTATCCTCATATGCTCGAAATGGCAAGTTTGACCTCTCATTCGACCGTTTTACAGTGAGGGAGGCTGTTCGGGGGGATGCGCTTTAAAAAGTAGACATATTGAGGCTAAAAAATCCCTCCCCAGTTTCCTTCCTTCCTAATCTCCTCCTCTTTGCCTGGTGGGAAGAAGGAAAAAGAGGTATCCTTATTTCCTGGTTTTGGGTAACTAAACTGGGAAACAAATGTTCCTTGGTAAAATTTTATGCTTACAAGTCACGATCATGCTTAACTGAAGCATGAGTGACGAGTTATTTGTCTCCTTAATGGCCCATTGTACATTTACGCCATATCTTCAGTTTACATAAATACATCCAAGCAATACTACAACGCTTTTGAGTTTTTTTGTTTTTCTGCTTTAAAATTCTTTTTTGTGCTCCAGTTAAGTGTGACTGTACCACATGTGCTTTGGAACCTGCATTTGCAATATTCGCTACTTTGCAACATGCTTGCACACTTTCTCTGCCTTTGCTACGACTTGGAATGGCTTCTCCACGAATCTGTCAATCATTAATTGCTTTAAGTCGCGATGACATGTTATTAGAAACTGATGGAAGTTACGATAAAAAAACGATATTAGAACAATAATTGTTGGTTCAACAGGAGAAAAAGTATGGACTGAACGTCTGCGGAGAAGGCGGCGAATACGAGACTGTGACGCTTGACTGTCCTCTCTTCCGAAGACAAATTGTGATGTAAGTGCAGCTTTTGTCTTTGAGCAAACTAATGCAAACGGTATTCAGTTCAACATTGTTTACGTCGACATGTTTGAGCTTCTGTTACTCTTGCAATGATTATGACAATGAAATAGCAGGTTTCGTGAATACAGTACGATCCTTTAATTTGAGGTTGTCTGGGATCGTTGCATCTGAATGTTTTTGACAGTTCTTGCCTACAAATGTAAATTGAAAAATTTGCTTGCCTAGATGTTACAAAGAATTTGTCATTATTTCTTGTTTGTTTTTGCATCGAATTAAGACCTCAGATGTTACAGGGCATTAAAAGAGTGAAATTGTAAAATTACATGTCAACTGCCTGGTTGGTTAAATGTCTCAGAAACAGTTAGCACAAAAGACAAGGACAAGTAGAAGACTGGACAGGACAAGTGCTACTTTCAACTGAGGTTTTATTGAAAAGATAAAGAAAAAAAGGGGTTAAAATCTAAACAAAAATAATATATATAATTTAAATTTTTTTATTATTATTAGATTTAATTTTTTTACGTCCAGATATGGGGACGAAGAGTGGGTGACTTGTGTGTGTCTTGGCTTCTCTTGTCTGTCTACGGTATTCTTTTTTGCATTTGGATATTCTGGTCATTAGATGCTCACAACTGAAAGTAACATTTATTGCAACCATGGACTTTGTTCTTAGAACATTTTCTTTGCAATGGACGTGATGTTGACCAGTTTCTGTCTTTTGGGTGAAATCGGATCGCTTTCCAAGTTCAAGTACTGCTACATGCAGTTGGAAGTTATGTAAGCTTCAGTTAGAAATGACTACAGCATAGGTATTGCTGTGCTACATGACCGTTCCTGCAGCTCCAGTGCAAAGGACACTTATTTGCAAATAAGGAAAACAAAATGTTCTTGTTAAATTTATTCTTTTATCACCACACTCGATTTGTGATCTTGAAAACTTTTTTTAAGGCTTACACCTAAAACGTTTCAAGCATACTAAGTAATGTTTTGTTCCCTAAAAAAAAGAAAAAAAAATATGCTTAGCTTTTGCTGTACTTTAGAAAGACATTAAATTTTAAAATATTGAAACCATACATTGAAACCCTGCAGTATGGCACGGACATGTTGCAAATGTTTGCAAACGTTCAATGTTAATTTATTCCAGAGACAAGAGCGAGACTGTGATCCACTCTGACGACGCCTTTGCACCTGTTGGGTACCTGAAGCTTACAAAGATTCATCTCGAGGACAAGGTCGGGTGAAGAACATGTTGTCGGCATACCCCCAACTTCACTATGACTCGCTGCAATTGTAGTCCTGGCAGATGCTATTGTTTATGTATATTTGTATTTACCTTGGAACATGTTTTGCACATACACATGTCCAAACAATGCAGCACTTTCGTTGTGATCGGTATTCATGATAGCATCTCTTTTTACGTGAACATAGTTCAAGAGTATAAAAAATAGTACTACAATGCATGAAACCGGTGCTGTTTCTTTTTTTTTTTTTTTCATTTTACTGCTAAGGTTAGCGCCCCAGATGACTGCTTTCCACCTCAGTAGCAGTAGTAGTCTTGGCGATAACCTTCTGATTTTAAGACAAAAACAAAAAAGACTGCCGATCGCTCGTTTGCACTAAACAGCGTCTTGCTGTGCACATCCAAACAATTGTTGGCTCTTTGTGTGTCTTTTCTCACACCTGGAGCTATGGCAAGTCCCTCTCAACTTCCAATAATTGTAGGGACCCTCAAAAAACTTTTCTAGACTTGCACACAACCTCCGGGTGTTTATCAGAAGTGTAAACCCTTGGATGACGTCATGCAATGCAACTAGCATTGCTATTGGTAACATAATTGGACTGCCAGACTTCTCCTTAACCAGGCTTTCACCACCGTTTCAGATCAGTCCTCTGCCATAAAACACACAACATCACCCCACGTTGCAATAAGCACCCACTTCTACTTCCGAAAATTTTGAAATTGAAATATAATCAAAGGAGATATCAGGTGCCCACCTCGGCAAACTCCCGAGCCTGTCGGGCTAGCCGAGTTGTTCCTTGGCCTCAGCTGCATCTCTGAGAAGCCAGTGCGAGGCGGTGACGCTTTAAACGCGTTCACCAGTGCGATGTGGTGAAGCTTGATGCAAGGTCACAGGCATGAAACAAACTGGATGAGAGCCACAGCTGCTTCAAAAATTAGGGCTTCCACCCAACCCCTATATTTATCCTACTGCGTTTCATTGGATCAAACAAGGGCCTCCTGCTACCATGTCACCCTTCCTTTTTATTTCCCTCAAACCTAACAAGCTCCCATTCTTTTACGATTATCCTAGACTTTTCGGTGGGCGCCCGCTTAGAATTCCCACTGTAGGTCCGTCCCACGACACAGGAACTCGGCAAACCATAAAATATTCCTCTGACGATCTGCTGGTTTTATTCCGCGTAAAGAGAGCAAATGTACACAAACCGCGATGGCGTCGGCCAGCGACGTTAGTCGCTGTCGCTTCCGAAGATCTCTTCCTCGTCCCTGCGCTTTTTCTCGTCATCCTCCTCCTCTTCCTCCTCGCTCGAGGATGAACCGGACATAGACGATGACGACGACGAACCGGAACCGGACTTCCTCTTGGTGGCCGCCGCAACCGGACTCTCCTTCTCTCCAGCCTCCTGTTCGCTCTCGGCATCCGACTTCTCCTCCGCGTCTGACCCCGCCTCCGATTCTGAAAGGAGGTACGATTTCGGGAGGTCGGTGTCGGAGCATGCACCAACAATCGAGACAAGCAGCAGTCACGACGATTGCCCATTATCTACGAAGATCTACAATGCGTGAAATGCGGTATTTAAGGAGTGATCACTTACATTTGTTTAGAAGACATTAGACGGTCATTTCGGGGAGTGAAGGAGAGCCTATTTTACCGATTTACCCCGCTAAGTTTAGCGGGAAAACAGACTGTGCATAGGACGTGCAATGTCAATTTCTTCACCAAAGCTAGCAGGGAAACTGAATTTAGTGTATGGGCCTCATGACACCAATTTTCCCTCTAACTTTGGTGGGAACACTGAATTGGTGTGTATAGGTGTCGTGATACCAATTTTCCCACTAAATTTAATGAGGAAGTTGATTTAGTGCATAGAGGTGACCCGCTACACTCAGCGTGGAGACTAAATCGTGAAATCGGATCACGGGAGTTCAGTTCCACTAAATTTAGCAGGAAAAGAGCGGACAGACAGAATTTTGAAATTTGGAGGGGGATTTTGCTAAAAAGGTTTTTGTGCTTGAATATAATGCGTGGGTGGCACCACTGTCATAAAATGCTTGCCTCATAGTTTTTATTTTTCTCCCGCAAAGCCCTCTGCCCTTTCCACTTTATCAGAGCAAATACTGAATAGGAGGCGAGTGGAGAAAACCGCAAATTGTGACGAGCAGAGAGCTTTGTGGGGGCATCCCTTAATTTTTTCATGTCACACCATACCATAACAGCGACTTCACGTGACCACATGACAGCACAACAGACACAACAATTGCATCACACAGTCACGTAACCTACGGTGGCAGCAACCAGATGACTGTGCGACACACAGTGGTGCTAAACACACGATCGTCGTACCTTCGCGTTACCACTTTTTCATGACAAACCTTCGTGATGCTCTAAACTGAGGAACCGGTCCATGAAGGCATTCTGTTTTTAAACTTAGCTCAATTTCCCAAATAGCCTTCCCCAGAGCCGTATATGGGGAGAGTTTGGTCGGTCTATGATCCCGCCGCCGTAACGCTCTCCTTCCAAGTGAGCCAATCAGCACGCGGCGCAGAGCGAGAGACATGAGCGCATGCGCGTGAACTCCCGGCTGCTCCCAGCTGAGTGGGGGGGGAGGGGGGGGGGGGGCCATTTTCGTCCATTCTGCCGGCGGAATGCGTGGGATCGGCATTTAAATCTCGATTATTTCCTTTTATATCGCTGGCTCTGGCGAGAAAATGACACTCTGTTATTCCTTGGTGGGTTAAAAAGCTATTAAATGAAGATTTTTTGGCGTATGGCCACAAACTTTTATTCAGGCGAAAAAGAAGTCGGCCCGTAGCAGACGACGCGTAGCCTCAGCAGTGCTCTTCTCCAACCAGTCTCCGACAGCGTTGCGAAAAAATTGCGGTCGTTTCTTCTCTGCTCCCTTCTTCCTTTCTCGCTCCTTCGGTGCTCTCCTCCCTTTCATTTACTTTTCTCCTCTCCGGCGCCTTCGTCGCCACACCCACTGGCCTAACTCTCCCAATATACGGCTCTGACCTTCCCATCACGAGAGTTGGAGGTCCTGGCCAGTGCTGTTCACTTTTTTTAGGCGAAGTCGCCAGGACGCGACCTAAAAGTCGCCAGTTTTAGAGCAAAGTGGTTGAGTGGTGATGATAATGACCTTTTTTGGATTTCTCTTTTTTCTTTTTTTGTTGTATAAGACGAAAGTTTATTTAAACATTATTTTAAATTATTTTTTGTGCTGATGAGCCTAGTGAATAGTCAACCATCCCATTCCCAAGGGTCTCGCCAATGCCTTCAGTGGCTCAAGGCGTTGGCGAGAAGATCTTGGTCCATGAACAAAACAGCGGAAGACTGTTCTGCTTCATCCTTATCAAACAAAACTTTCGCTTCAACACACACATTTCTTTTTTTCGGCAAAGGTTACGAATGATTTTTTTAAACACCTAATAATCCCTGAAACATGGAGTGGAAAAATGGAGAAAAATGGAACGCATTCGTTTTTGCATTAACCGGCGTGAACCAACACCACCTCACCCACAACAGGATGAATAAAAATGAGTGACATCCAGAGCTGTCCCCTAAAAGCCACCACAGAGCTATCCGACGGACATACTTTGCCCCCCGTCTACGTAACTTTAGTAACAACAGTTTACATAACTGAAAAAAAAAAGTCCCTTAAAAAGTCGTTAAAACTCCAAAAACAGAAAATTGTCGTTAGGACGACTGAGAACACTCTAAATTTAGGGACTTTCTCGCTAAGTTAACACCACCGGTCCTGGCAGTGGCCTCAAGACAATGCTCCGCACACGTGAAAGTGCGTATAGAAAAAAAAAATTAGTGGTCAAGAGAGTGTCACATTGACAAACGGAGAGACTGGAGCCTGGGAAGTCCCTACAAGATTTCCAGCCACATTGCTGGAAACCCTCCAATTTTTTTATCTTTGCTTCGAAACATGTTGCAACCCTGGATAACACGACCAGATGTCCTCGTGACAAACTAGTGCAAATTCGCTCGCAACGCCGGCCTCACCTTTCTCCTCCTCGCCGTTCTTCTCTCCCTCCTCCTCCTCTTCTTCCTCTTCCTCCTCCTCCTCTTCCTCCTCCTCTTCTTCTTGAGGCTGCTCGAGCTGAGTCAGCCGGATTTGCTGCGAGGGGGAAAAGAGCCAAACGGGGGCCAAACTCGCACCGAGCTTTAAACCCGCAGCTGGTTGCATCGTAGTGCGACTTCTGCAGCAGCAATGCCACAGTGCTTGAAATGCGACTTCGAGAGGTCCATTTAGCGTCCCATCTTATTTGCGCATAGAAAGTGCTTCCAAAGTGGCAACAAATGACGTTGCGAAAGCCAGAGCGTCATACTGTCGGACGTCACGACCCCGGAGGTCGGCCATGCAACTTTTGGGGCAAAAATACGAGCTACATTGCGTCATCACGAAGCCCCGACTCCTGGCCGCCGAAGCCTTCCTGAACCGACAATCCGCGGAGAGCAGCTTGCAGCAGAACAGCCGTCTGCCGCAAGGTTCGTTGGCGGGCAGCGGCATGACACTTTTACGGCGTCATGTTAGATGGAATTGAGGAACCCTATTTAAGGATGCGGTGAACGCACCGGTCGAAGACCATTCCGGGCACCACAGATGCGACGTCGTGATAACGGGTGCACGAACAAGCTGAACTGTTCTTAGTGAGGGATCGCGTGATCCGTAAGAGTATGACCGAGAAAATGTGTCGGGAAGAGAAGGTACGACGGGTGGCGCTGCCACTTGCCTGTGTCTTGTGCTCCACCTCGTTGAGCGGCCGGTGTCGCACCACCAGCTTGGAGTTGTTGGGCTGGACCCCGGGTTTCAGCCGGCGTTTGCTCAGGCGCACCCTGCGATTGTGCACGCGTGCCACCGTCAGACGCTTGATCGCTCCCGGGCAGGTGCGAAAACGTGTTCGCCGCCTTTCCGAAAGGTCTCGAAGACTGGAGAGGCCCGAGCAGACGCTTTTGTGGCTACAGATGGAGTCGTGAAGCTAACTGGACTCAAAGTACTATGCGAACTGCTGTACTTAATTATGAATTTAGTTCAAGCTATTTAGTAGTACACTAACCCAGAAGTGAGAATGAAATTGCAACGAGTTATGTTTCTTTGGAGCGATTTCCAACATAGTTTGACCGCAGTTTCTTTTCTTATTTATGCCAATATGCTGATTCCCGCTAACTTCGCCTTGAAATCGGCACTGCGTCGGGTCACTGCAACTCTGCCGTGAGCAGAGCGCTAACTCCTAATGAGACTGTGCCCATATCTTCGCCACATTGAAAGCTAAACCTTTCGTCAGCGACCACAGTGCACAGAGACATCATCCGAGATGCCATAAAAGCAATCGGAACATAACTTGCCATAAAATGCCGTGGAAGCGCCCCCTTCGTACAAGTGCCCACTATATTACATTTCCCAAACTCGGGGAACCTGCAAATTATACGTCAACACCCACCCCTTCTAAAGCACCGGCATCGGCCGAAAATATTCACCCCATTGCTGTGTCCACGAGACACCAGCAACCGTGGCTGTTGGCGCGTCCACGATTCCGTTCACCCTGGCTTCAAGGCTCCTTGTTGACCACTATCTTGGTTTGACCAATTTGACCATACAAGCACCCATGTCTAGATTAACCCAGTTTTTAGTGGAAGTGGGGGGGTAAAAGGGTTGATAACTGGGCTAGTTGGTAGTTAGACATATTAACGGCATTAGCCGTTAATATGTTAATATAATATGACATAAAACGGCATTAGCCTTCTCTCTTCCTCATACGTGTGCGCTAATGCCGTTAATAAAGTGGGGGGGATACTTCCACTGTATTTTATGGTAGATACTCTCAAAAAGTAACTACAACTAGATCCATTTCTAAAGATTGTTGCTCTACTTGTAACTTAATTACAATTCAGTTCAAGTAAAACTGTAACCACATTACTTAATCACTTTTTAAGATTAACTTTGACAATTCTGCCCATCGGCTACCACGCTGTTTGCCCTAATGTGGCGCAATCTTTCCGGCACAAGTGCCAACAGGTCTTAGTTCTGCCCCAAGCTTTGAAGGCAAGGGCAGGTTTCCCTACATACCCCGCAAACTTGCTGGGAGTGATAACTCACCTGGTCTCAAGCTCATTGTAGAAGACGCCGTCCTCTCGGAACACAAAGAAATAGTTCTCCTCGTAGCCCTTGGACGCCTTATTCTTGACGTTCCAGTTGTACTCGCGGGCCATGCGGTACTCGTACCTGCAGCATCGAAACGCACATCGCAAGGGGCCCTTTACATCATGCTACCAAAGCTACGAACCTGCCCCGCTCAACCTTTGGCAATACTCTGATAGTCGCCGATTTGTCTCAAAATTGCTTCAGCACATCCATAGACACATCTGAACCACCTAGTAACCCAAATTACAGGTCAAAGTAATTTTTTCCCATTATTATTTTTTCCAAATTATCTCATGAAGACACCTACATTCAAATGCTATTGATATTGCAGAAACACACTTCACTGAAGTACACTGAGCCAGAGTTGCATATTATTGTTGACGTACATAATAGCTGAGGAAGGCATGTTCCGAACAAAGCTAAACTATTGCTCGTTACTATTTCTTGGGGAAGAGTGTTCCACTCTACCACTGTTCTGGGAAAGAAGGAATATTGGTAAGTATCAATATTTGCCCTTTTTAAATGGATTTGACTTGAACGGGTATTTCTTAGAGGTCCGAATAAGCAAGGCATCATGTAGCGGGATATGGTAATGTTAAACATGCCACATAGTACTGCTAGTGCCGCTGACAGGATCAAAACGGTGGGGTGGTCCTTTGATTTTCCCGCCTCCAGTGTAAGCTGCCTGCCTTCCATGATGCTTCGGCGTCTCTAAGCGTCAAGCATGCATGCGCAGCCTAAGAGCACGGTGGAACGCCACCAATGCACGCTGGAGGCTGTGCACTGGAAAGAGACGCCTCGTCCTCACCTTGTCAGCGGCTATAGTATATTAGTGCCGCTACGGATTCGCAACTGACACTCCACAGATGCAATCGATCCTCTTACGGCAAATGCGCCCCCCGAAAGGAACTGATCCCACGAAAAAATATGAGCGGTAGTCGGCATCGTCGATTGCGATCGGCACTTACTCATCCTCGTCCATGTACTCCACTTTCTCCTCGGCGTCTCGCTTGCGCTTGCGGATGGTGTCCTCCGTTGGCAGGAAGTAGGCCACAAACTGCTCTCCGCTCTCGTCCATCACACCCCTGCGTCACGTGAGGGAATCTCGTTACTTGCGCCTCTTTCGTGCGAAGACAATACAGAAAGAAACCTCACCATACGCGTTTGCGTGTACGGCCTTTGATATCCACAAACAAACAGAGTGTGTCGATGTTCGAAAGTCGGGAGCACACACCTGATCATGGCTTGCGACATCTCCTCCAACTGCGTGATGGGCGCGGGGTCCGAGTCGAACATGACTTGCGCAAACGGATACTTCCACAGCTGTAAGGAGAAGGCGACGCATGCGAGTCGCACGTTCCGAGTTGTAAGGTCGTTTCTACAATCCGAGACCTTAATGTATCGCCATAATGCAGAATAAAAAAAACTATTATTCGTAGCGTCCTCCGACACATTTAGCTAGTGCTGCAAATGGTGCATGGAATGAGCTGCCCAGTTTCTCGAAGACCGTCGGTGTTGGAAAAGCATTTAACTATTCGTGTTCAAGACACATGTTTTTGTTGGAGAATACTGTCGAGACCGATTATAACGAAGTCGATTATAACGAAATACGGCTACAGCGAAGCGACCACGATTTCCCATTTCCTTATGCACTTCGTTGACCGAAGTCGGTTATAACGAAGAAGCGGATATAGCGAAGTGATTTCCGAATCCCGTTGACTTTGTTATAACCGGTCTCGACCGTACACAGAATAGTTTTGGCAAATGTTGTTTTTACGGCAACATTAACCTTTTGGGGTCATGTCAGTTTTCCCCTTGTTGGCCCCTCAGGTCAGAATTAGTTTATGCAAAAGTGATGCAAGCAACAAGTGACTTCGGATTTAACGTTTTCATTTTAATGTAGTAATATGTTCAATCGAAAATAACTCTGCATTCTCCTGGATGCTTTCAGTTCTTGAAATGCTAGCGGTACTTGCGCAGCGTGTGGTACTTTTCAAAGCAAGCGCCGGGGTGCAGGCCAGGTTGACGAGTGCAGGTTTTGCAGTAGCACACTGTTTCGCGCCGTTGCCCCTTGGTTTTTCTGTCGCTGCAGATGGCGCACTCCTTGTTTTTGCTTCCATTGAGTTTATAAGTGGTTCTTTCCACTCAGTCTCTCTTCGCAGTCTCCATCATAAGAGCGCCCCCGTTTCCTTGGCTAGTTGCGGACATTTCCAACAAGGTCCTTTATCAATGCCTTCCGAAACGTGAGGTGCTGCGGTGCTTGCTCGCCTTGGCTGATTTTTTCGAGGCAGAAGAGGATGTAGCTGTTTACGACTCCCACTGCCAACAACCAAGAAAATAGGCATGCGCGATGGCGGCGCCGCATGTCTCCTCATCACTCTCGGTGCTGTCACCATCACTCTCTGAGGACTCATCAGAGACTATCTCAGAGGCCTACTTTGGATCATAGGTGTCTTCTCCACTAAAGTCACATTCACTGTCACTTGAGTCACAAGCCTTTCCGTAAAATGCGGACGGAGTAAAGGCTGCCATTATGAACTCGTAAAAGGGCGCGCAACATTCCCGCCCAGGCATTTTGCAAAAAAAAAAAAATGTGTAGCGTCACTTGCAGCACCTTTCGAAGGGCGAAGAAACCAAGAAAGTCTAGTTTACATTCCCGATGACAGATGGCGCAAGTTGAAATTGTCGGGGCGCGCCCGACACCTGACCGCAAAGGAGAAATGGGCCTGTCGGGGTTGCCCCGACATTCGACCAGAACCTGAATATTTTTTTGTCGGGGGTCACCCGACTCATGACTCCAAAGGGTTAATAATGCACATTACAAGTATGCTGGCTCGAAGATGAACAAAGCCAGTGACTAAGATGGATTCACTGACCTCAGAGTCTGGGAACAGCGGGAGAACCTCCACCGGCCTGACGTTGGGTTTGCTGTAGTGGCACTCGATCTGAAGAAAACAGAAACGTCACAAACAAAAAGGGGTTGTTTTTCTAAGCAGTGAGAGAGTGCAGGCGAGCTGGTAATCAATCGACATCTTGTAAACCCTGAGATGGGGAACGATAAAATCGTTCCCCATCTCAGGGTTTACAAGATGTTTTTCTAGATATACCAAGAACCCCATATCTCAAGGCAGTTCCGTTTTTTGGTTTTTTATGAAAATGACCACTGTTTAAAAGAATGAAAGCAACTCGCCTGCTTTTGAGCTTCCTCAAACGTTTTGTTGATGGCACTGATCTGGCTCTCCCTGTCCATGTAGAGATCCTCTTCCTTGAACAACTTCTTGACATTGTAGCCGACCCTGGGTTGGGGCGCACCCAGAGAGCAAACATCGTCCATCCACACATACCAAAGCGAGCGCACTGCCGCAAGAACGGTCGACGCGACGACAAATCAGCGGCGACCGCACTCACTTTGTCTCCGTGTTGACGCCGGACTGTCCGTAACGGTTGAATTCCGTGGCGATGTACTCCGTCTTCTTGAGCCAGGGAACCACCAGGTTGTGATGCCGTGACCTGCACGCATTTTCACCCGAGGTATTAGCGTATTTCCCAAGGATGTGCAGTGACTATTAATAACCGAGACTATGAAAACGGCAGGGAGGAGTTTTCATCCTGTCAGTTTCATCTTGTCGGCTATTATAGTGCATTTAGTATCCCACAACGGCGGTGAAACGAAACCTTTTCGAGTCCTGCGGCGTGTGGGCGTCTTCTTCGAGAAGCTTCTCGTCATCTGGATGTAGGACAGCTGGAAAGGCAAACGGCAAACGGATTGGTTCATCAAAAATTTCTAGTTGCACGTGGTATTCGCTTTAGTTTTAAAGTGTCTAGGAATTACGGGATTACTCTAGTTGCCACGCCAGCTTCACTTGAAACTCGATTAACTCAGGTTTTCATGCCACAAACTAAAAAAACAAAAGCAAGGCAAGCTCGCCCGGATGTATCGGGTGTATGAAACACCGTTTTGCTCGCCGCAAGAGTAAACTATGTTCCGGCAAATGCTCAATCCTCGTCCAAATGTAGCACTAGGAGTTGCAACCAGGTGCCAAAGTTTGAGAACTTACCATTATGTGGTTCAAAGGTTACGAGCAATCTTCTACATTTTCAATGAGAAAATGGTGGCCAACGAAGATTGCAAGTATCCGGAGGTGAATGCCGTCTGGTACAGAAAACAAGCCCCATCTTCTCGCTGAATATTTTCGAAAATCGCCGAGAGCTTTTTAATTAGGTAACGGTAGCTTCTAAGACTTGGACGTCTGTTTCAAACCCCTAGCGCAACATCTGGGCGAAGACCGAACATTGGCCAATGCATAGTTTGTTTTTGCAGTGAGAAAAACACAGCGCTCTTTTCTCCCAAACATCCCAGTACTAATCGCATTCCCACCAATCACAAACCCGAATCTCGTAATTTCCAGCCCATCCCAAACTCTCGCAGCAATTGGGACTGGCACGAAATGAAATACTTCGAGCAGAGTGGACGGGCTGAAAGATGGAGTAAAAGGTTACGCACCGTTTGCGTCTATTTCGTATGTCTTTGGGTCGATGAGGTCGATGGTGACTCCAAGATCATGCTCTGTCAGCAGGTCGTGCTTGTAGTTGCGCTCGAGCGACGTCGCCTTGTAGGACACAAACCTAAGTTGGGGAATGAGAACAGGGATTGTGTGTGCCCCCGGCTTTCGTGAAGCGTAAATATGTAATGATGAAACAAAGACTGAAGCAGCACAAGGATAAGAATATAACAAGAAGCAGCATTGGTTGCATAAAATGTTCCTATGCGAGCAACTTTAGCTGTTTAAACCATGCAACAGCAGAAAATAAATTTAGTCAATGAAAGTCTAGAGCAGGGGTGGCCAGGCTGGCCTGGCTGAAGAGCCGAAAAACAAAACCACGGACCTTCTAAGAGCCGCGGGGGGGGGGGGGACAAAAAACTTGTTTGGAGTCTGACTGTACGTATGGGGTCACAAGGCTGTACGACTGTACATATGGGTGTACAAGGCTGTCAAACCGTAAGCTGCAGTGTGCTTTATTCTGAAATCCTTGCTTTTTTTTTTTTTTTTTTCCTGGGGAAACGCGGAAAGGGGCGAAGGGGGGGGGGGGTCCCCTTACGAGGGATCCGCGAGCCGCACTTGGACCAGCAAAGAACCGTATGCAGCTCGCAAGCCGCGGTTTGGCAACCTCTGGTCTAGAGTAATGTTCATAAAACTATATAAAAAAAAAAAAAAAAAACACGGCAGTGCAAATTAGCCACTACAGCGGTGTAAGAAAGGAGGTTAGGTGAAGACACTTCTACTCTCCCCAGTGAGTGCGCGACCAGATTGTGTTCGCCTCTACTCTCTCTCCCACGAGCTCTTCTCCCCGGGCGGCCGCAGTGGCGCTGTTGCCGGGGGGGGGGGGGGGGGGAGGGAGGAGGGAGGGAGGAGGAGGGGGAGGGGGGCGGGCCACAGGGAGCAGACGACGTCCGCGTTGTCTGCTTGAGGCAATGTTGTACAACGGTTTAAAACATTGCTCACATTATGAAAAGAATACAATCACACACTACCTTGCAGCCATACAACGTTCAGAGATTGAATAACCTTGTAGCTTGACGGATTTGGATGCAAGATTGACATTTCATGAATGCTTATCGAAAAGCGTATGCCTTCCACCATGGCACCACCCAAAACGCGGTGTTGTACTAGGCCACTTCCCGGAGTATTTTTAAACAGATTTTGCGCATGTGACCACTTTCTCACCAATCAGAAATTGTCATGATTTGCCAATTTTTGATCATTAATTTGACAATCAAACTCATGATTTCACAATCAGAAATTGTCAAAGTTTCGCGGTAAACCAGTAAAGCGCCACCTACATCAAAGAGTATTGAAAACGAGAATAGCAGCGAACATTGTTTGGTCGCCCTCGCGGTGGAGTGTCTTCATATAACCTCCTGTCTTACACCGTGGTCACTACGTGGCTGACAATGCTTCGTGGTGGCTTGCGACGTCGAATTCGCCATGCATGCCCAATCAGTCAAATGTGCAAGTGGAATTCAAACCAGCACGTTTCTCTAAACAAACCTAAATCCGCAAAGTTCAAAAAGAGAGAAAGAAAAGACAAACAAGTCGCGTCCCATTCACGAAAATTGCACGAACCCAAAGTCCATCAATACAGAGTCGCTCGGAACTGGTACAAGGATCACCCCTAGAGGGACACTGAGAGGGTATTTACGCTTGCAAAGGTTTTTTATTTGTACATGACATACGGGAGCCCAACTACCCAGAACACAATTTGCGGCTCGAAATTAGTTTCTTCTCTGCCGCCGATCGAGAACTGGCTGGTCTGAGTCGCGCTCACTCTCTTCTTTGTGGACACGTGCCGCTTTTTCATGGTTTAGACACAACCACCAAAGATAATCAAAGCCGTGGGTCATCGAAGGCACACATTCAATACTAAAAATAGACAAAAATATTATTCCCATTTTTTGGGCTTTTAAAAAACTGCAAATATGTTGATTGAAAAAAAAAAAAAAAAAAATTGCACAGCCACGTGATTTTTGGCAACTTTCTCCTCCTATATATATCTTCATTTTCCTCAGCCCAGTTTTGGTTTCAAGCAGTTGCGTTTTCTGACTTTATTAAAACTATATGCGACTCTGTAGCAAACTATTGATTAAGTAGTCTTCAGACACTATAATAAATCACCTTGCAAAAAATAAAAAACAATCTTGGGGGAAATGTCAAGGTCTCTTTAAGCTGACAGTGCAGTGGAAGCTATGTTTTCGTTGGACCAGTCATAGATCCATCTTTTGCACATTAACAAGCTCCTGCCCATACCCAGGTGCAGAGAGCAGAGTCGGGAGGCAAACTAGAGGCGGCTCTTTGGTCCGCTGAGGGAGTAGTTTCCACTGCAGCATCAGCTTAGGCATGAACGGGGTATTGCAATGCCTCCAGGTACCGCTTCCAGCCACATGCAATGCAACTGACCTGTTTGGTTCGAACGGGTATGCGATGAATTTGGGGTCGAAGGGAATGTCTGGAAGAGTGTTGCAGTATTTGACTCGGCACACCAGCTCCGACCTGCACACCGATCGGAGTTTCAAGCAGGGTCAATGCGCCCCCGCACCCAAAGCAGTCTCGCTCTTGTACAACGGGGGGTTTCAATGATGAGAGAGCAAAACACTCCCTAAAACAAAATTCCCCCATTCAAACCCACTTTTGAGAATGGTGAAAGGTGGGTGAACAGACGGAATATCAATGGGCTTTGGTCAAAATGTCTGTGGGTCAACCTGGAACGCCACTGAGACCTTTCAGCGAATACGGGCTTGTATGCTAACGATCACGCGATAGAAATATACACTTCCTGGTCAGCTTCGTCGGTAAGAACAGATCTGCTAGCCTTTCTTGCGGCTTTTCAGGGTGTGGAAGGTTAGGAAAGAGTTCCTTTCACAGAAGTGGCGTGTCAGTGGCAAGCTGCATTGTCAGTAACGTTCTGCTGTGTCGATCTTTGCATGGTTCAAGAAGGTCGTGATTACTCCGTTCTACGCTAGACAGTCATTTCTCTTTTACGGTGTTAAACTGACTTGTCACAGAATTTATTCTATTCACAAGGAAGAAAAGCGTCTTTGACACTTCACAAACAAAGGCTTTTGTTGCTTGTTTGACGCTACGGGGTGATCACTGTCACCGAAGTAACTTCACACGCGCTGTCACGAACGCAAACGAAGCTGGACAGCGCGCTTCGTTTAGCAGCCACTGACCGCGCGCCAGATAAGTCTGCGTTTGGCGACAACTTCGGCAAAGTTAACCGTGATCTGACTACCTCACACCGACGCCGATGATTTCTGGGGTAGCGTTAGCTGGTCATTTGCATATGTTCGCTCGTGGTAGCGTTGCCCATTGCGGAAAAGCTTACCTGCGCTCGCCGGGTTTCTTGCGATCTCTCTCAACAGCCTGCGTTCCCGTTTGAATCGTGGGAGCCATGGTAGCTCTGTTGAAGTTGCGGAACACTTGGGTTGCGATGAAAGCGTCTTGTCCGTCGCTCGTTTACGAATTTTAACGAAGAATCGCAGCGCACCTTGTCTTGAACGCGGCCATTGCATCCATGACAACGATGCGATGGTAGTTGGACCTTGCCTCTGTGTACGAGTGTTTTGATTGTTTCTCACACGCACTCCCACCATAACTTCAAAAATCATCAAGATAACACGCACTTTTAGTAGCTTATTAGTGCTTAAGCACTTGCATATTATTAATGAATGGGTTACAGTGTATGTTAAACAAACTTTAACCTTTATAATTAGGCGTAGCCTTCCGCCATTTATTAACACTATATTATAATTTTATATCAATATTTAAGTATGGCAAATATTTTTATTTTAGAAAAGTAATTGGCGTGTGTAATAAGAGTGTGCTACTATTTTATTTTGTATTTTTATTGAAGTTTTACCTGCAAACACGGTGGCGCGAAATACCGCCCAACTGTGTTGTTGCCTTTATCTATTCATTCAAAAGGTTCCGGCGTTTCGGTATCGTCGATCGTCGTTGTCCTTTGGTGTGCTGTCGTTCTGCAGACTGATATTTTACAAATCCACTGGTGCCTTTCTGTCTCCGGAAGTCAAACCTAAATCAACGTCCACATAAGCAGCGTTGACCCACTTCTGTAAACCACTTAGTGTGTTCGGATTTTAGAGAGACGTTCTCATGGTCTGCGGCTGTCCGTGTGTCTGACAGAACGCTACGTGGGTGACGGTTTCTGTTCCACAGTTCCGTTGGTTCCGTGTTTGTAGCAATAACTTCTCGCAAAGGAAACTATGGCAGAATGTGAGCAACAGCCCGGTTCCAACAGTTCGACTAAGATGACAATGACTGAGAAGGTTGAACAAGCCCGCCAGTACAAAAAGGTTGGTTCGCCGAGTTTAGTATCGACTGGTTGTCATTAATGTTCGTTTGCCGACTTCAGGAAAACTAGGACCAGATTCGATTCACTCGTATAATCGGTAGAACTTATGCATATACGAAAATTCCAGTTTAGTAGTGCATTTTTTTCTTAAATACCAAGCTCCCAAATTGCTGTAAAATCAGTATCGTGCCTTGGTCTAACCACAATTATTGTCGTGCTTCCACACCAAGTTTAAAAGGCAGCAAGAAACGTGACACCTCAGTGAATAGACCGGTAGCGTTCCACGCACACGCGACGCCGCCGTAACGTGTTCATAAGGCCCGCTTCAGACGGCGCAATTTCTCCCAGCAACTTGACGTTTCAACATCAGCAACACGGGCCGCCCGCGTTCACACGCAGCAACTAATTGCTGCAATTTGCCATCATTAAATTTTATTTCTCTTGCACTATTTAGACACACAGTTACGTGCTATAAACGTGTTTTTATACATTTAAATTGCTTTGAGAATACTATCTCGTCTTTCTGAAACTGTTTATTTCCAAAAACAATCAATTTTAAAGGAGAACCAAGTCTTTAGTGGTTATCATCACCGGTACGGGGTATCACTTGAAAATATTGTGTCCCTGACTGGCTGCTGCCTCTTCAAATGTCTTCAAGTTGCTCCGTGTTGCTTGTTCGCTTTGAGCCGGACCCGACCTCAGCAATTCGTGTTGATCCAGGGAGAGCTATTGAACAACCTGCCAGCAACCCCAAAAAGTGCAGAGAAAGTTGCCCCGTCTGAAGCTGGTCTAAGAAGCAGACGCCCGAGCGCGAGACAGTTCATGCCGCCTACGCAGACTCTCAGTGGGGTTCTCTTGCAGGCAGAAAAACTACAGATTCCACGATGCATAGCAGCAGCATAACAAAACTGTCAGTAAGTTAGGTCTATTGGTCTTGAACGTTCTGGGCCAGTGAGTTTGGATCCCGCAAGCTAGCACGCAAAGGGGATACTATACGGAGAGCAAGTCGTCTGCTTCTTGCGCTGGAGTTGCGGTGACTGGCAGTTCCCGTTTCCACCCATTCCCAATTCAACCTTCCCGTTCGTACCTTCCCGTTTCGACCCGGCTCAAAACGACCTTCTCGTTTCATCCTTTCCCATTTCACCCTATCCCAGAACAACCTTCCGGCTTCGGCCATTGTTCATTATCAGTTGAGTCGGTTTGTTTGTATTGTTCGTTAACAGCTGATCAGGTTTGAGTGTGCAATGTCTCAGTGGCGTAGCCAGGATTTTATTTCAGGAGGGGTTCAACGGCATCTCCTACCGCCAATGACTGAGGGTGAGCTCGCCGACACGGACGCTCAGGCAAATATTAGGGAGACGCTGTTAAGATAAAACGGGTAACGCTGCAGTGTCATTTTTAAAATCGGAGCAGGCTTTATTTCCAGGAATACAGGCGGGGTGGCTCACTGTTGTTCTACTGTCGTCGTAATTGCGGCCCACCGACTTTAAAAGCTTTCTCACAACACAAAACTCCCTTCGCTTTTCGAAGTAGCACCGCAATACGAAGGCCAGAGAAAACACAAAAATAACTGCTTTCACACACAAAAAAAAGAACAAAAAAACTAAACAGAAAAAAAAAAATCTCGACACTGAAAAATTGGAGCAACCGACCACGCACAAACACTTTAGGGGCCCATATTTAGGGCGAAGGTAACTCTGAACAATCACAAAACCAAAATCTATTATCTATTAAAGGTTTAACAAAATTCGTGCTACAGAACCAGATGCCGAAGGAAAGAGAGTGTTATCTTTGCTAGGCCGTTTTATCTTGCAGCGTGGTCCAAAGGCAGAAGCAGCATATCCTCGGGGTAAGGAGAGGTCATCAGTCCGAACTCGTCGTTCCGTCACTCGGAGAAATGACATGACGCACCACAAAGAAGCTACACGCCGAGTGTGGAAAGGAACTTGACTAGCCTTGCGCCTGTGCGTAGTGAGAATATGAAGGCTTGTCTCTTCAAGTTTCTGATGTTCCGTGCAGCGAAGAGATTAACCTAATAGTAACAAGGAATTGCATCGCATGCCACCTTGACATACAAAGCAGGAAGCAGGACGGACTTCATCGCATCCGTGAGCGACGATTTTCGCAAAGTGAGGGAAACTTCGCCAAAAATAGGGAAATTTTAGGCGTCCAATGCAAGAGGGAAAAATGTGAAGCGCCCGTCACATCTGCGGTATACAGGTGGTCGCCCTCTGTCCGGAGGCACTATTTCAGAACGTCCATCGTCTCCTCAAGATTCTAGTTGCTTTGGCCTTAACAACGGCGGAAGCTGAGCGCTCGTTCTCTTCACAACGTTGGTTGAAAACATACTTGAGAGCGTCCACTTCGAGTGAGCGACTGCTCGGTCTATGCTTCGTTTCAGCTTAATTCCAGACGCAGCCGATGCTACAGGCGTGAACATGTGGCCCTGAGCAGTGCTTGCACTGCACGAGCGCGCGTGCTTGGCAGGGACGCTGAAAGCCCTGAACTCGTGCTTGTAGCATCGGCTGCACCTGGATTTAAGCTGAAACGAAGTATAGTGTTTTTTAATGTTCACCGCGACATTAAAGTTCAAGCGGAGGACGTCCGGGATATTTTTTTTCCATGAACGCAGGCGGCTTCATTTTAATGTGTAGGCGCTTGGCATAAATGAGATGATAAAGAGAACCCGTAAATTGCATTCTAATATCACTAGTCACAGTTACCTATTTATTCGTAGTAATTTCTAGTCGAAAGCACATAATTCTGATCACAAAAGGTGTGCATGAGCGCAGTGCCACCCGTTGCTTAAAGTGCGATTGTTTTTTTACAATTCATTTATTATTCCTTACATTACTGACATTGTTTTATATTATCATCGTGTGTTCGTTTTATTATTTTCACTTTGATTGAACTGTGTATTTCAGTGAGGATAGTTTGTCATATTTTGCGTTGAAATTGCCATCCCTCACCCCACAAATATTTTGAAATATCCGTTCTCTATATATCTGCGATCAAGTTCCGGATCCCATCGAATTAACATGAATTAAGCAATATTGCATATTTTATTAATCTGAGCATTTTCTACCCCACAAACAATTTTTCCGAAAGCCTGTAAGTTGGAGATGGTCCGTGCTCCCCCGTTGCTCCGTGCCTCGTGCAAAACCGGCTGCGTGAGCAGGGCAGCGAGCAGGCCCTGTTGGGGAGGGAAAGGGGGGGGGGGGGGGGAGGGGGCTAGCTTTGGCATTTTGGGAGGGGTTTCGACCCCCCAAACCCCCCCTCTGCCTACGCCACTGATGTCTGTCCTCGCTCACTTCTCCCTCTCCCAAAACAACCTTGAAGATATGGCATCAAAAGATAAACGCTCTGTCAGGGAGGGCTCACTTGAACATTTACAGCTTCATCGATCTGATCAAACGGGATGAGGTCTTGACAAGGATATCTCTGCAGCAGCTTGCAAATGGTGGTGCTGTGTGGGCCAGGGGACAGCCGTGAACTATCAAAATTTGAGTGTCACCATTCTGATGGCACGATTTTCCTGCTCGACTTTCTCAACTAAGGCGATAGCATTTTGTGGTTTATGATTTCTTTTTGTGTGCGCGAGGGTACTGTATCTGAACTTGTAAGAAAATGAAGTCGCAATCATATGCCTGTCAACCTGTTTGATTTATCACTCTTCAAAATATCCCGTTCACTATAAGGAAGTTTTAGAAAAACGTACGCAAGCACTTTGGGTAACCTAAAAATAGCGCCGCAGTATAAAAGCTAAGCCAACGCTAATTTTTGCTTACTCAAAGTTCTTGCCTTTGTACAGAGCGCAACACCGTTAGCGCAAACAAGCGATTGTTGGTTTTTACTGTTTGTCTCAAAGGATCAAAAGACTACCATCAATATTATTAGTGACTTTGAAAGTGCTCATCTGGGCCACTAGCCTAGGTGGTACAATTTGGTACCTCTTAATACCATTTCGAAGGAAAGTTGGAAAAATTATCAACATCATGTTTGCGGCAACGTTGTCGCGCAGTGTATGTAGTTTGTTTCGTATTTACACATTTTGGGGACCATCTTGAAAGAAACATTTTAAGGAGTTCAAGTAGAAATATATTTCGTTAAAGCTTATCTGAAAGTGTTGTATAATTTAACACTACGTTGACGAGCAAATATATTTCGCAACATAACTAAATAGCTCGCCTGCACCTTTGCATTAACTGCATTAACACCCTCTCGGGACATATTCTTAAGGAGAAAAGGTGCGAAAACCAGGGTTAGAACAGTGGAGACTTTTCGCAAAGAGGTTGAGATGTGCAGGGGCTTATAGCAATGAGTTCAAACAAGACGAGCTCAAACGTAAAGGGTGTTTTGACTATGGGTTCAAAGAAGAAGGGCGTTTCGGGAACGAGTTGAAACAAAGCAGGTTCAAATGGGACAGAATTCGGGAATGGGTCGAATTGGGAAGGTCGTTTCAGGACAGGTTCAAACGGGAAGGTTGTTTCGAGTGGGGGGTCAATGCGGAATAGGTTAAAACGGGAATGGGTTGTTTCGGGCCACACCCGCGTTGACGTCAGAACGACGCCGAACTTTGATTGGCTTTGGTAGAAAGGAGAGTGGGTAGACCTCAATGATAGATAGATGCCTTGAAGTCTACCCTCTACTTTTTTTAATTGGCCAATGCGGAGCACAAGTTCGTCTGCCTCTCGCACTGGGGTTGCAGTGACGTCTGAACGCTTGGCTCTCCTGGAAGGATAGTGGGTAGGCCTCAAGGCAGCTAGCACTGACCCACGATCCTTCCAATTGGAGCCCACCGGAGCTCGGCGTTCTGACGTTGTAGCAACCCTGGTGCAAAAAGCAGACGAACCTGCACTCTGTATTGACATAGTGCATGACAATGCGATTGTCACTAACACCTTAATAACATTGTGGATATTACATTCCGTTTTTATACCGGCTTCTCATTGTTACTTCTTCCATGTTAGCCTCTTCAGTGGCTCCAGGGCAAAGTGGTTGGGCACATAAAGCCCCCGAATTAACTTTATTTTGCCCTCCAAGTTACCGCGAGCTCGAGTATATCGGTCTCGCAGCAACGTGCCCTGCCGTTTCCATCGTGCTGCGGAGGTGTGTTCGTAGCTGTCCCTCTGGTCAGCCGTCTCGGCGTCTTTTCTTTCCTGGCACAGGAAGGCAACGAGCTGTACAAGGAGAACCGTCCCAGGCAGGCCCTGGGCAAGTACCACCGGTGCTTGCTCTACATCAAGGCGGTGGAAGAGGGAAAAAGGCTGCCCATCATGCCAGAGCCACGGGAGGTGCTTCCCATCCAGCTCAAAGACGAGGTCATGCGCATGCGGGCGGACTGCTACAACAACTTGGCCGGTCAGTCGCTGTACTTGCAGCAATCGCCAAAAAAACAAATGCATTACAGGGCGTTTTTTCTGGATCCAAAAAGAAACTATGCATCGCCGAACACTCATTCCCCACCTGAATGTAGCTCTAGCATTCCAAACCGGATGCCAAAGTTTCATAGTTAACCGTTTTCCTATTCGAAAGTTATATGATTTTCTGAAAATTTCAAGGGGAAAATGGCGGCCAAATGAGTCCTAAAAAAATGGAGCTAAATGACCCCAGTTACCGAGAACGAGCCCCATTTTCCTATTGAAATTTTCATGAAATCAATTATAACTCTTTAATGAGGTAACTGCGACCCCCGAAACCTTGGCATCTACTTCGAACCGTCAACGCTTCGTTTGGGCACAGAATGGCATTCGGCAACGCTTTGTTTAATTTTGTAACAAAAAAGTGCCTCCCAATTTTCTTTTTTTTTTTTTTTTTGCGGTATTTTGTGTTGTTGTTTGCGATGTTCCTCGCCTTGCTGCCTCATGTCAACTGGTGCAAAGGACCTTGTGGAGGTGGAGAAACGTCCAAAATATGTGCGAGCGAACACGAGGGGAAAAAATGGCATCTTCAAATTTCTTGGCTGAAGTACTCCTCGATGTCCAGCTTGGAATTGAGGGCCATGTTTATGAGGACACTGAGAAACGCCTCCCCAGCCTTTCCATGTGGGTTGCTCAGCGAGCGAATCCATAGACAAAATTTTCTTGCGGGCACGCCAGTTAGTTTTCTTGCACGATTTCTCCGATGGGTTGGTGCGTAAAAAACGATTGGGAGAACTCGAGTTCGGAGCCGAGATTTGAAGGCCCAACCTGTAGTCCGGGGTCACTAACACTGAACGCCCCACCGGGGAAGTTCGTCTGTGTAGATGGTCCACAAGGACGACGACGATGCACGTGGAGGAGCAAGTCCACTGTTATTGTCTCGTGCATTCGCTCCTTTGTCGGTACTGTCACTGCAGTCAGCAGAGAATGTCTTTGTCTTCTGATGGAGGTACATAATTGTCCTCTTCACTAAAATCGTCACCACTTTGAACCAAATCGAGCAACGAGTTCCTATAAAACTAGCATGGCGCAAACGACGCCATGCTTTTTCCAGCTAGCAGAATTCGAAGCAACCTGCACCTCCACACCTCCGCCGCTCACAAGCACTTCTGCTCTCTATAGAAAAAAGCAAACAAAAAAACTAACTCTAACAGGAATGAAGTGTTCAAATAAAAAAAAAGCCGTTTACAACTCCCTGTAACGCCGAATTGGAGTGCAGCTCTTGAGGAGGAGGGAAGGGCACTGAGGGGAGGGTAGACCCCTCCTCCTCCCCTCATTCTTTAATATGCTCCGGGGGGCCACCTGACCTCGGGGGGGGGGTCACGTGACTTTGGGGGGCAGGGGAGGGGGGGGGTCACGTGACCTCGGGGAGGGGGGGCCAGGTTACCTTGGGGTGACCTTGGTTACGCCGACGCCGCTCAAGCCGGAAACGGGCGCCTAAGAGCTGCGCTCTAAAAACTTCCCAAGAAATGGAGCCACCAGTTCAGTGAAAAAGAATGTAGGAGCAAGTTCGAACGAAGCGGGAGTCGGGTGACTTTTGACAAACCGACTGGAAACGCATTTTTCTGGCTTCTGCAAAGGGTTAAAGAAGCCAAGTTTCCTGTTGAAATACTGGCTGTCCCCCCCTAGTCTTCAGGGAGTTTTTTTGCAAGATCATAATTCTGTTTTTATTGTTAATTCTGTAAAGGGCCCCAGCAGAGCTCTGGTGGTCCTTAAGGTTCATTGCTGTTTTTTTACCCGATAGAGCCACAGTCCTGGCACTGCCTGGTTAACGGGCAAGGAACTAATATACACTTAACATGCTTGGTCCCTTAGGAAGTGCATTTAATGTTTCCGGCTGTGCGGGCTTATTTCGAGTAGAGCTTGGCAGCATGAAGGCACAATTATTTCCTGCCTATAAAGGCGGATCGAGTTTGTTGGCAGATAATTAGGAAAATTAGCAGAATAATGCGATCGTACGCGAAAAAAACGCGAGGAATTAACGAAGTTTGGCGAGAGAAGTAGTGCGCAGTCACCAGTACTTCTCTGCGACGGCGAGGAGGTACCACCCCTCGTCTGCACCCGCTTTTCAAACCAAGCCGCCAAGAATACGTCCGGCACCACCCGCAGCCTCTTTCTCCCCACGGGGGGCCGGCAAGCGAGAGCCCTTATCGGTGTCCGTTCCCCCTCCACGACGCAGCCTGCCTGCTACAGATGCCCCAGTGCGACCACCGCAAGGTGATCACCTACTGCGACCTGGCCCTGGCCGTGGACCCCCGAAACGTGAAGGCCCAGTACCGCAAGGCCGTGGCCCACTACAACCTCGGAAACTACGACGTGGCCGCCGGCATCCTCGCAGACGCCAAGAAGCTGCTCAAGCACCCAGGTGAGCGTGTGTATGAATCATCTGCTTACCGTGAAACGAAACACCGGGCAAGCGTTTGCGTAGAGGTTGGAGATAGTCGCGAAAGAATAGGGATGGGAACCCTTTGAGAGCATAAAATAAGGGGCACAATATAGGGTAGGCCCTATACTTCATTTCACCTTGCGTCCAAGCGCAGCGGATGCTACGAGCTATCGGAGCCAATCCAAGGCTGTGCGAATGTCGCGTGACCTTGGAGAGGGGGCACAGCGACGCGAGGAAAGCGTATCACGGGCTACGTCCACAGAGCGGGATCGGCTAGGACAGCTCGTTGGCGTCCGGACGTAAGGTGAAACGGATATAAATAACAAGCCTTAGTGCCGAATTTTTTTATGTCACCTAGCAAGGGCCAGCACAGGGCCCACATTTGGCACGAGTGCTTCGTTAGCATTTGGCTGGGACTCGCGTTTATTCAGCGGGGACACAAATCAATAACAATGCCAAGATTTTTTTTTTTTTTAGTAGGGCGGCAAGGTGTTTGGTATGTCCATGACTTGGGGTTGGAGTTTTCTGCATTGCAACTGGTCATGGACCATGCAAATAATTTCTAGCCCAGTTGTATGAAGTGTTGGTTATCCTCACTGGCTGCACATGAAGAGGCTGCACATAAAAAAGATGCTGCACATGAAAGAAAAGTGGTCTTCATCGCCTGCACACAAACTGTGAAGCTGCACGCAATATGTTGTGTTACCATTGCTTTCGCCAAAACAGTGGGAAAGGAGTGAATTTCTTTTTTTTATTTACAGCGGTAGTTTTTATGAGTCTTTTTTCACCACTGAAATTGACGTCCGTTGTTAACGTTGTAGTTGGCAATGTAGGGCGTCCGTCGTCAAAGTTGCCAAATCCTGAAAGGTCGCCCGCGAAAATTAAACCTGGATCCGCTGTGTGCAAAGCGGAGACGCTACCAACTGAGCTAATCTACAGCATTAACAAACCCGTCTTAATATAGAGGATTTTGTAGTATCCGATGCCCACTGCAAGTGCTCTCTGGAAAAAAGAAATAGCAGATGACAAAATGCCGTCGTAGCACTGTCATTGCCAAAAGCTCGTGGCGGGGGACGCATTTCGACGCACTCCGGAACAAAAAAGAATGAAAAGTGTTTGGAACAAAATGGAATAAAACAAAAGCATTTAAAGCAAAACAGACAACTGTTTTGGTCAGAACGTTTTCGTTCACGCACTCCACGGTGCGTTCACGCACTCCATGGTGCGTGAACGCGACGACAATGCCTAATGACTTGGCCGAGACGTGTTGCAGCCATCACTGGGACTGTACTGTGAATTAGCACAGAACTGTTCAACATTTTTTTTTTTTTTTTTTTACGTGTGATTGATGTTTTGAACAGACCCGATCTGCAACTAGACCCAAGTGCCACTGCTACAGTGTTCCAAGCCCTGCCTTCTCTCCCTTGCAGATGCCAACATCAACAGGTACCTCGAGCTGTGTGCAGAGAAAGAAAAGCAGTACAACAAGGAGTGTAAAAAGCTGTACGAAAAGATGTTCGACTGATCCCGGAGTCGCAGCTCAGTACCGGTTCAGCGTTTGTCGAGAAGACACAACTCAGCCAAACTGCCACACGCTCAAGTCAAGAGTCTCGACGACACAATTGCTGCCGACGTTCGCTGGGCTCTTTCTGTCGTTGCTTTCGGCATATAGGTAATTTAATTTATGTTAATGCGTGATCTCTTCCTCGCATTTTATTTTTGGTTATCCTTCGAGAGCAGCAGAGCATGATAGACTTTTCAGCGTCTTATCTGCACCAAGTGAGGACAAACTTGCATATTGTGCTTGTTGGTGTGTTTGTGTTTTTAAGCTTTTGTAACCTTTTCGGGTTTACATTATTAAAGGCAATGTGATGAGAAGATATATTTTAATGAGAAGATGAATGTTCCAAAGGGCAGCCTGTGACTCGAAATGTTTGTTCACTTTTAACCCAAAGTGCTACGAAGTCTTGACCTTCTTTCTGGGCGTTTCATCTGCATCTTCATCGTCTGAAAGCAATCACAATAAAGCATGTTCATTAAGATAGTCGGTGCTGGGACTCAAAATTGCTGTCTGCACACAAACGGTAAACCTTTGCCACAAAGTATATTTAAACGTTTAATTTGCCGTACCCACCTGTCAAGCTTAAGGTCGTTTTTGATTTTAGAAACCCTCACCTAAATCTGCGACTTGTTGAAGAAAAAGTAGGACATGCAGCAAGGTGTTATATGTTGCTGGGCAATAGTGACGTACATTTGTGTGTCGGACAGTCGGAAACCCGTTCATTTTGACCGTCGAAGTACGGAGCTGCTACTGTGGTAGGATTCGCACCGTGGACGCGGTACGCCGAAAGAGCCAGTAAGTACAAATCACCACCAGCACCAAAGAATGCTGGCAGCACGTTAAATCAGTTGAACATACCGCAATTTTCGTCGTCGCAGTCACCGGTGGCAGCTTTCGTATTGCCTCCTGCATCGACGAGTTCGGTTAGGTAGACGTTTGCCTCTTTTTGAACCGCAGAAATCGCCGCAATCAGGCAGGAAAGCTTTGATCGGGAGTCAGAGCCGCCTTCGAGTTGTTTTTCGATCTTCCTGAGCGGTTGGGAGCTCCTCGAGAAAACTTCCACCGACACGCCGGCCGACGCCATGTTTGTTGTCGATCGAGGAGATTTTTGGCACCTGTTTTACCTGTGCCCATTTGAATCAGGTGGCACCTTGCGCCATCTAGTTGTTTTCTACCGTTTTATGGTTCAGTTTTGTTGTGTTTGCGATCGGGTGGCGCCAAGCCAAGCCAAGCCTCTCCAGCCCTCTTTCCAGTTTCGGTTTCGAGTTTTTTGGCTTTATTAAAAATATTCGTTACTAGTAAAGTATTGATTGAGTAGCTTTTTGACAATTACTATTCCGTGAAGCAGACTGAGCTGCTGATGACAGTAAAATGTTGGTACGAACAAAACTTGGTAAAATTTCAATCTACGGTTGTTGAGTACAAAGGAGAATGAATGTTCGTTCAAAAGGAGGGCGTGTGAATTGGCTCTTCAATCGCACCAATTTTGTTGGATTTTTTTTAACCCTTTCGATCATCACTTTAGTGATTTTGTAGCATCTTTGCCAAATGCTAATGCAATAGTCCGAAGATTCGTAAATGATATTTTGATCTGTGTCTTTGAGGGAACTTCGGCGCAGGCGATCTAGGAGTGTGTGCTGTGCTGGTACTTTCATGGAGGAGCGGCATATTTGGGATTGGCGCCACGTCGCGGGCGCCCTCCTGTGACGGAGCTGGTAAGATGCGAGCCAAATATCGTATTTGTGCGAGCAGACGACGCGCTATTTCGAAGAACTGAGTTGCTATGTTAGTTCGCATCTGTGCGGATCGAAATCAGTTTATTTATTAAATAAACGTGCACGAAGTTTTTGTGAGTGATCTTTCTAATCCTTCACAGCGCCTCAAAGTTGCTTTAAAAAAATAATTTCAAATGTTCAAAAACAGGTCTCAAGCTTCACATTACAGCTTGCGCGACGTGCGTCAAGGCAATTCACAACCTCTCTAAATCTTCTTCTTTTTTTTTTTTTTTTTGATTTTTGGAGGTTTCTGTATAGAAAGAGGTTTTGCATCCACCAGAGTAGATGACGTGCTGTCATCTTAGCTGTGCACGAGCGCACAGTTGTGTTGCAAAGCGCCGCACATTTGTTTTAGCTGTACTGAGCTTGCCGATACTGACGCTTCTATCCAAGCGTGACTCGACAGTTGCCGACGAGCAAATGCTCGTCAGAAAGTGACGCTTAGCTCCTCCCACATCGAATACGTCGAAAAGAAGTTTGTAACATCGCGACTTTTGCTCTAAAGAAAGGCAGAAATTTTCGTAACTTCTTAAATTGTCGGACATATATGGCCCGGAAAATTCAGGGGATCATTAATTTGTTATATCTCCTTTTTATTAAGAATTGTTTACAAGTTTAAAATCGCTCGCTGAGAAGCGCATCACACATAATTAAGCATACAGGCGGTAGTGATTCATAACAGGTGTATACCTCATTTTTTGGGACGCTGAAGTGTCACCGACGGGAGTTCCGCACGTTTCGCGTTGACCGGGTGAATAAGCAGGAATTCAATTGAGACAACTCCGGAAGCCAGCCACCACTTCTTCCTGACAGTTAATTTGAGGAAGTGTCTGTTTACTGGTTTACAAAATTAAAAAAAAAGGAAATGAACTTGAAACTAATAAAAGACCAGCACTCACAAAACACATTGGTACCAACAGGATGCACAGAGTCGCTTTCACTGAAGTCGACCTCACGCCAGAGGTTCTCGAATTTAGCTTTCCTATTTTCAATTTGATTAGACATTACACCTCGTCAAACTGCAACCGCAGCTTTTTGTCCTGACGTCCTCCCTTTTTGTACCAACCAGAATGGGAAATAAATACATTATTATTATTATTATTATATTCTATTTTCATCAATCAGCTTTTTGTATTGGGGTCGAGAACAGCACACCACCCTCCCAGCGCTTCGACACCTCAGCGTCAAACGTGTTCGTTAGCACGACCACGCGTGCCACGGTTTCAAGCTTTGTTAAAATGTCCTACTGCAAATATCACTTCACCAAATCAACACATCACGTGAAATAGGCACTGTTGCGCGTTACCCAAACAGCGCATGAAGCGAACTGACGAGCCGAGGGATTCAAGATCTGCACGGTCTGTCCCGTTGGTCTGTCCCAGACTGTCCTACCCGTGACGTCACAAACGCTGATGATGATAGCTAGAGAAGCGACCGCTGTAGTTCGCGCACGCCGCCAAGTGGTCTCTGCTAAAGAAACTGGAAAGAAGCGGTAAAGTTGTTACTGGTCACCGACAGCTGTATGGCCGATAGTTGCCATTCGAAAACCGTGAAGAGAGCTGTGGTCGCATGCAAAAAGTCCTGTGTACATTAGATGGAGCTTGCTTTACATGGATGGATGGATGGATGAATTCGGCTGAGCCCTTTGGATCGGGCGGTAGCTTACGCCACCTAGCCATTTTGTTTTACCATTTAAGCTTAGAATATTTAAATGTGAAAACTATATTCACTCCTCACAGCAAAGAAAGCGAGGCTATAAAACCCCCTTGCCGTCAGTTAATAAGAAAATACCTAGATTTCTCTCGCTTTCTGCCACCATTCACTTAATCTTTGCTTGGTAATCTCTACTGTCTTGAAGTCCACTCCTCCTTCGCTGTCTCGAAAACCCAATGACTTTATTAAATCGATGTTGTCTTTCGTAGGCATAGGGTGAAGCCCTTTACAGTAGAGTATCAAGTGTTCAACCGTTTCGTCCTCTTCTCCACAAGCAGTGCACACTGTATCCATTTCCTGGTACCTCGCTCTGTATGTTCTGGTTCGCAGAACACCCGTCCTCGCCTCAAACAACAATGAGCTTCCCCTAGAATTGTCATATATGCTTTCTTTGGCAATGAATGCTTTGTTTAATCTATAGCTTTCCAGAGCCGTCTTTGTTTGCATTCCCTCTAGCCCCCGATCCCTTTCTGTGGCCTTAACTTTCTTCTTAACTGAGACCTGCTCCACTTTGTGCCTATACCCCTCATGTGTAAACAGCTGAAGACCTTTCGTGCCCATTGCTCCCCATCCATTTGTCTCACCCGATCATCAAATTCTATCTTGCTCACCACTCCCTGGTTTGGCGTTTTGCAATGCGAAATGTAGCGCGCCATCTAGTAGAACTACGTCCGCCATCTTGGTAGCGGCGAGAAAACGAAACCAGTGACCTGACCGCGCTTCGTGCGAGAGATGCGATGCCAACGCGTTGCTGCGTTCCGCTGCGGATGCAACTCGTACGTGACGTGAACGCAAACGTAAACAGGGTTCACAATTTTTTGCAAATTTTTTCTTATTCTTATTTGTTACTTGAGACGCAGCTTTTGACAAAAACAATCGGTGACAACGCGAAGAAACATGCGGACGTTACAGCGCGGCATGAAGCCATTTACTGCTATTGAACTGGGCCCCTAATCTTTTCACGAAGTTGTACCAAATTTGTCTTTGTACCTTTTTTCTTCTTTTACGCACGTTGCAGCGTCGGCTGAAAGTTGAAAGCACCACAAAGCCCTCATTTTAATGTCATATATATTTATTAAAAAAAATAATTACTTTGGAAAGCTAGAAAACACCCAAATTGCTTTACAGTGATTTTTGCTGTCTTTTTTTGTCGCACGCGACGTTCAATTACATCGAACGTGTCATTCGACTTAGGTTCATCGCAGTGGCTAAAACTTCGATGTCTGCGGCGGCGAGAACTTGCGTTGCGGACGTCAAATGGAGCAATACGGGTGGTGCCAACTTCACTTTACAATCTCTATTTCTCTCTCTGTGTGTGTGTGTGTGTGTGTTTTTTTTTTTTTTTTTTTTTTTGTCGCAGACGAGGTAAATTTTTTTGTTTAATGCAAAAAAGTTCGGGGAGTAGTTTTGAGAAGGTCAATGCAGTAACCCCGATTTTCTGGCAAACAATAAACTCCTAAAAACACCCTCCGAAGTTTCCTAAAAATAAACTCTGAAAACTCAAAACTCTTTTTTATAACTGTGGAAAAAGCTCAGTCAAAACGCTACTTCAAACGTCCGGTATTTTTTCCCTTTTTCTTTTTAATGTTGCAAGCTTTTATTTTTCCTTTTTTTTTATTTGAAACTTGTAATTGAGGCTTTTTGTAATTCTGTTGTTCTGTCGTCTATATATGAGTATGTTGAAATTATGTTTCGTGAATGCTTGAAATGTATATATTCAAGAAATCATTTATGCTTTTTTTATTCTCCGGAATGGTATCGACAAAGAGACCGCATCTGTTATGCGGCATAGAGAGCAATAGGTTTTTCTGATCGTTGGTTCAAATATGAAGCGCTACATATTGCAACGTGCCCCCTCCTAGTACTTATAACCTCCTTGGTTAGCACGGCGGAAGGTCTGCGCCATGTTGGATTTTGAGCGGCTTCGCCTTCGCAAGCGGCTAAAAAGCCGCTCAAGCTACCTGGACGGCAAAACGTTAGCGCTCCATCTAATGATCATGGTCAGAGCACAGTTCAAAAGCTCGGGCACGTACAACCAAGAACACACCTACTGAAAGCTCAAGTCACGGCACATTCACCGCACTTTATTGATGTTGCCGATGAAAGACCACGTACAGACGATTGCCATGATGTCGCGCTTTGATTCTGTTTCATTCGTCCTATTGGTTCGTAGCGTCGGCTTGCGTCTGGATTTAAGGCGAAACGAAGCATAAAGATTGCTCGTCAACTGTGCTGGCCGGTCGATGCACTGGTCAATGGATCGCCGACATCGTCTAAGTTTCCACACGATGTCGCCAATGTTGAGGAGAAAAAAAAAGTGAAAGCCGTTTACAACTCCCTGTAACATCGAATCAGAGCGCAGCTCTTGAGGAGGAGGAGGGAAGGGTACTGAGGGGAGGGTAGACCCCTCCTCCTCCTCCTTCTCCTCCCCTCATTCTTTAATATGCTCCGGGGGGTCACCTGCCCTCGGGGGGAGGGGGGGGGGGAGAGAGGTGTCGCGTGACTTGGGGGGGGGGGGTCACCAGACCTTGGGGGGGTCACGTAAGGGTCACCTTGGGGGTTACGTGACCTTGATGTGACCTTGGGGTGACACGTGACCTTGGGGTGACCTTGGGAGGGGTCACGGGACCTTGGGGTGACCTTGGTTACGCCGACGGCGACGCCGCTCAAGCCGGAAACGGGCGCCTAAGAGCTGCGCTCTAAAATTCGAGGATGGCGGCTACTATGAAAAGACAGAACCAGGTTCCTGTACACCTGGTTCAATCAATTAATTACCATGGCTGCCACATGCTTCCGTGTCGTGGTAACAGTGTACCATGGCACTTGCGTCGCTCGCGTGAACCTTCACCGCCTCTCAGCAGCCTGCACGCGTGGAGCTTCACCGGTTTGCACCGGAGTGCTAGGAGCAGCGGCTGACACGGGGGAGCGCCTGGCTTAGCGCGATAGGCAGGCACATTATGGTCAGGATATGATTACGGGTCTACCTTTTTTGGTCGTGATTGTAGGTTGACCTCTCATTTTAAGAAAATCAGTGCCGATAAAAATTAAGAAACGCTGGTCTTATTTGAATAGATAAGATAATCAATGAGTTCCCATATCGAAAGAGCAGCAAACTTTGACTTCAACGCCATTTCAACGATCGTTTCGGGGAGTGAAGAGTTTTTCCTACATTTTTATCAATTTAGTGAGGAAACTGAGCAGATGCATGGTTCGCGTGACATCAATTTCCCCCCCCCCCCCCCCCCCCCCCCCCCCCCAAATTTAGCAGGGAAACTGAAATAGTGTATAGTTTACGTGACGTCAATTTTTTTGCCAAGTTTAGTGGGAACATGAATTAACATATAGCTTTAGTAACGTCCGGTCACGTGCGCGACATCAATTTTCCTTCTAAATTTATCGGGGGAACTGAATTTGATGTTTAGGTCACGTGCTGTCAATTTCTTCGTTAAATTTAGAGGGAAATGCACGGGCGGACAAACAGACAACATTTTGGGATTAAGGGTTCTGTTAAAAAAAAAAAAAAATTCCTGCTTTAAATTTATTACAATAGGCTTTAAGAATTATTGGAACACCATTCCCCAATTTTCTTGTGGGCGCCGCCATCTTGGCGCTTAGTGCAGATTGGACAGGATTGGATCGCCAGAACGGGCGCAACTGGCGATTGTTGCGATTAAAAAAATGTTAATTTCTGATTTTTAGAAATGATGCCAGGGACCTCAGGCGATATCGTTTTGGCAACCATGATTCGTACGCACCAAGATGTCTGATGCGTGGTTCCTCTGAAGCGTCTAGCTCACATAAAAATTAAAATAGTAGAACGTCCAGCCAAACCCTAATTACGTACCTAACGTTTCGAGGGCATACTCGACCTTTTTTTCAGGAGGATGACTGTGGCAACGGATGTTGAGAATCAGTATTTTTGTTTTGTTTATTTGCTTTGTTTCGGATTCCATGGTGGTGCTGTTTCCTTGGGTTAGTGCTACCGCGAAGCCCGTTGACGTAGACGGATGGCAAAGCGCCGAGGGGCCTATTGATGTTTCTGGCGTAGTTTGAATGTGCCATGATTCCGAAAACAGTCTTTGTCGATGGCTATAGATTCAATGCTAAGGATGAAGTCAAAGATTCAACACTGGCCCACGACACCGCAGTGTTCAGCGACCGCGCTGCGCTCGTGATAAAAGTTAAGAACGCAGTTTTGGTGCTGGCGGATCCTGTGTCGATAGTTCTTTGTCTTTGTAGACAAAGGCAATATATATATATATATATATATATATATATATATATATATATATATATATATATATATATATATATATATATATATATATATATATATATATATATATATATATATATATATATATATATATATATATATATATCGTAAAAAGGAGGTAAATGCTTTAAAACGTAATATATATATATATATATCTTTCTCAGGTTGTTTAGCACGGTATATCGCAAGGTCGAAATACCTCACGAGAAAAGCAGGAAAAGAGGAGGAGGAGCAGAGGACGAGGGGAGGAGCATGGGAGGAGGAGAGGGTACGGATGAGGAGGAGGGGCATACCCTCCCCTCAGTACCGTCCCCTCCTTCTCATCAAGAGCTGCGCTCTAATTTGGCGTTACAGGAAGTTGTAAACGTCTTTCATTTTTTATAGTAAAAGAATGCCAATAATTTACATTGTAGTCATGTTATAACTCTCCAGGTCCTGGCACAGACGCGCTCCGCCTTCTAACACTGGGTGACGGCGACAACGAAGGCGTGGCAGGCAGGACTATCCGCCATGTCTCTCCGCTCGTCACGGGAAGTCAGCGGCTGAGTAGAAACAACCACAAAGAGGCTAAAATCCTGAGCTTGCTTTCATAGAAATTGTTCTTTATTCCACATCTGAACTTTGAAGACATATACAGGGTGTTTCAGAAAACGCAGGCCAAATCGCTGCTGCGAAAACTAAGCATCGCACAGAAAAAATGTTGATGCCGTGTTGGTGTCTGCCCAAGAGCCCATTTTGAAAAAAATAATAACGTTTATAAAAAGAAATAGTTTTTTTCTAAGTTTTTTAGAAAGTTACTTTTTATTTGTTCATTTGAAGGCCATAGTTTCAATTAGAAACTTACTGGGCATGATCAATAACCCCTATATCAACCCTTTTTTAGAAAAGAATAATGCATGCCGAGCATTTTACCGTGTTTTGAAAAACCCTTCTGACGCGTACTCTGGCTTCGGGTTCTTATCCAAGCGCATCTTGGCGACAGCTGCCTCCGAAGGCTGAAGCGCGGAACCGAAGTCAGCCCAAAAGTCAAAGCTCAATCTTGCAATGTCATGCTCTTTCGAACAGCGAGGCGTTCCTTGTCGCCTGACCAGGGGCCCTAATCTGGACACTTGGCGGAAAAGTCGGCGAGAAATTCGGCGGCTATGATTGGCCGGCGCCAAGGTCAAGTGTGGCATTGGTCAATAGCGACCGCTAGATTTCTCGCCGTCGTTTTCGCCACGCGTCCAGCTTAGGGCTTCAGGGGCCCTAAGCTGGACGCTTGGCGGAATCAACGGCGAGAAATTTGGCGGCCGCGATTGGCCAACGCCACACTTGACCTTGGCACCGGCCAACCATATCCGCCGAATTTCTCGCCGACTTCTCCGCCAAGTGTCCAGATTAGGGCCCCAGGCGCGCGCGCTACACTTTGTTTTTTTACGAGAGAGGGAAGGGGGACGGGCGGGCGGGCGGGCGAGACTTTACTTCGTTTCACCTTATTTCCGAGCGCGGACGATGTTATGCGCCGAAGGACCAATCAAACAGCGTAAAAAGCGCAACGTCATGGCGTGCTCTCTGCGCTTGACTAGCCGGCGGAGGAGCAGTGCACAGAGAGACGGCGAATACCGGCTGGTATCACCAACTGCAGAGAGCACGCCATGACGTTGTGCTTCTTTCGCTGCTTGATTGGCCCTTCGGCTCATAACATCGGTGGCGAATTGTCTGGCTTTGGTTTTGCGCTTCGGCATATACAGCTCTGGCGTGCGTATCAGTGTGGCAAGAAGCACGCACTGCTAACCACGTCGGGGTCATCTGCCACGAGCTTTCCAACTGGCTCCTGGTTGGATCAACCTTTTGCGTCCTTCGAACTATCGCACAACACACACACCCGAACATTTCGTAACGCCTTATCTCTGTCTGTGTCAAGCAAGGATAACCGATGTGATCCACGGGTGCCGCAATCATTAATATTGAACTTTTGTGTATGTTGAACTATTCTGAATAGTTCAACCTTGTCTTCGTTCCTCTCCCAAATCGGTTAGAAAAGTAAATGGTTGTTGTACGTGTGAGTTGCATCTTGATTGTATATTATGCATTCTATATTCGCGAGTGTTTTCCGATGGGATTGGATGAGCGAGTCACTTTGCTTGTCTGTGTCGCGTTGCAGCAAGGCACTGCCGAGATTTTGAACTGTGTATAACGGCACTATTTTCTTTTTTTTCAGATATGTACAGTTTCACTCCTGCTATCGCCTCCACGAGGTGAGCAGTATTACTAAATAAATAAAAACCTAGCACGTGTCCCTGAGTAGAGACAGGGAGGAGGAGGGTAGCGCAGTTGCCCGCGTGCGTGTCCATCGTCGCCCCCAAGGTCGCCCCTGCGCTCTGCTACAACCGGTTCTGTATACAGGCTGTTCCCGGCATTCCTTTCGGCGCTGCGGGTGGCGCTGCGAGCTTTGCAAAATAAATAGGTTCAAACCCGGATGACGCTTTCTTTGTTCTTGCAAAAGCTTTTTTTAAGGTAAGGGCGAGGTAAAGGCCTTGAAGTTTACAACACGGTACGTCTGCGTGGTTTTAAACCTCGGATACTGTTTGGTTTGGCCGCTCTTGGAGGGGCCCAATAGGCGACCCAGGTTGAAACCGTTGTTGTACTTCTTTAAAATCGCCTCGTAGAGTGCCCAGATGTTCGAGGGTTTCTCAATCAGCACGCCGGCCCCTGGCCAGCCAAGTTCTTTCTTCGACGCCGGTCGGTTGCCGTATAGCGCCTTCACCGGTGGGAAGGAGATGGATGCGTAGTAGTACTCCACGTCCAGAGAAGTCACCCTCAGCGAGGCATCGGGATGTCGGGTTTGCATCAGCTCGTAGGCTACCCGGCAAAACTGGAAAAAGAGACGGAAACACCATTTCGATGAGGATGCATTCTTCACCGCTCACTTACGGTAAATGACCCACATATCCGCAAAAAATCCTCCCCTTTCGGCGTTGACAGATTGCGTCTGAGAGAACACAGGCGCGTTGCGCTGTTCTTCTAGAGATCTACTCAAAAGTGAGGCAATAACGTTCTCGTACAACAGAAAAGCGTGACTATGATATAGACCGCCACGCGGAACGGCTCTGTTTACCAACACGGCCGGAAGGCCGCGCATGCGCTGAAGATATATGTGGGCAAAAGCGGCCAGGCTCTCCGTGTTTTCGCCACTGCGTTGTATGGCGTGCGCTCGCTGTTGACGTTGTAGGGACGCTTTTAGCTTTATTTGTGCGTCGTATTTCCTGACAACGTATGTCGTATGCTATGCTCGACTATTTGAGCTCACTACTTGAGCCTGAACGGCAACGGTATCGAAACAAACTGTGCGTGGACGGCGTTACTTTCGAGGATCCGTACGCCGCAAACAAAACCTGCTGGAGTTCCGACGCGAAGTTTCTGCCACCGACGTCGGTGGCTCACGTCGCCGTTTATTTAGTTTTTTCGCCAAGGCAGTTCACGGCCGACAAGGTGCAGGCGTACAAATCTCTCGAGGCCTATACGATTACTTCGAGTAGGTTTCCGCACTGCCGGCGGGATCAGCAGACTGTGGGTCTACGGGAGTGTATTTATTAATTGATTAAATACACACAGCGTCTTCGAGTCAAGGTATGATATTTTTCCTACCTTCATGACCACGAGGCATGACAAGCAGTAACGCTTTGTCCGTTCTGCAGTCTTGGCGGTAACACCTATACCCACGCGGTTATGTTTTTATTTTCTTAGTGCACAGAAGCTTGGCATTGCACTTGCTTGCACCAGCAGAGGAAGTTGAAGTATCCCCACTCTGGGTTGTGAAAAAATTCCACCAGGAGGCAATACCCAAATTTCTCACCGCGGGTCTAGAACACTGTACCGCGGGTGTTCACTGGACGCCATATTTGAGGGCGATGTTTAGAGCCCGTGCTCCGAAGGAGTGGCAATGTCGACGGTGCCAAATGCAAGTTGCAAAAGAACTGTGGACGCTCGTTGTCAGCACGCGCTCAGCAACCGCGCACAGAGCTATGACTGTCAGTGAATACAGCGTCACCTCGTGCTTGACTTTAGGGAAAAACAGAAAAGAGCAGCTGACGATCAAAGAGACGCTTGAAACGCTCTCCACCTGGTATAGCGCTTTAACCGTCTCTCCTTCGCCACGAAGGAAGAACGTCGAAAACTGCACCTGGTGACACCAACAGCGCGTCGCATGCGCACCCCGCTCCTTGGCCGCTGTTATGGCGGCCAAGAAGCCCCAGTCGCAGTCGTAATATTGTCCAAAACGTTCGAAGCTACTAACAATAGAAGCATGTAAGTTCAAAGTAAAACTATTTCCTCCTGGTACACACATACCGAATGTATCAATAGTGTGCTAGTTAGCAGGTCTTGTGAATCCTAACAGCTGGGCCGCGATATTACTTTATGCAAAGACGACGATAGCCTTGACGATGCACTTTTGGAACTGCTTGATTGGCTTCCTTGGGCCGTATACCGTCGGCTGAGGACGGACATGGGTGTCTCAACGAATTAAGAAAGTACACTATCGGTATTTAACGCACTCCGAACTTGGCAGCAATATTCCGATAAACGACGGTGACCGCAAGAGCAGCAATACGGATCGAACAGGGTTCACTCACCCCAGAGGACAATGTGCAGACCAGAAAGTCCGACTCGGCCAGCAGGGTGATGTCGAGCATCACGCCCAAGAGCGCCGAGTTGTTTCGTCTGGTGATCCTGGTTTGTGCCTGCTGGGAAGACACCTCGTTGTTGATCACCTCGTACTGGGGATATCTGTGGCACCAGAAGAAGCATGTTGCATCATGTCGCCTGCTCGCGGTACTGGGCAGCACATTCAAACGTCGCGCCCCTAGTGGCCAAGTGGAGAAACTAACCCGCGGGACGGCAAGCACATAATTCATTTGTGTTTGGGACGCAGCGCGTGACGGCGGCGTCGCGTGAACTTGACGTTACAGTGTCACGTGACTTGACGTCGTATTACAGCAGGTCATGTGACGTCATCGCGTCAATTAACATCTAAACTTGGTACAGGTGGTGCCAATGCACTCCCCAAAACAATTGTTTAATGTCTTGTGAACAAATGTATTCTGGCTCCTTAAATACAACATTTTATGCATCATATATAACTTTAAAGATGAGAGGCTCTAGTAATCTCCTTCAATTCTATAATCCTGGCTGTGAACAGATCAATGTAGTCATAGGCGTAGAGAGAGCATCGGGGCTCGTGCCCCCCTGGTAAAATCCCGGGGGCGGGAGGGGGAAAGAAGCGGAGCACCCCCCCCCCCCCCCCCCCCCCCCCCCCTTTTCCCGGGTTCGGGCCATGATTCTTACCGAGACGCTGTTCACGTGCCATGTAACGAGTTTCTAGTACCACATTGCCTTTATTGACAAAATACATGAAAAATGGAATCCCGGCGTGCTTTCGCGGGGGGGATTTTCTGCTTGCGCGGAAAAGCACCCCCCCCCAGGGTAAATGGAAAGTCTACGCCGCTGAATCTAGTTAGAAACTGAGAGAGAGGGAAAGATGGAGAGCGCAGCAGGGCAGTGCGCAGGCGAGCTGGTGGAAGTTTATCTCTGTCATTTATCAGCTCTGCGGCGTAGCCGATCCGAACACAAGGCGTTTCAATGAAATCGTTTAGCTGGGTTAGAGACGCGTTTGTCTTTATTTTTTTCTTCAACTGTAAAAATCTTTTCCTCCTCCTGCTCCAGTTTCGGGTTAAGGTCATAATAAGCTTACCATTTGCGGCGATAATTATACCACTCCTATCTGTCTCGAGATGTCATACTATCCGCATTTTCGTCTCGCATTTTTTACAGCGAAGCCGTTTCTGGCTAAGGTTCCGTGGATCTTTCGTCTGCGTGACTAAAAACTCTACGCACGCACCACCGCACGCGCACGCCTTCCCGGTATAAAAGATTCGAAGTAAAGAACCAAAAATAAAGCGTTGACGAATGCGCGAGCAAGATGCCAATTGTTTTAGGCTTTTCCTTTAGAACAGTTACTACTGGCAGACGCCAGTTCGGGGTCCATATCACATGAGCCCGCGAATGACGTTTTAGCGAACAGCGACATTTGAGCGAATCGACGTTTTAGCGAAAAACGGGGCCGCGCGTTCAGCCGCGCTGCGCTTTACGCCGCTTCGCGGCGACAGTCTGCGGCGGCTCATTATAAAAATGTGAACCCATTTGGCCCACCCGAAAACGCCGCTTCGCGGCGTCCGACTATTCGCTAAAGTGTCGTTCGGTGAAACGTGGGCGTTCGCTAAAACGTCATTCGATCGAGTGAGTGCGTCCCGACTCCCGAGAAGCAACGCGCCGACGAAGAGCAACGGCGGGAACGCGGCAACGAGAATAGAGAGTTTTAGAATGGAAGGCTCCAACGTGTCGGTTCCCTGAAAAACTGGGGGACCCAAACGTAACTAGTTTGGCGACGACAGCTTACAGAAATCATGTTTAGAACGCTCCGCAGCGCGCTTACGTTTCCCGCTTGCAGCGCCAATGCGGCTAACGAACGTTATAATCAAAAAAGAAAAATATTAAAAAAAAACGTAAAACATCTGCGCTTAGCAAGCATTTTTTGTTTACAAAAATTAGTTCAGCTGAAACCAAATGAAGCCGGCTAAACCGAGATACGATCAGTATAAATGTTGTTGGCTGTATTGAGCCAAAATAGTCCAATCCGTAGCACACTCGCTCGTTCTCGTTTTTGGCGTTCGTGCGGCACGTTCACCGTGTCGCCGAAGATTTGGGCCTTCAACTATGCCGAAACAGACGGACGCGAGCGAGCTTACTACTCTGCGAGCAGCTGCTCTATATCGATCTGAACTGTAGTGATTCTGAAGCCTTGCGAGAATAGTTTTCAAGTTACAGGCTTCGTGTCACGAACGAAATCAACTCGGAGCCTCGGAGATAGCGATACGATGCTATGCCAACGGTTTCCGGGTCTTTTTAGGCTTAGAAACGGCCGGAATCCGAAGATGATCTTTAAAATGGGGCGAGCCCACCGCTCATTCTTTGCGACTTCCGTGAGATTAAGCGAAGAGAAAGCCGGGGGCTGCACCATTCATTGGCAATGAACCTGGTTAATACTGCCGCGACCATGACGAATTTGCTCCGAAGTGAGGGGGAAGGACGCCGCCATGTTTGCCGACGAAACCCGGCCCAAGGAAATGGGGGCCCAACGCTATTTCTCGAATTTTGCGTTAGGGGCGAGCGCCAACCCAAAACTCAGTTTGGGCTGGGCGCATGCGCAGTGGGAGGCACCTATTTCTTTGGGGCCCCCATACTTTGGGGAGAAGCTCCTCCCACAAGCGTGATACGCCCGTTTCAAATTCCTCCGCAGTCGAAAGAAGAGAAGAAGCGACCTTTGTATTCATCGGAGGGGGAACCGAGCCCTTGAAAGCAGCCTTTGTATCTATCAGAGGGGGAAGCTAATCCCCGAAAGTCGTATTTGTTTCCATCGGAGGGGGAAAACTCTAATCTCCCTCTCGTGGCTTCTACAATGCTAAGTCAAAGTCGAAGGATAAAGCAAATGTGTACTGGAAGGCAAGACCCTCCTCGCGCGTTGGCCGCGACATCATGGAAACGATGGGACGCCATTGGATGCGGAGGTGGCGGAGGAATACATGATGCGCTTTGGGAGGGGCATTTGCCGCTACTTTCTTGACCTGTAACTTGCTAATGTCAGAGGCGGCGGCGGGCGGCAGACACCACTGATGAAGATCGTGCCAGACAAAACGACGAACCTCGCAAAACAAAAAAAAAAAAAAAAAAACGGAAAAAAAAAATTGTGTCACGTTTTTGTCATGAGCTAAACAGCTTCGTGGTCATCCACTCTCAGAAAGTGGAATGGCTCAAGATTGTTTTTTCTGACTAATTATCGATGATAACAATAATCTCACAAAGTAATATTACTGCGCGCCGTTAAAAAATATTTCTGTTTGAAACATTTTTTATATCTAGCATTTTATCTAATCAAACAAGTTTTGAATATCAAACGTCTTTACGATGGTTCGTTCACGCTGGAAGTTTTTTTTTTTTCTTTTGCCGTACCGCGCACGAGGCGCTCGATCACCTTCTGCGCAGTAAAATATGTTTCTATATAGATTTAGTTTTAGCTTGTCAGGCGCGTTTTTGTTCGCTAAAATTTGTTTGCACTAGCGCCACTAAATAAGCTACGCTTCAGAGTAACGACACTTGCCTATCTTGTGGGTTAAAATCGTGGTTGCCAGCTATCTGAAGCTTTATCTGAAATCACAGGAAACACCTTTTCGCCCTCCAAAAATGTTTCAACAGTTCGCAACAGAGCAAGGCAATATTACGAGAGCTTCCTAACATCGAATCAAATGCTGAGGAAGTCCCACTTTTGAATCATGACGATCGGAAGTTGCGTCTGCTCTGCGTACGAGTGCATCGTCAATGGCGGCGCCAGAACAATGTCGGGGAACGGAGTGCCGATACTCTAAGCGCAGTTTAGTGGCTCCAGTTTGCACTACAGCAAATCCACGTGCGATTCGCTCACTTCCATACCGTACCGCGGCGTCCGTTGGCCAACGTCCGTGACCTTACCGGAGGGGCACTACTTCCTTGTGCTCTAGGCGGTGTCGGCGAAACGCGCTTCGACGCAGGAATCTACCAAATACACCTGGAGCCGGACTTCGTCGGCCTCATGCAGTCCTGCCGTGACGACGGCGGTGGCGAGGTCGCGAACCGCCGCAGAACAAATGGACCGGCAACAGGCACACCATAGGCAGGTGGCGTGTGACGTCAAGCCTGACGAACACCGACGTCAAAGAAAAGCAGATCAGGGGTTTTTCTCGTGGATGTCCAAACAGACGACGGACTGCCGGACTCTTCACGTGGCGGAGAAGTGTCCCTTCACGCGTTCTGAAATATCCTGTATCTGGACACCCCTTTAGAACGCGGAACCGAGCTCGTTCGACGAGTGCAGTGGAGACAAAGGCCTTGTAGACTACCCACAGATCATTCCAACCAGACCCCGGTATTTCGACATGCCCGAACGCTCTGGTCTCCTCCTCACCCTTCGTTTCGACCCGCACAAAGATTATGAGCTGTCTTACTTTGTCCGGATCTCGTCCACGACACGGGGTTCGTCCGTCGCCACAAACACCCTCTTCTTTTCGACGTGCCTCGTCAGAGAGACCTCGGCGTAGTAATCCTCCACCCGGACCATGTACTCTTGGACGTCGTGAAAGGCTGCCTCCGTGTGCTTGTCCGTCCTCCTGATGTGCACTCTGGGGAAATTTCTAGGATCAGATGTAGTCCGGTGAAACTCACGAGGGTAGGGTGAGGGAAAGAAAGGCCGGGGAAGAGGAGGAAGCAGACGGAACGCCTCTCTTTAGCCTTTCGTCTGCTACCTCCTCCCGGGCTTCCTTCCCCTCACCCTACCTTCTTGAGTTGCGACGGACTATGTTGCTCGTTATGTCAAATAAGAGAGTTGCGCCCATTCTACGTGGGTGCCAACACCAAATGGATCACAAGGCTTTAGTCCTGAACTTCATACGTCGATGTAGATGGGGCGTGTATCGGACTCTATATAGTGCTGCGTGAGCGTATGGCTAAAACTAGGTTTCAATCGGTCAGAACACGAGTCCATGTCGAACACTGACGCAGCGCTCGTATTCAATACGGGGCGTGCGCTGGCCGTCAGTAGGTGACACGCGTTTCGTTTCGGCTTGCTTCCAGCCACAGCCGACGCCAGGCGAAAATCAGTCCACTTCCATTTGGATTATGGAACTAAAAATGAGGCAGTCCAGCTGCATTCCAGCTGGGTCCAGCTGGGTCCAGCCGGGTCCAATTGGAATCCAGCTGGACTGCCTCATTTCCAGAGTCCATAATCCAGCTGAAAGTGGACTGATTTCCTCCTGGGACGCTACGATGTAATGGGACCGATCAAAGAGCGTCAAAAATGCAAAACACCGAGCCTTTTCTGCTTATGATCGGTCCAGCGATGAGAGAGCACGTCTACAGAAACATATGACAAACACCGCTGCGCTTTTGACACTCTCTGAGTCGTCTCATCGGCACGTAGCGTCGATTGCGCCTGTACTAAGCTTAAACAAAGGATACAAAATTCTGCCGTACGACTTTTTTGTGGTGTTGCTAGGGTAATCAATCAGAAAATGACATCACCAACTAATCGTCTTGGTGTCCCTTTTTTATCGGATGAAGTTTGACACGTAGGGGTTCACACGCTCCTGAAGCTTCGAACAAACTGTGGCGCCCTCATTTCGGGTAGTACACAAGGCCACCAGACTGGGCCTCGCTCAACTTTTGGCGACTTCACTGAACGTTTTTCTTTGCTGAAGGACGGAAAAACACCTTTCCTTTCGACGTCCGAAGTCGGCTATAGATTCAACGCCAAAAGACAACCGAAAGTGCCAGATTCATGGCACCGCAGTTAGGATACGCTTATTTCCTTATCCCTGGGCGGTGCTGTCAAAACATCAAGCGTTCCGACGCTTTTTTTTTTAACACATGATTTTATGAAACGGCGTCTCTTCGGCTCGCGTTCTTAGCTTTGACGTGTGCTTCGGTAGTGCTCGAGTTTTTGTTGTTTCTTTGTATTTTCCTCGTGATCGCGTTCCGCACCAGAGCAGGCACGCTTCTACATGTGTGAGACGCTCAACATTGCACTACCCAAGACAAGCCTTAACAAGTCTCTTTTCGCAACGCCCCCTGGGCAACGCAGGATCCCTGTATCGCAGTGAAGCAAAAGCGACACCGTGTCTTAATTTCTCAAATAAATCTGTCCTCGTTCACTTGTTTGTATAATTCTTGATCCCGCATGATCTCAAAAGACACGGCAACCGATGCCTGGGTGCATTTTTCTTTAATCTTAAAAATGGTTATATATCGGCGCGCTTTTATTTGTCGAATTTTAATTTATACTGCTTTTCAGGAGCCCTGGTATATATGATAATAACATTGATCCTTACCCAACGATAGGGTGCTTGTATCCAGTGGACGTCTTGAAGTCCGTGATTTTTTTTAACGCCGTGGTTTGGAGCCTGAGTATGTAGCTCATGAGCTGTCCGTACCACCAGGCGAAGGGGCTTCCGTGATTTGCCACCAGGGGTTCGGCGATGGCCGATGGAATGTCAACGATGTCCTCCTTAACCTTACTCACTGCACAAATGTTTTAATTTTTTAATAAAGTGTCAATTTCATTGTTTATACAGCAATGTTTATGACCCCCCCCCCCCCTTTTTTTTGTTTTTGTTGTTGGACACGTTTGGAAGTACTAGGGTTGCTAAATTGATCGAAATCACGGAAGATATATCCAATGGCCCAATTCTAGCAATGCCAATCTTTCTGGTAGATGTGAGTGGTCCTCAAAAAGGTCTCCAAACGTTTTGGCTAACAGGCCTGATTGAAGACATGCCGCAGTCACGAGGGCCGGAAAGTGAATACTACACTATATATAAAGGAGGAAATACTAAATAAATATGCCTAAATAAGAATTCAAATACAGAAAATCAGACAAGAGCAATAATTTAAACGTAAGGTGGGTGAATATGTATAGTTCAATATTTTTAACGCAACATTTGATGATATTTAAATTACAAAATCGTTGTGACTCAGAGAACTGACTAGACATAAATAAAAGCATAGAAACTTTGGCATATTCACAGCGGGCAGAAGGCTAACACGAGTTGTCGATCTGGTGACGTAGAATGCAGAAGTTATGTTATGACAGTAAGCACGATATACAGAGGACGCGAAGGAATTTTTTCACATGCTACGCAGGCATGAAGCAGGGAACTACGACTAATAATGCTGGCGATCACAATGAGCAATAATAAACAAAATGGCGAGAGAACCCGCGTTCTGAGGCAATTTTAAAGCATGTATTGCTTTTGAACGCTACCCCCAATCCCAAACTTTTGTGCGCTCGCCCGTTCGTGCATTTTTCGCTAAATTTAGCGAGAAAAGTGGCGTCACGTGACCTCGTGGAATTTGATGGCAAGTGACGTATACGTCAACTCAGTTTCCCCGCTACATTTAGAGGGAAAATTAATGTCGAGTGGCCAAACCGTCAATTCAGTTATTCCGCTAAATTTAGCAGGAAATTGTTACGTGTCCTATACACTAATTCTGTTAGAAACTAAATTTAGCGGGAAAATTCACGTCTTGTAAGCTAAACTCCAATCCAGCAGTTTCCCCGCTAAATTTAGCGGGGGAAATCGACGCACGTGACCTGATGTCACGTGACCTGATGCCACGTGACCTGTACAACCATTCAGTTTCCCCGCTAAATTTAGCGGGGAAATATACGACACTTGACACGCCAATTTCCTCACCCCCTCCCTCTCCCCCCTTCCCCCTGCTATTCTCTCGACATCCTTCCGCCCTCCCAGATAACTTCGGTCAGGGTTCTCAAACTCATTTGATGTCGGGGGCCATGGTACCCCACCCGCGAAAGTTCGAGGGTCAATCTAAAGAGGGGGGATTTTTATGGAGGACAGACTTTATGTTCTTGCTTCTGACATCTGTAGGTTTGATTCGTTTTGAAGACTACGTTAGGCTCTAATTACCTGGTGTGATAGCAAGAATTAAAATGACACCGCCTCGCCATATTGCTGATATTTTTCGTGCAGAACAAAAGAGTACGCTCGATTGCTCGTTGCTCAATTCAAATAAAAAGTTTTTTTTTTTTTATTTTCTTTTTTAAAACAAGATAGTACGCACATTTGCCCGTTGCTTAATTCATTTCATTTGGGAAGTATTCAAACTCGAGATGTTTAAAAAAAAAATGTTTCTTCACACGACGGTTATTGCACTCTGCGGCGTCCACGCGGAATGAATCGCTGCATGTCACATTATTCACGCGAAGTTTTGCGGTGGAAACGGCTTTAATAATTTCGCTTAGGCCGCTCAAGTAGTCAGACATTGCCAGGAATACGTAGAATCAACAATTCCAACGTGAAAATGAGCACGGGGACTCATACCGACAGCGACAACATCGCATTTCAATGATTTGTTTAGGGGCGACGGCGAGCTTCTTGCCCAAAATCCATCGCGGTTGCGCGGCGCTGGTGGCGTCCGCTAGGGGCGCTCCGGTTTGTTTCTAAACATGAGTTGGTCTATACTGTGTGCGTTGCGAAGAAAGCCACTGGAAGATAACAGGCACGACTGCCAAAAGATTGAGTGCTCAAAGGAGATATAATAATAATATTATTAACATTGTTTATTTTATGTGCTCAAAAGCAACCGCTTGGGTCTTTACATTGGGGCACACAAAAAGATAAAAATAAACAGAGCACACGCACAGCATCAAACGTACAAATTAACGTCACTACAAATCGGGGGCACACTTCACTCAAAATGTAGTACAGTTTCAACTTTCAACTAGACTTTCCAAGCTCCGCATTGTAGCAGATGTAACTGACTGAAACCACGCGGTTACATTCGAAGGAACGCGTATTATAATTTAAACCCTGAGACACGCGGGAAATAAAATAACGCGCAAGACAACACAAAACATAATGTCTTTTTTTATTTTTGGATGATTACGATACAATCGATTCTGTAGTGATTTCGAGCTCATCCAAAGCTGGCAAAATTAGGCAATGCCAACTTTAGGACACAGCTCCGTTTATATTCATACAATCTGGCTGGCGTCTTATCTAATATTTTCAGGACCAATGCAAGGGATGTCATGCCTTTTTTAGTTACACTTCGTTCTGCACCCCCGTGTGACGACGCTAATAAAAATAACAGATGATGCAGGCGAGCCGGTGAACTTTCAACATCTTGAACATCCGTTTTTGTTTTCTCGGGTGTTCCAAGATGTTGACAACATTCCTTATTCTCCGAGCTTCCCTGGACGCCGGAAAACTCGATATTCCTCGAAATAAATTTGTCTAAAAATTTCCCGGAACAAACACTTTTTTTTTTGACAGAGGCAATTTTAATACCTAAATACGAAAAAAAAAAAAAAAAAAAAAAAAAAAAAAAAAAAAAAAAAAAACAAGGGTACCTTACTAGAGCTACATTTTCGGCGGAATTGATGGGCGTTCGGCGATGCGCCGTTTATTTTTGCGGTGACGAAAGCCCTGTAACTGTTTGGGGCGAACGCGCTGTATTTGCGCTATTCCATTGTTTTGAAAGTGACTAAAATTGAAAAGAAACTATTTATTAAAGCTTAAAGCCTTATACCTTTCATCGTTCAGTCGACCTTGAAAGTCCTTGAGCGAAAACACGTCGGCGACATGAAAGGTACCAAAACGTTTACGCGACCACTCAGGCGAATTAGAGGCAAATATTAAAGAAGGACGACAAAGCGAATTAAAAGGAATCAAAGTGAATTAAGAGGAATTAAAGTGAATTTAGAGCAATTAAAGAGAAGTAAGAGTAATCAATGGGAACTAAGAAGGAATATAAAGCGAATTAAGAGGAATCAAAGTGAATTAAGAGGAATCAAAGTGAATTAAGAGTAATTAAAGTGGATTAAGAGGAATTAAAGAGAAGAGTAATCAAAGCTAATTAAGAAGGACGACAACGCTAATTAAGGGGGATTAAAGTGAATTAACAGGAATGAAAGTGGATTAAGAGGAATTAAAGCGAATTAAGTGGATGACTAAGCGAATTAATATGATGACTCAGCACATTAAAAAGGATGACTCAGCACATTAAGAGGGATGACTCAGCGAAGTAAGCTGGGTAATTAAAGCGGCTAATTAGTGTGGCTAATTAGTACGGATAACAAAGCGTTTAAAGAAGGTCTTGGGCTTTCGCCTTCAAGTCGTCTTAGGGATAACAACATAAGAGACCCTGTGAATTTTTATACAAAGCATTCCCAACATCCTTTTGCCATATGTTCGGCAAGGGCCTTCGCGTGGTCAAAGGCCTCAGCTGGTCTCCCAGACTGTATCCGGTGTCGTCATATCCGAATCGAGAAAGGAAACGAAAGGTGACAATGCTCGCCGATAGCAAGTTCCAGTAGAAAACGAAGCCGTTGAGACAGACAGCCTTTTGTGCTCCAAGGAAAGATAGCAAATGAATGAGTTCTTGTGTGGAGAAGCTGCCGCATGGAACCATTCCGCGCGGTGTCACGGGAGCACACCTTCAAAAAATATTTTCTCACTTAAAAAAAAGTATTACTTCGTTTAAAGTATATAAATCACAAGTTCACATGGCGCTCTATCGCTTGAGTGGTCTGGCATAGTTTTACTTGGACCACCTCACTGGGAAATTTGCTAATTTAAACCAAAATGTCGTCTCGCGCAACTTTACGCATTGATATAACAAAAACCTTTTGTTTTAACGGTAAAAAGCTATTTTATACAAAAAGTGTATCAACAATAGATGCGGAAAACACTCCTGGCACGGGTATACAGACTTCCAAATTTAAACAAAAAAATCTCGAAAACGGCACAATTTCATCATTTTGTCTTCAATTAAAAGCAAACAAAATATATCACTATGTCATTTCAAATTGACCTCATATGAAGCACTAATGCGAGCAGAATTGGACAGAAAAAATTGTGCGTTGATATATAACTAAGGATCTGTACTTTTGGCAATTTTTTTCTAATTGTGCCTAGTTTCGCGCCTCTCCGGGAATTTCAAACAGCGCTAGCGCGGCCAAAAAAAAATTTTGTGGACGATAATATTTAGGCAAGTGACTATTCAACACATAAGGAACCCCTGTGATTTTTTCACTAAAGAATCGGCGACGGTCGAGCGTCAGGCCTGGGACGTTTGGCATGGGATAACCCAGTAGTTCTTTGAAAATCAAAACAAAATATATAATTATTTTACGTAACGCTCCCCACATATTTATTTATCTGCTCTCCTATTAAGTTCATAATTTAAGTTCTGTAAGCGTGCACACTATGGTAATGTCAATTAAAAAAAAATGAAGCCTATATTTTGCTGATGCATACAGCATGCTCGGGTGTCGGTTGTCGGTGCCGCCGGCAAGGGCTCACCGGCGATTGACCACCCGAACACACCACAAAGGCTCGTTCGCACGCTTGCAACCGAGTACGACCGAGAGAGGCAAGACCGGTCTTTAAAGCGCCGTTCACACTCTTGTGACCGAGTAAGACCGAGAGAGACCAGGCCGGTTTTTAAGCCTCTTGCGACTTCTTAGGGCCGGATGCGCTGCATGCAGCGGAGCTGGTCCTACGAGATCGCGAGAGGCTTAAAAACCGGCCTGGTCTCTCTCGGTCTTACTCGGTCTCAACAGTGTGAACGGGCCTTAAGCCTGCTGCGATGTCTTAGGACCGGGTGCGTGTGCTGTGGAGCTGGTCCTAAGACGTCGTAAGAGGCTTGGTCTTGTCTCTCTCCGTTCTACTCAGTTGCAAGTGTGTGAACTGCGCTTGAGTTGATCAAATGTTTACCGAAAATTTTACAGGTTACCAGTCGAACCGCGATGGAGGTTCGACAAAAAGGTTCGGGATGTCCCTGCGCGCTACCCTTACTCCACCGATTTTTTCATTGTCTCCGATTTGCTTGAAATTTTGCTAAACTAACCAACAAACATCGCGAAAATAGTATCCCAAATATTAGGTCAAAATATTGTTTTTTCGCGACGTTATTGAATTTAGAGTTTTGGTCGTCACCGTGTTTTTCAAGCTCGAAATCTCTACTGGCAACAATGAAAAAGTGACGTCAGTGGAAGGCAGGGGTTCACTCTTTGAGCTGTAGATTTTGTTTTAAACTGATTCGAAGCAGTTTCATGGTGTCAAATGAATGCTTGGGAAGCTCGCTGCAGTACCCGCGCTCCAGCGCGGAACAAATGATTGGCATATTCTATTTTTTGGCTGCTTGCTCGACTGGCAAGCCTGCCTGCCACTGACGTCACGGCCCTGAAAAGCGCGCGTATATTTGAATGTTGGTTTTTGCATCATTTTCATTTGCCGATTTCGCAATAACTATTATGAATTTCGCGATTCTAAATAGCATACCGGAGAGAGTAAAGGCCGGGGAGTCAGAAAATGTGGTTAGTTGAGGTAGCTCAAAAAATCGGTGGAGTATCTATCCCTTTAAGGCCCGTTCCGATGATTAAAAACCGGTCTGGTCTCTCTCGGTCTTACTCGGCTTGTAAGAGTGTGAACGGGCTTTTACCGTGATGACCCAGAGAGTTACCTGTTACCTTGTGGGATTGGGTTCTTCCTCGTGCCCCTCGTGTCGGCATCCGTACAAGACGGACCCAAGATCGGGAGGAACGTCTTGACCCACTTGTTCCGGGGGGCGTAGGGCCACTTGGTGGTGTCCACCACGAGCGTCCTTCCCCCTCGCAACGCCAGCACCAAGCAGTAGAGCAGGTAGTGGACAGCCGACGCCAGTCCGCTCGTTTTCGTCAGAGGACAGAGCAGCTTCGGAGCCAAGCTGCAGTTGCCCGGATTCTGGAGAAACACCCAGGAGGAGAGAGACCTTCGTGTTACCCGAAGTCTGAGCGCCGCCGACGCATGGTTCATTCCGTGTCAAACGTCCGAGACGCTGTGCTCGACCATTTTCGATGTTTAAAAGAGAATTCAAAGTCCTTTACCCCGAATTTCCTCAAATATTTTCACCGAATAGTTTTTTTTTCGTAGCGTGAACGTGGTTTGGTCTTTTAAAATGGGAGTGAAATGGCGGTTTTTTTTTTTTTTCGAAACGCTTCATAATTTGTTTTATGAAATTCGAAAGCCTTTTAGCTTGCTATGTTGGGAAATTACACAAATGCTAGCACTTTTTATTTTCATTTTTTAATTATTGTTTAGCTCCTGGCGAATATATATATATATATATTGTTAGAAGTTCTGTAGATGGTATTCCACAGAAAAAAATAATTTCAAGCCGTACAAATAAAAAAAAACGTAAATAAGTGTTTTTATTTTTTGTTATTTTTTTTTTTTTTAAACACGCTCAAGCAATTCAGTAACGCACCGTCCTAGCGACGGTTCGATGACGCTTCTAAAAGCAGAACACGCGACGTACGCTCTGCCAGTAAAAAAAAAAAAATCTTCCTGCCGGGGAATGCGAGGTGCCGCGACACCGTAGGGCACAAATGGCGGACGGAAATGGCGAACCGAAACCGGACTGACGCTCGGCCAATCAGTGGTACAGTGGCAATGGGGAACTTCGTATGGAAAGACGATGATTCTTCTTGAAGGTGAGAGTATGAATCAACCAATGGCGCTAGAGGGGCTTTTACTATGGTACCCATGAGGTGCTGGGGGTCACCTGATAACGCTCCTTGACACCTGCTCTTTCTCGCCTCAATTTGCCCGTTCCCTCGACGCTCTATAGCGCCGTTCACACACTCGCAACCGAGTAGGACCGAGAGACACAAGACCGGCTTTTAAGTCTCATTTTAGCGGCCGGCCGTATCGGCCGAGAGGCTTCAAGTTTCAACCCAACAGCGGAAGTGACTGCCCTCATGTAAGCGGTCGTCCGGCACGTGCTTCGAAGTTAGAGCTCCTCACAGAGCTACAATTGTCGGAGGACGGCGCGATCTGGAGATCTCAGAACGCTCTGCAAGAACCACACGAATATGCTTAGAGCGCCCGACTTCGACCATCCGAATCGTCACTGGCTTTTCAAAGCACTCCAAGAGACCAGAAATCGACCAGCCTATATACCATGAGAAAGGAACGGAAGGCCGGGGCGGTTGGTTTTAATGACAATTATCAACAAATGCTTCATTAGATCTTTCATTTTGCTTTGCAGGCGTCATTTTACGCTTTTAGACGTCCATTTTATGCTTTCCGTGAAAGTTGAAATATATAATCTTCGACGGCACGATTCGACACGTTAGCGCGCGGTAACATTCGAGAGCATTGAGAACATTAAACCAACAAAACAAATCTGATCCCAAGTTGCTTCTAACGCTGTGTTGGCGAGGCCGCGATAATCAATTCAGCAGAAGCACAACTATAAGGCCCCCGTTTCGCCTTGTTCTCTTATTTGCACTGCATGTAATTAAATGACGCTCTTTAGAGCATATAATTCAAAACCAAAAAGTAAGTTTTTTTTTGTTTTTCAGTACATCAACAATTTTATTGACGCGGGCCTTGGGCTGTCTTTTTTTTTTTAACATGCAAGGTAACAACAAGCAAAAGGTATTCCCTAAACTTATTCCCACCCTCATAGGCTAGAATCTACATTACCACGCAAACATGTGTACACAAAATACTTTACCAAGCCAGCTCTAAAAAAAATAAAATAAAAAAAGGGTCAGTGCATTTACGTCACTGCAGGCCGCTTGACATAAGACCTACGAGATTCACTCGATCAATGGCAAAACGTCAAAAACACCTTTCAAGCGAAAAAAATAATAATAAGCAAGCAATGTGACACTGAGGACGACATTCGCTGTTGCGACGTCGTGATAAGTGTCGCCCTGGAGCTGAACTCCATGGGACGAATATGTTGCGAATAACCGACGAATTTTGCCCGAAGGCTTTTGCTCTGCGCGTGGAATCACCACAGTGGCTGCTACGTCACGCGCAAAGCGAGCGTGACGTCGGGCGGCGTTCGCCAGTTATTCGTCACATAATTCGTTCCATGGATCTTTCAGAGCGCTCGCTCTGAGGATTGCACTGACTGGCTCTGCAGCAGTTTTGCTGAAAACATTATGCGTGGGCAGTTTCTTTCTTTTTTTTTTTTGTTTGTTTTTTTCGCGCTGCACGTGCGCAGGGAGAGTAATTGATGGAAAGTATGCGATTGGAAGGATGAGCTCTGAATGGAAGGATTAGTGGGTCGACGCAAAAGCTATCTGCCTTTATCTCTATCCTACTGCATGTTCCCCCCAATCAGAGCGAACAAGCGCATCGCGTCCGTTCCTCGTGGACTGTCTCGCGTTCGAATGCCGGCCGCCGCCGTTTGGCGTCCGAACGCGTTCTAATGGAGTGACCAAGGCTGCTGGCCTTTGCGACTACTCACTAATCCTTCCAATCAGAGCCCGGCACTTTCACGTCACCGCGCTCTCGTCTTTTTCTTCCAATGACGTCACTGGGTCAGACATAATGACGGGGAAAAGGACGCGTGAGCGAGTAGCGTCCCCTCCGTTCACGAGGCGCTTCTGGCCACCAGAAAGAGGGACTGACCGACGTCACGTGCGAGCTATGCATAGGTCTGAATTGCCAACGCACTACTCTCCCAAATTAATTTTAAAAAAAGAAGAAGAAACTAATAACTTCTATAAAAAGTAAGCTCTAGCCAAAATTGACAAAGAAATCTCCTTACTTGCAAATCGTGAATCGTTTGTTGTACGTAGATTCCAAGTTTCTTCATATTTTCCGCAATACGGTCTTGCACACCATCCAGACGCTTCAGGCGTTTGACGTCCATTTGCGCAATGCTGAATGTATCGTGGCCACCATGGAGGAACGAAGGTGCGTCAAAGAAAAATTGTTCAGATATTAGCAGCGAACGCAGCGTGCATTTAACATGGTACTGCCTGACGAACACCTATAGCACAGGCTAAGAGAAAGTCGGACACACCGTATAGGTTTTGCATTATACTGCGGTTGTTTTCTATTCTCTCCAAACAATAAACAATCACGTTTTTTTTTTGTTTTTTTTTTTTTTCCTTACGTGTGACGTGTTTGCCTTCTCACTTTTCGGGAGATATCTATATTGACTGTTTGGTAACCACGCAGTGGGAATAAAGCATGTCAACATACTCTCGAGCTAACTAATCTAGACACATTTTTAGAACACCCATTCTTGACTCTTTCCGGCATGATATCAAATATTCATTCCTAAATTCGAAATTGCCAGGGAGAAACCGTCAAATGTTAGTGATGCCAAAGCCAAAGTTCAAATTTGTCACGCGCTTTCCAGCGGGGGGACGTCACAGGTTGTATAACTTGGGAGCGCCTAAAAAAACAAAAAAAAAAACAAACAAACAGTGTTTTGTACATGTTGTTTCGTTTTTCTGGCGTGAGCATAACCAGCCTTCATTTCGCACCACTTTGTGTTACCCGTTGAGAACGAACTGAGAGAAATAGTGAAACACATGACATCACGGTTTCAGTGTTGCCAGTAGAACCCCTCAGCCTTTCAGACCAACTTTACAATCTTTCAAAGCTTCGCGAAAAAAAAAAAAACTATTGTGACTTGTAACTTGGGTTATTATAGTTCGAATGTGTCTATTACCTGACCCCTTTCAAAAGTTAGCGGCAACGTCTGTCCTCTATATTGCTTGATCGCATATTCTGAGCATGGATTGGACACGAGGCTACACGTCAGCGTTCGGCGAAAACTCCATAGAGATCAGTGGAAAACTCGGATCCACTCACGCGCTTCGTTTCCAATGGCTGGATAGATGAATGTTACTTGCTATATTCTTTGTAACGGGCGGTAACTTGCGCCACCTAGCCTAAGTCTGATAAGACAACAATGGCGACCGCCAATGTTGCCTGGTGAACTTTTGAAAAGGGTCCATTTTGAGGCGAATCAGAGTGTATAAAAATTTCGCCGAAGCTGCCCTCTAAGGTCCTGTTGGGAAAAAATGCATGTAGTACGTCACTCGAAAATTGAGAAGAATTCGAACAAAAGGCTAGCTCGCACAGTACCGTTTTCTAACGTTTCTTTAGTTATGGGCGGTTAATGTCCCGAACCACTGGACATCATCCGTGCTTCGTGTGAACCGTGGCAACGAGTCCAAGGAGTAATTTTGCACGCGACAAACGGAGCACGGATGTATCGAATACTCATGACGTCACGTAAGAAAACGTAAGGAAAGGCTTTTGTGTGATTGGGTCTTTATTCTCCGGTTATTTGCAGTCCATGACCTCGCGCCGTCAACGTTTTAATTTAACTTTTTTTTTTTTTCTTTCAGGGCCCGAAGGCATCACAGAGAGGAGTGCAACACTGTAACACAGGTATAAACGTAAAACCAATAAAAACGCAAAAATATAAAATGACAAGGAAGCATCCTTTAACAAATTCGTAATATCAATTTTAAACTCAGCAAGCTATAGTAATTGTAACTATACAACTGGGGAAAGACGATTCTAATCAATGGAGTTTTGGTGCAAGGAGGAGTGGGTGTGCTGCATCGGAGGGATCCTACCTTTGAATTAATCGTTGGTTCACTTTGACATGTAAGATTGTTCTCAAAATAGCGCCTGGCGAAACAAACTTGACGTGGCGCGTTAAAGGAGCTGAGCAACGATATTCAATTGGAATGTGTTTCTCTCTACACGAGCTCACTGGCACACCTGGGACTCAAGGATACACACACGCAACGCCATTGGCCAAGAAACTCCTTTGTTGCGGTGTAATTTCAAGGACAAAATCGATCATTTTCATTCAATCTCTCCTTTGCAAAATTTGATGACGTAACTCGGGGATCGCAGTACACCCAAGTGACGATATTTGAATGCGGTTCATAGATTGGACCCGAGCATTGCGTGGGCACTCGACTTGGGCTCGTGACAATTGCTAGCTCGAGAAGCATTCGGGTTGTGACCCGTGTCCAATCGCTGCAACGATGACAACAGCCGAGCCATAACAATGTCTAGAACTCAGCGCGTGTCCTGCGCTTTGCCAACCCCAGCGCGTGGCTATGATCAACACTGGCGGCATATAATCGGCTCCAAGACACGTGGCCGCTTGTTCTGGCTGCGAGTTGAGGGTGTGAACGCTGCTCGTTTTTCTTAAATTTTTTTCTGGGATTTCTATTGCGTTGGGTGAAAAACGAACGCGTGTTTCATAGGTCATTAACGTTAGGGATCCGTTTTAAGCAGTATTTGTGCACAGTACAAAAATTGTTGCATCGCTCCTTTAAGCAAACTTGTCTTCTTTGATGAGAACGGAATTCTGACTATCTATAATTTGGAGGTAAGGCTTTGGATATTCCGTCATGTTAAAAAAAACTGACCTGACGGCTAATCGATGACAATTCATTTCGCGATAAACGAAGAATACAACCAGGGGACTCAAATGCTATAATGGTTTCTCTCCTATTCTCGTTTTGGGAAGCATTCCACAAGTACGCGAAGTGCAAGTCTTGCTCAATAAGATATATGTCACATACCTCAAGAAGTCCATAGACTTCTCAAGAATTGGTGATTTAGGCACCTTTTTCTTCTTATCCCTCTTGGTTCGTAAATAATAAGTAAGGAAATTTCGCAGGTCGTTTATTCCAAATTGAAGTCGGTTGAATATTGTCGCCTGCTTGTCATAAAACTCTGGAGAAAAAAAAGAGCATGATAGGAACAATAAATGACACTCGCGTTTTATTTTTTTGTTACACTTTAGGGTTTTGGTAAGCATATATGTAGATCGCGAAAAAGTAACCCTCGCATAAATACTGATATTGCCACGAGGATGAAAAACATGGGCCGTAGCAGGTGCCGTGGTAGTGTCACCGGGCAGGTAACTGCGGCGAATAGTTTGAAAAAAAAAAAAAAAAAAAACGCCATTCAGTAGACGTCTTGTATCTTCCAATCATCGTAACAATATTCAAAAGCAAAAAAAGTGTTCATCGTGCAATCTCAAACAAGTCTATAGGCTCAGGCCCTCGCAAACAAACTACAGACATTCGTATGCAAACACGCAAGTGCTTGCGCGATAAACAGAGATGGATACAGTTCCACTGAGGCACGCCCATATGCACGCACTTACACGATACACAACCAGTAAACGGCCACATAGAAACTCAGACACAACCAAAAACACTCAAACTTGAACACGCGCCGTTTCCTAAGGTTTAGACACAACCACCAAATTTAATCAAAGTCCTGGGTCATGGAAAACACGCACTCAATATCAAAAATAAAAAAATAAATATAAAACCCATTTTTGTGGCTTCTAAGAAACTACAGATACGTCGATTGAAAAAAAAAAAAAGTTGCACAGAAAACCGGAGGCATTCTGTCCTGTGTGTTCAATGGGCTGAACGGCGGCGAATCTGTCTCCCCTCTAGAAAGAAACTTTGGACCGATCAAAACAATTAGGATTCATTCCTTACGACAAGCCCGCGACCACCAAGCCGATTTTCACGAAGACGTCGCCGAGCCGTCGCCACTTCTCGTGGCTGAAGACATCGCTCATCTTACGAACACGAATTGGTAAGAGCTTGAAAAACGCGCAAACGCCAAGCACGAAGTGGGTACTTGGAGTTGAATATTCATGCGTACGATTTCTTTACTAGGTGCGAATGTGGCCAATGCGCAGTGCTGCTCGACTTCGAGCTTGGGGAGTGCCTTTGCTGCAGAGAAATTGGCAGCAAACTTTCCGACCCACATTCGAACGGCTGCATTACTACGAGCGAGGAGATCCACCTCGTCTGCCTGAACATTACGACGTTAAAACTATCGTACTTCGAGATCCGCGATGGGAAACTGCCTATACCCAAGGGCATCCAGCGGCAGAACATCTACTTCCGCAGAGTAGCTCAGTGGAAAGGTGTCCAATTCATACGCAACGGACCCAGGTTCGGTCAAGAGCCTAAACATACAGTTCTTTTTTTTTTTTTTTTTTTACATTTTGCGATAATAGCACGTTTCTTTTTTACAATTATTACTGAAAGAAACAAATGTTGCGGACGAAACGTCGCTGAACTATAAATGGTATGGGGGTCCCTTTTTGACACGTGCCAACTTAATATAGTCACTTTCTACAAAATGCAAGGAACATATAAATCGGGTAGCGTCCGCTTTCCGAGGTAACTGTTCTGCAGGAATGGCGGCCAGCCATTGGTCCCGATCCCGTTGATCTTTCGGAAACTAGTGCATGCAGACTCTGCCGACCAACGCCACTTCCCGGTGCAGGACATGTGAGGCAGCTCTTCACACAACATCCTGGGGGCAATCTTTTCGTAGCCGACCACGGACGTTCACCACTGGCACTCACTACTCGATTCCAACTCTTCAATATACAAAACAACTTATCTTGAAGTGCAGAACAGCGAGTGGAACGAACATAACTGCAAAGGAATCGCACGGCCAACGGTATACCCGCAACACGTCGCCTGCACCGTAAGACGGTGCAGACACGTCGAAGCCACCTGTCCGTAGGCAAGTGGCTTCGCTTCGCCTCCTAGCCTGCACGGTGGGTGACCCTCCAACACCCCATCTAGAGTATGTAAGGAAAGACCGCGCTTGGTAAGCTACAACCCCTCCTTGGACGGACGGAGCGTCACAGAAGCACGCTCCTTCCAAGAACCATCGAGCTCTGGCGCTCCCTCCCGAGTGACGTTACACAAGGGAAACAAAGAGGACACCAAAGAACTATGCAAGTGTGCAACCCTCCACCTCAAAGAACTGTGTGATGCGACACTCGATCAGACCCAAATCCCAGTGTACAAGGTTTTTTTGTTGTATGTATGTGTGTATGTGTGCGTGTAGCGGGTACAGTGAGCCTCTATGGCATGGGCAATAGCCTTTTTACTGTTACCCGGGTTTTAGAAGCCGAATAAATAAAGCGTTATTCCAGCATTACGCCGCAGCTAACTGCACCGTAACAAAAAGGCAAAACTTGCTCGAATGTTGGATCCTCGGGACCCTATTTGTGGAACAGACACAGGAGCGTTCATTTCGGACATCGTAAAGAGGACTGTTCATTCTTTCCAACTTTGCAGCGCGACAGGTGACACGTGTAGTAATTCCTCGTCGCCAAAATGTAGTAATTCCTCGTCGCCAAAATGTTGTATTAAAGAAAATGCGGACACCCGTGAAAATAAAGAAGAGCCGGGCCTGCGTGGGCCTGCGGAGACACATGCGCGAAAAATCCATCCGATCCGACGTCCGATCCGGCAATGCGACTGCCTGATCCGAAAAATTTGGTCGCTTCAGACGCCGGATCGGCGATCCGACGTGCGTCCAACGCGCCAGATAGTTTCGCACGGCGGACGGATTGTCGGATGCGTCCAGCCAATGACAGCACAGCTGGCGCGAACGTCATGGTGACGTACTGGGTCTGGCGGGACGAAGCGAACGCGATAACAGGACGGGCGAGGGGAAGCCGGACGCGTGAACCCGAATGACCCATTCGAGAAAGATGACCGCAGCAAAGAATGCACGCGCTAGCGAGAACAAGCCCCTAACTTCGCTCGTGCGAGCTAAACCGTCAATCTGGGACCAGAGATCTACGCGCGGCCCTCCGCTGAAGTGCTTGGATCTCCTGGGCGGAGCCGAACGGATTGTCGTGTCACATGCAAGGTCGGAAGCGTGTGTCTCAAACTGTCGCGTACGGCGATTCGGAGCGGCGTTCGGACTGCCGGATCGGACGTCGGATCGGACGATTCTGCCGTCCATGTGTCTCGCACTTAAAACATGCCGAAGAGAGGCGATGCGGCGAGCCGGGCGCGGGAGCCCCGGACGGAGAGAGAGAGACGTCCGGCGAAGTTGGTGGTTGAATCGTAACTGTTTATCGTGTTCGTGGTTGAATTGGTTGAATTGTAACTGTCAACAACAGGGGGGTTGAGCGCCACGGGGGCGAAACCCTGATAACACGGGCAATGGTGTAACGGTGGCGCCATCTGGGTAGTGTGGCGAGAACTACTTAAATGAAAAAATTTAAATACTACAACACGGACGACACGGAGAAAGAAATTCCGGTGCGGGGGATGAGGAAGGGCGTATTATCGGATGGGTTGTTGGCACCGAGGCCCGCCAGTGAATCCGCACGAAGGACGAAACAGACAGTCGCGAAGAAAAGCAAAACATAATACATAATACAACAGGATAGCACATCATAGCGCTCGCCCAGTCTATACTTCCCGAGTTGTTTTTCTTTTGAATACGGATGGAAACTTGCACCTTTTACGGCCACGCGGGTTGTTTCACCGGTGACGGAACAGCAGAGAGGCTTAGCCGATTGTTTTGGCTCTCCCGCTCGGCTTACGTGTAGGAGCGCGAAAGCATTCCTACACGCAGCGCATTCCTAGAAGCAGCGCGCCACGTCTTCTTTTTTCGCACGGCGCTCCATCAGGGACATCACGCTCCCCCACTGCGCAGGCGCGGAGAACCTTGCCGGCTTCACGATGGCTTCCGTGACGAAGCATTGCGTTGCTGTGCTTTTTTGTTTTGTGTGTTTTATTAGTCGATTGATTGATTGAACATGTTTTATTACTAAAAAACAAGTAAAGCGCATACGACTCTCTCCAATCAATTGTCCACTGACATCGGAGGGAGAAGGGGGAGTCCTGGATGTTTGCTGTCGCGACAAAGTTTAGCTGTCGTTTTTCTGCTACAGACGGTTACAGACAACGCGGTTACGGACAACGCCAGTCGAAAATTCACGAGGCCAGACAACTTATACACAAAGAAATAAAGCGACAACATCCTGACCCGCGAGTCTCTGGAGGAAGACCACCCGCACGTGTGCCACCAAAGCTTTCACGAGCCAGCGCCTCCATTCTGCATAGGCTTCGTACTGGGTGTGCCTTTACAGCAAAGGCAATTCATCGTCTGGACCCCACAATCAGCCCAAACTGCTCAAGCTGTGACATTCCCGAGGACCTATAGTCAGTTACAGGTTAAGAAGGTAGCGGCAAATGCCCCTCAAAGGGAATCAGATATCCCTCCGCCTCCTTTGCATCCAATAGCGTCCCACCGTTTCCGTGACGTCGCGGACAACGCGCGAGGAGGGTCTTGCCTTTCTGTACATATTTGCTTTATCATTCGACTTTGACTTAGCATTGTGGAAGCCACGAGAGGGAGATTAGAGTTCTCCCCCACCGACGGAAACAAATACGACTTTCGGGGATTAGCTTCCCCTCCGATGGATACAAAGGCTGCTTTCAGGGGCTCGGTTCCCTCTCCGATGAATACAAAGGTCGCTTTCTTAAAAAGTGGGATCGGAGACAAGTTGGAATCCATTGAAGCGGAACAAGGAGCGTTTCCAGTGAACTCTTCTTTCGACTGCGGAGAGATTTGAAACGGGCGCATCACGCTTGTGGGAGGAGCTTCTCCTACCTTCTTGAGTTGTAACCGACTATAGAGCACCTCATCTGGGTCTGTCCAAATCTAGCGGACGCGAGGAAATCTTTCCTCGATGGACTACAGCTCGCAGGGGTTGCCCACGGGACAACTGAAGACATTCTTTTTCCCCCAGGCTCAGTAAGAGATGCCACTAGAACATTCGCCTTGCTCATAACGTTCTTAGAAGATGCAGATCTAATAGACCGGCTCTAAAGCATGGTGCCATACGCCCCGAGCCAGTGAACCGTCCATTCTCATAGGTAGTCCAAACTAGAGTAACTGTATAGGCTCTGCTCCGCAAGCGGAGCATATACAGTTACTCTAGTCCAAACTACCTCCACTCCCTATCTCTCCTTCCTCTTTTCTACTTCCTTCTTTTGATCCCTTATCACTAACCCGTCCCTACCCCGGAACTGACTCGCCCCCCACAGAAGGTGTGGCCAACATGTACCGGGAATACTCTCTTCCCTCTCACCACTAATAAAAAAAAAACAAAAAAACAACGCCAGTTTCGCTCCATGGGACAGTTAATGCTTTCGCATTAAAAGTCTGACAACAGTGAAAAGATGCTAGACCTAACTGGGTACACGGGCGGCAGACGCCATCTTCAAGGGTGCTCCCGGTTTGTTTACGTCGCCCAAGAACGAGTTTCGTAATGTGGTGAGGATAGGTCGGAGAGCTAGGGTACGTACCACACTAGGTACACAGGGTACCACGCTAGGTATTGCGTGGTACCCTACTAAACATACCGTCTTTTTTGTACACTTGCTGAAAAAAGAAAAAAAAAAAGAAATTGAAGTTAAGCTATTTTAGATGGTATTAAGACAATAAAAAAAAAACGCTTTATCGACTTTTTTTTTTTAACAAACTCGAATCGTTTGTGTGTTCGTAAAATACACCTTGCGGCCTCACTCAGAAAATTTTCGAATTCATCCACGTGACTTTTTCATGAGTCGCTCACTGTGTGATGTTACAATTTGCCTAACGTGCATTTTATAAGCCATTCACGTCACTACAAGTAGACCACGATCAAAACTTCACCTTAAAACCAAAGATTTTTTATTGCAGTATGGTACATTTTACCTATACGATTTGTTCGAAAGCAAATGGTAACTGAGACCCTCACGTATTTAGATGCAACTTCAACCATGAACTCGAAACAATTACAAGGCCCAGCAGAAACCCTGGAGATGTATGGCTCACGTTTCACCATGGTGGAATCAAACAATTCCGTGATTTTGCTTGCCGATGAGGACATGTCAGTATAGCTGAAAAAAAGGAAATGAAAGTTGTTTACAATTCCCTGTAAAGCTGTATTGGAGCGCAGCTCTTGAGGAGGAGGAGGGAAGGGTACTGTGAAAAGGGTATACTCCTCCTACCTCCGTGATCCCCCCAGGTCACGTGACCTGGGAGGGTCACGTGACCTGGAGGGGGTCAGATGACCTGGCGGGGGGTCACGTGACCTTACGGTTACGACGACGGCGACGCCGCTCAAACCGGAAACGGTCGTTTAAGAGCTGCGCTCTAAAAATAAGGGTGAAGTGATTATAACCGAGGATACGTTTGATGGAACATGCACTGCGGAAATTTTCATATCCTATCGTACATCCTGAACGGCTCTATTGCGAAGGCTAGTGAATGTCGTGTAGCATCAGCTTTATTTGAAAGTGGACCTTTTACATACACAGTCTTGTGGCGACGTTGCGCATTGATGATGAACTTCGCATTGAATGTAAACAATGTATATTTTCTTCTATACATGAATGTGGCGAGTACAGTGCAGTCAAATAAAGCTTTCTGAGCTGCTCGCGCATAATTCGGAAGCAGTACTACTATTTAGCACTATTTTGGGACGCCAAGAACAATGTAGATTTACTTTGTTATTTTAAATTAGCTAATTATTTCCAACAACTTGTCATTTTCACAGATGCCTGCGTATATTATTGTCATTCATGATTTTAATGCCATGTCTCAAGCACTGCAGAATTTCGCATTTCCAGTGCTATTTTGTTTTTCTGTTCTTGAATGCGATTTTCGCATTCTCGGACCTATGTTGACCTGTAACACAAACTTCTATGTGTTGGTTCAATCTGTGTACATGCGTACGCAAACTAGCGTGCATGTGCTTAGAGTTCGGTGAACTTCCTACTCTATTTTTTTTTTTTTTTAATATTAGCTATTGGTCGCTCCAGAAGTTTTTTTTTTTTTTTTCATAAATTTGCGCCTTTACGTTTTGTTACGAAGTACGCTTATTGCTTTGTGATGAGAAATCCCGTATTATATCAAGCCCTCTCTACCTAGCACAGCTGCTGTTTAAATCGTGTTCTTAGCAGTTTATTTTTGGCTTTTCGATTTTTTTTCTCGTATATGTAATATGCGTCAAGTCTTCATCCGCAGTGAATTTATTCACGTCGATCAAGCAGTGATACTCAGTACGCGGCCGGATTTTACGTGGGATGCGACAGATTCCTCTGCATTGCTTTTATTACAGAATTATGTCACTTGAACTAGAGCGCACCACTGCAAAACAAAAGGAGTTTCTAGCTCGAGTAAAACATGGTTACAGTCTATTCCACTCATTTACTAAACAGCAGTAATGTATATGTTGCATTTTGGAGCTATTTACGTCACGTCGTTAACTTCAACTCAACTTATCGAAGCGAAGTCATTTTCTAGGGGTATTTCTTACTATGTTCAAGTATCCACGTTTTTGACAGTTTCCTTTCCTTTTTCTTTTTTTTTTTTTTGGGGGGGGGGGGGGGGGGGAGGTTTTGACAAATACTTTAGTTTCGACTTTCCGAACCCCCCTCTGCCTACACCACTGTTAGGGTGATACTAGGCGATACCACCTTTTGTGGTAACCGGTGCCGACAGCACGCGCTCACGGGTGAAATACAAAGAAATCGGCGAAAACAAAACGTCGCCACAGCACAGTCAGAGCCATAAACGCGTGAGGAGGACACGCTCTTTCACGCGCTCCTGAACAAAAAAGATGACTTCACGCTAAGCAAAGCGCACATGAAGGAACCCTAGTTTTTACCGTTTTCTTTCCTCCACGCGCACACAAAAAAAAAAAAAAAAAAAAATATATATATATATATATTTAAAGCATTCTCCCCCATATTGTACCATTATTGGATGGGCTCTGTGATTCGTAGCGCCTGCTCTCCAGGCGCTCGATGAACACGAAAGAAACGCTGACACACTGAGAACATGGATGGACGAAGGAAGGTTTGTGCGGAGTCGTATATGTACAGGGTTCTGGGTTCGTGCACCTCCATTAACCGGTCTCCATAACGTTTCTTTGGTATTTGAAGTCACGACGAAACTGACGAGACCTCGCACGCCACGCGAGATTGCTTCGCTTTCCTTTTGCTTTTATGCTGACCCGACAAGTCCGCCTCCGTGGCGCAATCGGTTAGCGCGTTCGGCTGTTAACCGAAAGGTTGGTGGTTCGAGTCCACCCGGTGGCGAGATTTTTTTTGTTTTTTTTTAAACGTTGTTGTATTTTTTTCCTTCTGCATCATAAAATTGCAATAATTACCGATAATATCTCATTAGCATTAAATGCAGAAAGACTTCTTTTCGCATTCTTCCGTTGCAACAGACTGTTGTGCCTGCCGAATGGATTATTTGGATTATTGACAAGACATTTGATTTTTGTGTAAAGGCGCAGCTAGCGCATCTGTTCTCTGAAATCATGAAAGGTGAATCTGACCTCTGTCAAAAGATTGAAATAGTAATCACAAGTTTGTAAAGAATCACAATTGAGAGTTCAATCGTTTCCAGGTCACAGAGAAAATCAATTGCTGTGGACTCAAGGCGGCATTCATTTAAAGAGAACTTGCTAAGAAGGAAAGAGACAGAAAATGAGTCCGATTTTTTTCCCACTCATTGTGTGTTTTAACTAGCTTATAAAATTCCTTAACGCCGTGATACTTTTTTTTCTCCTTTTACTTGATATGTTTATATTAGTCCATATTGTTCCATAAGAAAAACATTACCTTTTCTGAAAGTTTTGCCTGAAATGCGCTTTCCGTTTGTTATTGTCATAAAGAAATTTACGGCTAAATATACTTTCGTGGTGAATTAGTACGGTACCACAAAAATGGATTTGTTTTACTTATATTAAAGAATAATTAAATTAATATTTTTTTCGCGCTCTATAACTCGATTATTCCTGTAGAAAACTGATCATGCCGGACCGTGCATACGGTCACTGATCTTGACAGCACTATGAGAGAACCTACCGAAACTTAAATTCAACAAAATGAGACGCTGCACTTTGATATTGCACGCGTCTGATCTCATATGAGGAAATCAAACACCTTAGAACCCGATTTCAGAACTTGGCGTACCTGTTTCCGGTTGATGGTGGGAGCGGTGTACCGGATTCTGCATACCTGCAATCAAAAGACAGGCGCAAGCATTCTCAAGCAATACTAGTCAGAGAAGATCGACTTTTAAGGCACTAGTCTATGACTACAGGGTTCTGTGTCTTCAGTACATAGCCAAAAGCCCCGAAAGAAATAGCCCTGGAGCCGGTTTCATCGAAATCGGGGGAAACCAAAAAAAAACCTTAACAAAAACTAATCTAAAAAAAAAGCTTAATGGGGCGTAATTACTGTTTACAGCTTTAATTTCTGTTTACCCAGAGCACCGCCCACGCTGAACTATGAGTACAGCTGCTTCCTCCCTTCGGATATGGCACCCCTTATTTTTCGCTCCCTTTTCTTATCGATACCAAATGTTCCAGTCAAGCGCGTGTCCCCGAAGGCTGAGGAATTCCATGCACGTGTCCTGTTTGCTTGAACGTAATCCACGACAACCCCCTTCCCCCCCCCCCCCCCTTTTTTTTTTAGATAACAAGAACGGGAACCCCAAAATGCCGCATCTGCGTGAACAATAAACCCCGCGAGAAACACACTGCAATTCGAATAAAAACTAATGCTGGAAACACAGACCCCAAGGAATGTCACAGTGCACGCACCCTTCGCGTAGACCGACGAGGCGACAGTTTCGTGCGACCAGAGTCGGCGACCCCGTTTTTTCATAAGTGAGCGCCATCTGGTAGCTGCTGCGCCAATTATTCGAGTTGGCCATTGTTTAGGCACGTGCGCTGGTACAACACCACCTAGAGCAAAGGCCGCAGCGCTCAGGGTTGTGACGTCACAGATTCACGACGAGTGGGCCGACCGGAGAGGAAGGCTTCTCCGCAACACATGCTCTTTATTTATATATGTGTGTTTTTTCGAGGGCGCCAAGCGGCGCATGCTCCGGCCTTTTTTTTTTTTTTGTTTCTAGCTTTCTCCGAGCCCATGGTTCTCCCGGGGCAGTTGCGCAATGACCATTTTTGCCTACTTCGCGCACGGCGGCTTGCACAAGTCTCGCGGTGGGAGTACGCGAACTGCTCCAACCGCCGCTTCTGTCTTTTGTGTTTGGTGTGAACGGCGTTTAACGTGTGATGGTTGTCAAGTTACGGGCGGCTTTCGGGCTAGCCGTGCCTCGCAAATGCTCCAGCAAGAGGGAAAGCGCCGGTAGCTCTTTTTCCTTTTCTCCCTCGCCCTCTTTCAGTAAAACGGTCTAACCAGCATCCGGCGCGAACTCGACTCGGCTCGCGTCAAAAATGACTACTACTTCAGCGTACGGCGAGAACTCGATCCAATCACTCTTCGTGCCAAAATGGATGGATGGATTAATGGCTACGTTTACATGAATGCGATCGTAGCGCATCGAATCGAGCAGGAACCAATGACACGCAGCCTGTCTTCTTAGTTCTTCCTCTTCTACCCAACTGCTACCAATCAAAATCGTGAAATCTCGACTCGATGCGCTACGGTCGCATCCATGTAAATGCAGCCAATGTCAATGGCTATACCTTTTGTAACGGGTCACCTAGCCTAAGTCTAAAAAAGACCAACATATGATTTCTCCCGCCCTTCTAAGACCATTAAGACCAAAGAAATGGCGACCACAAATGTTGCTCGATAAATTTCTAAAAAAAAAAAAATCTATTTCAAAAAATAAATTAAAAAAAAAAGAGAGAGAAAAAAAAAAAACTCTTACCCTGATTTAAACTGTAGCTGTGTCTCGAAGGCAACCGGTGAAGTCTCCGCAGGTTTGGACCAACTAATGCTCACGTTCAGGCCCTTGTACACCACGAGATGGACCGATGCCACGAAAACAAGTAGGGCTACAACTGCTGCACACTTTCCGAAGATGCCACGTTTCATATCCAAGGTCTGTTTCGTGCCTAGAAAATGAC